TCTGCCATTGTTAAATATACGAGCTAACAATTAATACTCAATTACAGACATAAGTGCAAATAGGCAATGATCTAATTATAGGTTTTGAAAATCAGGGTAGATTTTTCAGATGAATTATTTTGAATTATTTTAGTAAGCCGAAGGGATATATGTGAGTTCCACATTTTAGCCCCAAAGGGGCTGCGCTAACAAGCTTTATTGGCATGTTCAGATCAATGGGAATTTAACATGATTATGATCTCCATCGATGAGGTCATTTGGTTACTGACGGTTTTATGAGTCATATGAGCTACGAGCTCACTTTCGTCAAATGAGAGAATTTTTTCGAAATTTTTTAACTCTCTTGTAAGCGAAAATGCAAGGTATTATAAAAAATCACCGATTGATCGCAAAAAAATAGTTTAGCGTTAATGAATTCTATTGCTACTGCATCAATGAAATAGTTGCTGGGATTGGATCAAAAATTTACAAATTGAAGAACGATACAACCACAAACTTCCAAATTCATAAAACAAAAGACTGCAAGCTTCTTTAACTAGAAGCTCAAAGAAGGTTTTAGCTTATAGCTGTCTACCAAAGGGAAAAAATGATCCGCATGAGGTGACCTCATAATTGAAGACGACTTTTCTCCAGATTCGAAGAGAACTACAATTAAGTATTGTTAAATTGATAAAAACATAAAAATTAAGTTCTTTTGACTTTTGGAAACCTTTTCCTCGTTAGGATTATAGTATTGCAGTCCTATTCAGCAACAGATGAAATCAAATGATATGCGGATAAAATGATCAACTCCCACACTATTCTTCTGTTCTTCAAATCGAAATATTTTGTAATTCTGACAAATTTTGAAAGTTTTCTGATCGAATTTAGCATCTAAATGCTCTCTGACATTTTCTAATTTTCCTTCTGCGAGAATATCTCGAAAAATCTTTCTCCTACTTCCAAATTGGATGATTTCACCAATTAATTTTCATTACGAATTCGATAAACTTAAAATACTTTTTTCCCGTATTGCTTCTAAGACTGGCTGGTAATACTGTACATTCATAATGAACGACGACTGTACTTCTTCAAAAAAACATTAGTTTATGTTATTTTGTTCCCGCTTTTTCTCGTTTCTTAGTTCAACTATTTAGAGATGTAATTACTTTTATCTCTTCGTCATAAACATGAAGTTCAATATTTCAATATTTCCCACCTCTACTGTTATTGTAAGAGATATTAAACATACTATTTTTGCTGATTAATTGGTCTGATATATAATATCCAATTTTAAAACAATAGCTATCCATAGATTGTGAACGAGGAAGGGAAATACTCAGAAACTGTATTAAGAGTAAAGAGAACTTCGAAAACATGTTGAATTAGAGAAAAGTAAAGAAATTGCAAAAAGACAATTGTTTATATGCTGTATTGCATAATTTGTTTTTTGACTGTTGATATCATGATCAATTAAACATTGAACGCAATCGTATTGTTTAAATCAACTATTTTCATCTGAATAAATTTCTTTGTCTAATAGTATATTCAAAGGCAGTGACATAATTATGTTGAAACTAGTGAACTGTTGTAACTTAGATCTTTTTTTCGATATAATTAAGGGAAAAAGCTCTCTATTGAGACAACCAATATTCATTGTAAAGAGAATTATCAGTTATCCAATATGTTATAACTATTAACGGAGAGAGTTTGACTTATATTAGTTTCTATATTTGAAGAATTAAATATAATAGTCAGCACATTTTTATAGATATAAAACGAAACTGATAAAGAAATTGAATGACACTATCTATGAAAATTAGTTTCATATTTGCAAGAAAACAGTGATGAGATCGAATCATCTCTCGCCATCTTCCAGCATTCAGATTACGAAAAACAAAAAGTACTTCGATAAAAATACATTCTAAAGACTTTTTCGAAATCATTTGTCCACTAGTACACTTACTGTACCGAAAGAACAAATCACAGCTCGTTTGTTGAATTCTTACTTCTGAAAGAGAAAATAATGTGATGATAAAAAGACAAATTACAGTGCATATTATGTGTTTGCGGATGCAAAATTAACAAGTTCATTTTGTTCGCTTAATATTAGATACGTTCTAATTTGCAAACATCAGTCTTATATAATTTTCACAAAAGAAAAAATAGCTAGAGTTCATCACTTGAAACTCTGATCGAATGGCTTTTTAATGCCTGCTTGGGTTAACTAGATTTAATTATTTAAGTTTGATTTTCTACAAAAATATAGAATTTAAATACGCTTGGGAGAGAGAGAGAGAACGATATGCTATATGTGTGATTCTTTCTATAGAATAATCTTCCAGTATAGAAAAATCTTATGCAGAAGAATTTACCAAAAAAAGAATGATCTATTCAAAGAATTTTGCTCGAAACTTTCGAAATTATTTCATATACTAGCTATACTCAAGAGAGAAAGAGAGAGATTTCCTTTTATTCTTACTCTTTCTCTTCTAGTTAATATTCCTGCTAATGCTACATGGAAACAGAACGGAGTGACTATTGCTGGAGGCCATGGGGGAGGGGATGCCACTAATCAACTCTGGGGCCCTTATGGTCTCTTCGTTGATGATGATCAAACAGTGGTTATTGCTGATTTCGAGAATCATCGTATCATGCAATGGAAGAACGGTGATACAACGAATGGACAAGTTGTTGCTGGTGGTAAAGGCGAAGGAAATGGATTACATCAATTGAATGGTTCAACTGATGTATTAATTGATAAAGAGACGGATAGTCTCATTATTTTGTGATTGGGGGAATCGACGAGTTGTACGATGGCCTCGTCATAGTGGTACAACACAAGGTAAAATACTCATCGACAGCATCCAATGCCATGGATTAGCAATGGATGAGCAGAGATATGTCTACGTCTCTGATATCGAAAAACATCAAGTAAGACGATATAAATTGGACGAGAAGAATGGCACTCTCGTAGCTGGTGGTAACGGTGAAGGTGATGATCTTAATCAACTCAACGATCCGAGATATCTGTTTGTCAATCGACAACAGACTGTCTACGTGTCAGACAGCGAGAATAATCGTGTAATGAAATGGACTAAAGGTGCAACAGAAGGTATTGTAGTCGCTGGAGGACAAGACCAGGGGAGTGCTTTGACACAATTATATTGGCCTAATGGACTCTTCGTTGATACGTTGGATACACTCTATGTAGCTGACGAGGGGAATGATCGTGTAATGCGTTGGACTCAAGTAGGCAAGAAACAAGGCACTGTAATTGTGGGTGGAAACGGTTCAGGAGCAGGAGTAAATCAGTTCAACGTCCCCGATGGTTTGTCTTTCGATCGACAGGGTAATCTCTATGTCGTCGATAATGAGAATAATCGTCTTCAACGATTTTCTATTGAATAAGACTTGTGAGCGGTTTTTTCTTTGTTCATTTCTTTTTCTATACTTTGAACTAAATGAACAAAAAAAAAAGAAATTTTCTTTTACTCTTTCGCTTCAAAGAAAAGAAAAAAGCTAAAATATAAAATTACGTCAAATGTTCCTTTTCTTCTTCTTTTATTTATTTGTTAAATGAAAAGAAACGAATTTATTGGAACGAAAATTGTTTTTTTGCTTACCAGCTAATAGTTGCTCGCTCGACCAAGAACTACCTTGGTGGTGCATAGCATAGGCGGCGGAGCCATTAGGCTTGGAGAGGCTCAAGCCTCCCCTAAAAACCAATTGGGGAGGCTCACATATTTGAAAAGAATACAGATTTCGTCGTGATTTACTTAACTTACAATATATTAGGAAATCTACTTCATGAATATTGTAAATTATTGCATTTATAGTTAGCAAATCTCACTTCAACGGCTACGGCTCAGAGATGCTTCAGTGTTATAAATGGAATAAAGATATCTACGATCAATAATGACACAACAACGCTTTAACCATGCCTTTATTTCTCATATTCATTAAGGGAAACTAGATCAGTTAGACATGGAGATCATTTGTCCTGAGTGTATTGCAAAAAACTAGAGAAAAGACGTTACTGCGTATGAACAATAGTTTTTGTACTTATGATATGTTTGCTTTAGTTAAAGTTTAAGATTTTTTTATGCTTATGTTGATAAGGAAATAAAAATTTTGATAGTATAGTCTCTAGTCGAGAATCACCTAATGAATCTCCAGACAGTCCCTGTCGCGAGTTCTCGACGAGTTAAGAAAAATTTGAAAACTTTCTATCGAGGCTATCAAAAACCTACGTAAAAATTCGAAAGTATCTTAGAAAATTCGTAAGGGATTTCTAAAAAATGACTGGAAAGTGCTATAGAAATCTCGAGAAGTGAACAGAGAGTTTCTTGGAATTTCTAAGACACTATCCACTCAGTTTTTAGAAACCTTTTACAAATTTTCCAAGACACTTTCGGATTTTTACGTAGATTTTGATAGTCTCGATAGAAATTTTTCATATTTTTCTTAACTCCTCGGGAACTCATGACAGACCCTTCTAAAAAGTCCAAAATTGGTGGGGACTCTGGGGATGCGTTAGGTGATTCTTGACTAGGAACAGAATGATCGATTGTTCTGCAGCCATATAAATGAATCAATACAAAAACGTTTTCAATTAAAGTTGTGACAACGAATTTTAAAAGGCTATCTTCTCTCCAAATAGCGACTTTTTATCGTTCGTTGAAAAAAATTTGAGCCGCTCCCAAATTCAAAACGTTCCGCCGTCTATGGTGCATAGAGAGCCAAGGCTCTTCACGTACAGACATAGATCTAACGTGTATAGAACATACAACAGATATAGATCTATATCCGACCTGTGCGTGCTATGGCACCAAGATAGGCTTGGCCAGTTTCACGCCGATGTATGGAAGGCCTTCTCCGTAGGGCGTAATATATATACGAAGGAACACTTACTTGTTTTGTATTACTAAAATAGAAAATAGAAAAGTAAAATTTAAACTAAAATGAAAATAGAAAATCAATTATTATCATCATATAAAAATTAAAATAATAATAGACAAATGGAGGTAAAAAGCTGAGACAGCGAAAAAAAATTTAAAAACTAAAACTATAATACTTACCTGTAATATTGAACAATGGTAAGTGTGAATACAAGCTAAAATAGTTAAAAAATAAAATATACATACAATATAATAATGTAAGAAGAAGAAGAAGAAGAAGAAGAAGAAGAAGAAGAAGAAGAAGAAGAAAGAGAGGGAATGATTTCTAACGCTAAAAGTCATTACTATTTATAGTCATTTTTGTTATTCGTGATAAATAGATAATTGGTAAGCAAGTAAGCAATCGAGATCAATTCATTTCATTTCTATTTGTAAAATTTAACATCCCGCTCACTACATACACACTGTTCTTTGATGGTTTTGATCGATTGCTATGTGATCGATCGTAAAAATCACAAGAATTCCTAAGAATGACAAAAAAACAAATCTTGTAGTATTGACTATACCGCTAATTGATCTTTTATGTTGTTCTTTTTCCTCACCTTCACAAAATGAAAGAAGATAAACACTAATTCAACAACATCAAATGGTTATCGAAATCCATCACAATGGCAATTTTCAATTGTTTTTAGTGTCTTCTCTAACATCATTATATTATGGGACAATGAATGCATGAAAACAAAAAAAACAAGTCTTTCTTATAGTAAATTTTCTTTATTTTTTAGTTTGAATATTATTCTACTGTTTATTACTTATATTCATGAATTAAACAACAACCGGTTATACATTTAAACGTTGAACAATCTTCATCTTCGTTAGATCACGATATGGATACAAAAAATTATTTGATAATGATCAACAAGTCGAGTAAGTCTTAGTTTATACAATAAAGAATGTATTCTTGTTTTTTTCTTGTCTCGTTAAAATTTTAGATTTCTTCAATGTCGTATGATATTAAATGAAAATGATCGAAAAAAATGTTTTATTAACATATATGCGACAAACAATTTCGTCTTGCATCACATGATAATGTTCAACATCATATTATAATAAATGGCTGAACGAGATTGATTGTTGTTCCCTCAATTGTAGGAAGGGTCATATGAAAAAAAATGCGCTTGTATGTTTGTGGCAGGTCAAAAAAACATCGGTTATCATTGACGTTATTTCTAAGCTTCTAAGTTTTTTTTATGAAACTTTACTATAGGTTTTCGGGGTCGGGGAATCCGAACCTGAAGTCAGATTTTTAAAATCTCGAAACGAATTTTCTAGGACGGGATATGTTTTAGAAGATATTTAGATTCTATTTAGTTTGATCATAGATAATCGAGGTCTCAGAAGTCGTACTTCATTTTGGCTATGAGAGTTTTGTCTTTGATTTTCCTGGAAAAACAGTGTCTTGAAGATTTTTAAGATACGCTGATGATTTACCAGTTTCTAATGGGAATATTTCAGATCTATTTCATTTGGAAAGTGTTCAGTATTGAAATGGGAATTTGTTTTCTGTATGATGATACTTGATGTTGAGAGTGGCGATTTTCGCTTCAATGCAGGTTCTCAAAAATGGTCACGGAGCGCTCTTTGTTAGAAATAGATTTAATGGTAAACCGGAAAGCCGGTAACAAGAATTTCGAAATCTGAATTTCGACATTGCCGATTTTTCAGTAGAAATTCAAAAATTTTCGAAATTATATCGGAATTTCGACAACGTTGTCTAATTTCCATTATTGTCGAAATTCACAAGGAATTTCAACGCCAATAATTTTCGCTGGTTATTTGATGGTCGAATTTCCACCGCAATTTCGAGAACAACCATTTTTGCTTTGTGTTTCTTTGTCGAATTTCCACTAGAATTTTAACTATATTCTACAAATGTACCTATGACATACTAGATGTAGTTGTATATAATTCGATATCAACTATTGACTAGGCACTACCAACTTGAATATTTGTTTAGTAAGTACATTTTTTTTCATTTTTCTCCTCTTTAACTCGCTTATGTTGCGCTCCAGGTAGTGCGATAGCACATTCGATTTTATATCTCTACAAATAACCGACTAATGCTGCTATGTTTCCTTTCTTTCTGTGATTCTCGATCTTTCTATCTAGCACTTTTCTTTATTTCGATTACGACCGTCTTCTTTTTTTTTCTATTCATGCGTCTGTTATTATATATGCATTGGTCTTCGTCTCTATATACATATTGATATCTTATTCGTTTGCTTTATTAATAGTGGATATTAGTTGTGGTATGGTGTGTTAAGCTGTAGAAGAAAATATATTTATATCGTAGCACCCTTTCAAATAGTTGGGTGATTAAGTTTCTTATTCGATCAGACCTCTCGTTAATACTTATTTTAAATGATATCATTTTTTCAGATTCATTATTCTCTTACAGCAGCAACACACAACAGAATATACATATTCAGGTATTAATAAAAAAGAAATGGTAGTCACTACTCGTTCTGCAGCAAAACGTCACTATCAGTCAACTAATAGTTCTATCAATACAATTGCAAGTGAACCAGTGGCAGCGAAACGTGTTTGTGGAAAGAAAAAACAAGATGAACAACCAACATCAGTATCCAACCTTATACCACCACCAAAATCACACACAACAACAGCTTCATTAACATCGTCAGTCATCAATGTATCATTACCAACATCAACTGTTAAGAATAAATCATTGTTGGTAGTTTCACCATCTAATACTTCATTTCCATCTTCATCATTGTCTGACACATTATCTTCTATAACGGAACAAGATAAGCCATCTGAAAATAATGATGAAAAAGAATTACAAGAAGAAACAAAATGGTCAGTTGTTGTAGATAAAATTGAATGGTGTAAAACTAGTCGTGGCAATGATCGTTTATGTATGGGTGGATACACCTATGATTTAATATCTTGTTCATTAAAAAATAACAGTAGTCGTTATCGTTGTTCGAAAAAAGATATTGGTTGTCGTTCCGTAGTTTACATATCTCTTGGTTCAAATACATTTAAAAATTCAAATAATGTAGAACATAATCATCCACCAAATCATAGTGATGTTAAGCGTCTATTGGTAATGCAAAAAATTAAAGAAAGAGTGACAACAGAACCAACATCTGTTATTCGTATAATCGAAGATGAATATGTGAAACACCATTTGACTGATGATGATCGATAACGTTTTTTGTTCCCAGCAGCACAAGGTAGATGCCATTAAAAAGATGCAACATGCATATTAAGTAGTCTTTAAAAAAATTATGTTTAACATTGCATCCTTTTAGCTTCAAAATTTTACAAAATACGTTCAAAAATGTTACCACCTAATCCAAAATCACTTGATTTTGAAGTTCCAGATTCCTGTGCGATGACACATAATGGAGAAAATTTTTTAATCTATGATTCAACACGTAAAATCTTTGGTGGACGATTAATGATATTTTCAACTAAAGTATTTATCGAAATGCTTTGTGAGCGTGAAGTTATTCTGATTGACGGAACTTTCAAAACACGTCCGATCATGTTTGCTCAAGTATATGTCATTATGGGTAAACATCTTGGAGAAGGTATATTAACTTTTCATCGTTTCAATATGTTCAAATTTTAATCACCTTTTTTTCTTTAGTGATACCTTTCGTTTGGTGTCTTACGCCCAAGAAGACTCAACCAGCGTATGAAAAAATCTTCAATATTTTGAAAAAAAAGCAGATGAATATGGTGGTAAATTTGAACCGCAACAGGTTTATTTAGATTTTGAAGCTGCAGCAATTAATGCTTTAGAAAATGTTGTAAGTAGTGATCTGAATAAAGCGATGGATATGCTTATTGGTTCAGTAGATTTGCATATCCAATCATTAGAATCTATGTTTTCAGTTTTCATTCTATCTTAGTTTCCTAACGTTGTTATACATGGTTGTTGGTATCATTTCACCCAAAGTATTTATCGAAATATACAGAAAATTGGATTAGCATCGATGTATGAAAAAAAGAAAGATGTTCAAACATGGTTAAGAAGCTTTATGGCACTTCCTTTGGTGAAACACAGTGCACTTGATGCTAGTGTAAAGTTGTTAATGGATAATCCACCAGCATCGAACAATCTATTAAATCAATTTATTGAATATTTTCAAAACCAATGGATTATACGTGTTCCATCAAAGTATTGGAATATAGGTCCAATTCATCTCCGCTGCAATAATGCAGTTGAAGGTATGGTATAAGTAAAAACTCAATTTTAAATTATTTTAAATTTTTATAATATCTTAGCGTATAACAATCGACTTCAACATAGATTTGGCATGCATCCACAGCTATGGAACTTTATTCATGTTCTTAAAGGTGAAGAATCATTGGTGATGATGAGAACAAAACAAATACGGAGCGGTAATTATCGTGAAAAAATGATCTTATTCTCAACCAATACTCAACGAGCAGGAAAAAAAAATTAAAAATTTAGCTCGTCTATATGAAATAGGAACAATCGGTTTGAAATAATACATAACAAGTTTATCTTTTTTTGTCGGTCAATCAGCATCAATAAAAACCAAAAAACAATCTTGTGTTCAAGATTCTACAAGTGTCGCATCTAATACTGCTGATACTGCAGATGGTGGTAATTAAAGATTTCTGGGACTTGAATGTATTTTGATTTATGTATTCATATTGTTTTTGTTAAGAAAACGTACGTTGTGATTAGACAATTTTCTCTAAATATGCTGTTTATTACAAATTTTTGTTTGTTCACTTCCATTCTTATAGGCCTATCTATATATTCAAACTTTTTTTGTTATTTATTATTTTCTTTCATTATTTATTGGATGTTGTTGATAAAGAAATAAATTAATATATCTGAGAATGATATCTGATATCTATCAAATTATTTCTTTGTGGTCATCGGAAACAATAAAATCTAAAAGTCAATTGTCCACTGTAGCAGAATTTGCTGTATTCAAACGTCGAAATTCTGGTGGAAATTCGACCATCAAATAAGCAGCAAAAATGATTGTCGTTGCAATTCCTTGTGAATTTCGACAATATTGGAAATTAGACAACGTTGTCGAAATTCCGATATAATTTCGAAAATTTTTGAATTTCTACTGGAAAATCGTCAATGTCAAAATTCAGATTTCGAAATTCTTGTTGCCGGATTTCCAATAAACCGATTTAATGAATAAGTAAGTTCCATTTTCAAGTGAAGAGTTTGTACCTGAAGAATCGATTGTTTTTCTGAGTTTAACAAAACTGCAGTGGGCTGGAAATTGTGAAATATGAGTACTGTGTGGTATGGGGGGTTAGGCAGAGTAGCAGCTGCTAGGCGTGAGTGGCCCCCCGTAGGGGCGCCGATGAATGGCTAGCTTCTGCTTTACTGATGGAGTGAACGGTCAGAAGGAATATAGATGTGTAAATATACCTCGACTATCTAGATATAAGTGGTTTCAAAATTGCTCAAAATATCATCAAATTACAGTGTTACACTGAACTCAAGGATAAATTACCTTTAGGGGTCGCTGATAGGGGAACTGCATTCAATGGGAATCATACCTTGGTTGTTTTCGCTTTCATCGACTCAATGGAAGGTTTAGCTCTCTCAAACCACTCAGGAGAATCATTATTTTCAAGAAGAGGTAGCTTTTTACAGTCTCTCGAAAGATTATTTTCATATAACTGTCTGATTTATATATTCATCATTTACTTATTTTGTAGCTTGCTCAAATAGGAATTTCGATCGCGAAAATTGAAATCTTTCTCCACAGGTTCGACACGACTTACTTTATTTTGCTTTAAAGTTTTAAATTATAGCTAACTATTCACCAAACTGATTTTGTTTATGATTCATTCTTAAGTTGGAAAGGCTGGATGTGGCGTTGTAAAGTGCCAAGTTATACTTCCTTTCTCTTGTGATGCACAGTAAAATGGCCATAAGCATCGAAAGGGAACGGAGTTTAAAACTCTGTTTGATAAAAACTTTGGCGATATTTCTAACTGCATTTTTAAGCGGTCGTGGATTCTACGTCTTCTCTGATGATGAGGTTAAAATGATTCCCTGAAACATTAGACTCCAACTACGTATTAGCTGTAGATCATGTCTACTTTGATAAACCACGATGGAAGTTGTAGTGTGGGTGTTCCTTAATGCGGCCACGCATGTCTGAAAATGTCAGGCTGATCGAAACATCTTAAGTGGTATCATTCTTGATAGGTTGGTGATTTAAGCCACATAGCTTACTATTCCTCTGTCTATGAAATTGGCAGCTCTGCTTGTATGTACTATATGATTAGTATTAGCATGATATTGTATACATTGTACCAATTTTAGCGACCTGTTGGTCCTTAAATCACAGTGTTATCAGATGAATTTAGGACAGAAATAAGAGTGAAAATTTGTATAAGATGCAGTAATCTAGCATCAATTTTTATGCCTGAGTCTAATGTCATATTCATTCTTTTTCAAATACTGGAGATTAGTGTTGTTGAAGCTTGGAAAGCAGTAAATTATATCGGAAGAGCACAACATATAGTCGAGGGTCAAGCGAGTCTAAGCGACGAGCGTTACTTGTATGTAACTTGTAAGATTTAACATACACGTTTTAATACAATCATCATCTTGAACATTGCGAAATGTAATATTAACAATGAGAAGTTTGATTTCAGCATCAAATCATTGTCAAGAAAAGGTAATCTTTTTATTTACAAGAATGCCTTTACACAACTATAATTTATAACTATATATTATTCAAATTCGTGTCACATCGTATATGCACTAACAACATTTATAATCACGAATGATCCTGATCGTGATATATTATTTCCATCACAAAATTACAATTACTTCTTTTGTAAGTTTAATGATGAATTCTGTACCTCTTAAATGCTCAAGTTTAACTTTTGAATAATTTCACTGAGAAAAGATAAATTTGATTTATTTTCTTTTATATTTATTTTTCTAGATATATTTTATATGTATACAAAAATTGCTCAATATTTATGACTTATTTTTCAATCTTTCTAACCGATAGAGCACCTCGAGTTCTATATGGAACCGCAGTGTTTTACTTGGAAACTGCTCCTGACCGAATCACGACGATTGTTTATTGCGTTTAGCACATGGTTTTTGCAGTAATTCAGGTTTTTTGACTAAATAAAAGGACATTTTCGAAAAACTAATCTTTTGAATCGGATAGAGCTTTTCAAGATGTACTTGGAAACTGCGTGCGCCAATTGGAAACGTTTCCTGGCCGAATCGCGACAGGAAATAGTCGAATCCTGACCTAAAATATCCTACGTAATAAAATTATCTTTTACTTTATTTAGATTCGGTCGAACAATTGACTCAACCACGGTAAGTATAAGGTTTGAAATAAAATTATGCCTTGTTTTATTTGAAGTCATCGAACAACTTGTGCAACAAAGGTAAGTATAAAATTCAAAATAAAATTTTATGTTTTCTTTTATTTAGATATGATCAAAAGGTTGGTTCAACAACAAGCAAGTATTCAATTGTACATATGGTTATCTTTTATTTTATCTACATGTCGTCGTCGAACAGTTGGCTCAGAAATAAGTAAGTAAAAAATTTATAATAAAATGATTTTTTCTTTTATTTAGAATTAGTCGAGCAATTCATCGAACAGTAAGTATTTCTTAACCCTTCGGAAGGATATATGAAAGGGTTTATTATTTTCCTAAACCCTATCCTACACCCTTTGGAGAGATTTAGGAATCCCAGGTGAGCAAAAGACGAGTAAAAAGACTAGTCGCATATTTAGTCATGACGGGGCGTCCAGTCTTTTTCTCAAAAAGTCCTAGTACATGACTAGTCCGACCACACAGTGGATGGACGTCGTAGTAGTCAATAGGTCTAGTCTTTTTCTCAATAAAGACGCGTCTTAGACTAGTGAAAAGTCGAGAAATTGACTAATATACTGACATGTCAGACTAGACAAGACAAATACACTGACGTTTTAGACTAGACAGGTTGCCTGTCATGCCCTCTTTATTGCTCACTTGGGATGTTCCATGTACGGTAAAAAGGGTTTGTGATACGTTGCACTTTAATAAACCCTTTTAGAGTTAATTATTTTACGTCTTTTTTTACAGTGTACAGTATTTTAGCCACTATAGATAATAAAATATATCACTGGAGGATAGATGATTCGGAGTGTAGTCGAGCGTGAATTTATATGATTATGCGTTACTCGATTAAGAAAAATTTTGATTTGTGAGGCTTTCAACAATCAGTTATTTGTCTGTAGTTTCTTTTTTTTCTAAATAAGAATATTATTTTATTCAAATTCTAAAATGTAATCTTAGAAAAAAATTTGGTTAATAAACAAAGAACGCGTGGCTGCATGATACTATGAAAAAAAGTATATAACATTCTCTCGTCAATATCAATGATGTCAGTGTTTTATCTGTTCAACATCGTAAAAAGAGAATGGTGTATACACAATAAACATATGAAAATAATTTTTTTCAGTGTGTAATTATATATCGATAAAATTCAGCATTTTGATTTTTCCTTCATCGATATGAAAATAATATACGATATGAACCTAGTATTCATAGTAATTTTATAAGGCTATTCGACATAAACAGAAATATCTTGAATTTGTTCGTCGCATCTAGTTTCAGTTATGTACAAGACTCAAATTTTTATTAATTGATGGATAAATGATAGTAACCGATGGATCCCAATTCTATTGCTGTGTGCAATATACAAATGAATTTAACTCGTGGTTTGTTTGTATAGCTGAAGTAAGTTCATTAAATTGTTTTCTTAGTTTATTTCCCACCTATAGTGCAAAACAAATTTAAAAATTGAATATCTGTTTTATTGAATCAGGTGATATTAAATATTTGATCTTAAACTGTTTTGATATAGTCAAAGAAAATATAGGTACAACCTCCAAATTACTATCAAAAAATACCTTGTACTATCGTACACTTTTGGAGTTATAATATATATTAGACTAGAGAGAAAGATATCAGAAGAAGCAAGAAATTTTATTATAGGAATGCCTATCATTTACCTCAAAACTGGTTACCACAAATCAAATCCCCATTTCGGGTAATCAAATGAATATAGTGAGGATATTGATTTGTAATTTTTTTTTAATTGGCTAAACATAAGAAAAACAGTTTTACGATGAATCTGGTGACCAGAATGTATCTTGGGTTACCATAACGAAGAAGTTTTGGGTAAATCTGGTGATGAGAATATATTGTGGGCCACAAAAACCTACACTTTATAGTAACCCAAGATATATTCTGGTTACCAGATTCATCGTAAAACGGTATTTTTTACGCTTAGCAAATTCAAAACAATCACTAAATCAATATTCCCATTTTACTCATTTGATTATCCTAAATGGGGATTTTATTTGGGGATTGATTTGTGGCAATCAGTTTTGAAGTAAATAATAACCTACCAAAGATTTTGATGGGCTAAGCTTAAAATTCTGCTTATCTCGCTTCAATTTTTATTCATACAAAATAATTTCATTGTTGGATGATTGTTCTCGCCAATGTAGGCGGCAAATTTGTATTGCTGGATGTGTTGTTAAACATGTGAGGAGTAAAAATAAACAGAGAAATACTCGATCAATATGCGAAGGATACTGAAATATTTTATTCGTGATTATTCATGCGATGAGATGAAACCACTTTTTATCGTCCCGCTATTACCTTCGTTACTTTTATCATTAATCACTTTTCTTTCATACCCCCACGTTCGCCAATCGAAAAATTGACGTACTACGAATGCAAGGGATACAGTTCGATAATTTTGCTTGAAAAGTAAATAAGAGAAAGTGATTTTTTTCTTACAGTGGTGTATAAAAGAGAATGTAATACAGGCACTCAGTCTCACTGTCAATCTTATAATTACAATTTTAATTTCAACAACGACTGTCAACTGCAAGAGTTAGTGATCATGAACAAGTACGTGTTTGTAACCGTTATGTTGGTACTCATTGCCAAAAGTTCTATGGCAAGAGAAAAACACAACAATGATGATGGTGATGATGATGAGCTCATGGAACGTAAATTCACTGCTCGTGAATTAATTGCAGCACTTGCTTACAGGCAATTCAGACAACGAGATCAAAGCTCCTCCCCAACTAGCGAATTCAGTACCTTTCCAGACAACTCAGATGCAAGCGAATATTTGAGTAGCTATGTACCATCAAATGGCTGGTCAAGTATAGAATCATCTTTTCAACAAGACGAACCTAGTCTATGGCACAAATACTCCAGTTCCATCAGACGACGATCTGAAAGCAGTTTGTTTCCAGATAACCTTCCAGAGAGCTCAGATGCAAGCGAATATTTGAGTAGCTATGTACCATCAAGTGACTGGTCCAGTATAGAATCATCTTTTCAACAAGACGGACCTAGTGTATGGCACAAATACTCCAGTTTCATCAGACGACGACTGGGAACTAGCTGGTTTCCAATCAAACGAGCCCACAGTGCTCAAAACATCCGTGAACTTCATGTGCGTCGTCAATCAAATGATAACCAACGCCGATATAGGACATATTCATGTATGATGATGTGTCTACGCTGAAATCTTATCGAATAATATTGAATTTGAATGAGAGACGAATTTTTGAATATATCCATCATCGTTCTTAACATTATTCATCTACTTTATCATTCATAACTTCATTTATGTAGCGTTCAATTTATTCGATATCCATGAAATAAACGAATACTAACATCTCTCCCAATAGAGTATTAAAGCAATTTAAAAGTTACTTCATTTTTAATTTAATGACTTATTACGAAGCTTTCTTTATCAACTGCATAACATATTTGAATAAAATACGAATTAAAAGACTCTTAAGCATGATAAATGCATTTCATTTTATATTATATTGTTTCTTTCAAGTCATTAGATTTACTTTAGATTCGATTACGCAGCTTAAACCATGCATCTTATTCAACAATATAAAAACCGTATAGTATAGGCTTTAATTAACAAAATGCTTATTTTTACTGCCAACGTCTCTTTAACTAATACTAACAGCATAATTTTTATTCAATTATCAATAAAATCTTCTATCTGGTTCACATCTAACTATTCTTAGTTAATTACTTCAGTATGTCGTTTTTCAACAAAGATTATTATCATTGCCAGTGTGTACTTTCTAAGAACAATCATGCAAAATGAATTGAAGAGTCCACATTAATCAATCACCTTGAGAACAGAGAAGAGATGCACAGAATTTTTAATTCGTTATTGAAAGATAGAAAGCATGAAGTTTTATTCTATATATACAGTGCAACAATAGGACGACAATATGTAAACAAGAAATACTTTTCAAAAGTATGAAAATGAATGATGTTAAAAATATAGGAGAATTTACTTTCTAAATCGCAACCTCGAAAATTGTTTGATATCTTGCTTTTTGCAATATGTTGTTGAAATCAATTTCAAAAGATTGATTATAATGGAAAACGATATAGAACTGAATCAAGACCTTCACTTCGAAAGATGTGACAATAAAATCAATATGATAAACTGCAGAGAAAAAATAACTAGTACATTTGACTTCTTCATAAATCTGAACCTGATCAGTAACTGGCCTGGAAAGTATGCCAGAATTTCTTGACCGTTTGGTGTAATATCAGGTTGTCTTGAGGCACGGGGTTGATGCCGCGAATCAATGAATGTCATAGATATGTAAGGTATTTGAAAAACAATGCATTATCTGCTATGTACTGAAATTAGAATTGGGGATTTCAGCATGTGAACTTTAGTAAAACGAAGATAAGACTAACATCACCATTCCATCATCTACGATTTGGTACTTTGCACTCGAAACTTATCCTGATTGATATTTTCAATAAGGAACTAGATACAATCAAAGTCGTACAGGTACAACTTTGAATCAAAATAAAATGGCAAAAACAACATATTCAACTGTATATTCTTATTCGTCTCTATTACTTACATGAGCGTTTTAAGGACATTATGTCTAATTCTTCAAGTACGTGGACATTTTAACGTTAAAGATGTATTTATTTTCGATCTTCTTTCTTATATAACACGCAGTATAAAGCTTTCGTTTGATGTAACGTGAGTTAAAAATATTAATAAGTTTTGTTTTATTCTCAGTTAGGAGAAAATAATCGAATGAATCTTTATTTTACAAACAAGCTCAAAGTGAATCGGCTGTGTCGACGAAGAAAACAAACAACCGAACGAGCTTCCTTTGTTGAAGAAGAGAAAAAAAAGAGAGAACAACAAGAATAAAGAAATCAAGATGCGTCAAGGTGTTGACAAACTATATAAGAGAAACGAAAGAAAGAACGAAACCGTTATAACGCAAGACGATATCGGACAGCGCTTATAAGAGATGAGGAATCATCCTCATGACTTATTATGTAACACCTTCCCCTTTTGTCTAGGAGGTCGTCCCGATCTCCGCAACATGAGCAGTAATATTATCTTAACAACGTGATACTAAAAACAAAAACATGAGCCTATAAAAGTTTTTTCCTTTTTTTTCTTGAATAGATTTTAATGACCATAAAATCACGAAAAAACTCCATTGAAGTTCACTCCATAACATAATCTATTATGAAATCAATTCTAATATAACATTTCATCATAAGAAAACCATTAAGAATTATACGTTGATGATTGACAAGTCGTATTTCAATGAATCATACCCATTAATCGACATCAGATAAGCACACTGATGATAACAATTTAAAGTAACTAATTAAACTACTTCAAAACTTAATATGTGCTTCATATCAACTGTCGTTACTTGCTTTGTATAGTTTGCATTTTCTTCATTATCAGGATTTTCGATCTTAGCAATAAATGTTGCAGGACCTATTTGATTAATAATTCGATAAGGACCTTCAATTTTTTCTTGAAATTTAGATGTTCTGTTGATAACTCGTACCAGAACTAAATCACCTTTAACATATTTTGGGTCCGGTCGATTTTTATCATACCTCCTCTTGGCTAGTTGATGCTGATGTTTGATATTCTACTTGGCATGATTGAGAATTAATACTCATGATTGTTTCGCTTTTTCATAATATTCGTTTGGTTTCATAAGAGATATTTCATTTGTTTTGGGTCCATAATCAATTGATTTTCTCTGGTGAACATGAGTTGAAAAGGTGTTAATGATGTGGTTGTATGTATGGATCACAGGTTATAAAAATTCATCCCAATCCAATGTTTGATCCAAAGTTAATTTAGATAATGCTGGAGCAAATGTAGCATTAAACCTCCCCGTCTGTGCATTGGATGTTGGATGATACGGAGTCGCTAGTATATGAGTTGTATTACATTATTCAATTATTGTTCGTGTTAATTCAGCAACAAAATGAGACCCTTGATCAGTAATTAATTTTGATGGCGGACCATAATGATAACACACATCTAGAAAGAAATCAGTTGCTTCTTGAGCTGAATTGGTTTTAACTGCTCTCGCAAATGCAAATTTCGATTGGTAATCCGTCAACGTGATGACATATCGATTACATCGTGCTGTAGGATAATTAGTTGGACCCCAGTAGTCCATACCTACTAAACCCATTACTTCATTTGGTGTTGGAATAATATTCATTTTTCCAGGTCTTTTTGTTCGTATATAATTTTATCGTGTACAATTCCCGCAAGCTTTAATATAATCATTAACTGTTACGTGCATATTCGGTCAATAATATTTGTTGATCAATTTATGTGACGTTTTATTACTTCCGAGATGTGCATCTGTATGATGGTCGTGATAAAGAAGCATTACTTGATTTATGTAAAACTAATTTATATATGACACCATCAATTATTTCATAAGCATCATTAATAACTAAAGTTGTTATTTTTTTTTGAATATCCACATCTTTTATTTGTTCTTCTTTTAATTTCGTCATACTAAATCCACTGTATACTGGAAGAACTTTACATAGCTTGTTTGCCGATGATGATGTTGGATTATCACTCGTAACTACCTTTAATTGAGTACTATCAATCTTCGTTGTCATCGACTTTGGTGAAGAATTATCCGATGTATTTTTTTGTTTGTTCGTCCGATGTTGTTGCTTGATCATAATTCCTAGAACGAGTAATAATATTGATTGTTGCTATTGGTTGAAATTCTGGTTCACCATCATCTAATTCATCTGCATGAGGAAATAAATAACCTTCTTCTTGCTTTCGGATGAGACTAATACTTTTCAATGAATTTCCATCCGTGTGTAGTGGATAACGCGACAGTAAATCAGCATCACAGTGGCATTTTCCTTTCTTATATTTAATTTCCGTAATATTATATTCGGATAAAATATCAATTGACCATCGGTCAAGACGTTCGTTACCTGAGTTCTTTTTGTGAAATTGACATAGAGGACAATAGTCAGTTTCCACTGTAAAATCTTTCCTAAGTAAATAAGATCGTAATTTAACAACAGCTCATACCATTGCCAACGCTTCTAATTCTGTAGTAGAATACCTCGATTCACTTTTCGATAACACTCGTGATAAATAATAAATGATTTTTTACTTTCCATCTCGAGCCATTTGTTTAAGGACAGCCCCAAGACCAAGCTGTGAAGCATCAGTAGACAATGTAAATGGTAAATCAGAATCTGAATCTGGAAATTCTAATACTAATTCAGGGTCAGTAATAATCATCTTCAGTTGTTGAACTGCTTGTCGTTTTTCATCGCCCCATATAAATTTATTTCTTTTGTTCTTGGTTAAATTTGTGACGCGATGTATTGGACCAGCTATCTTTGAGAAATTCCTAATAAACTTTCTGTAAAAACCTATTCCACCGATAAATTCATTTGCTTGCTTTAATGTGGGATAATCAGATAATTGTAATTCACGAATAATTTTTATATTATCATGCAGTGGAGTAATTCCATATTCATCAATTGAATGTCCCAAATAATCAATATTCTTTTTTGTTATTGAACATTTAATAGGATTTAGTTGAAATCGATGATTGTTCAGTACATTAAGAATTTCATCAAGATGTTTCAAATGGTCTTCAAAAGTTTTACTAAAAATAATTATATCATCAAGATAAACCAAACAATATTATTCTCGACCATTTGCAATCAAACTATACATAATTCTTTGAAAGCTTGGAGGAGCATTTGTTAAACCCATTGGTAAAACATTAAATTTCCAAAGACCAGCTGTTTTTATAAAAGCTGTCTTGGGTTTATCATTTTCATTAATTGATATTTGAAAGTAATCCGATCGTAGATCAAGCTTTGAAAAGTATGCATTTCCATCTAGTTGTGGTAAAGTTGATTCAATTGGAATTAAGCTTTATATAGTCCATCACCAATCTATAGTCTCCATCCGTCTTCTTGATGAGTAAAACAGGAGAGGACCAAGGAGAAGCTGATGGTCGAATCAATTTTGATCGTTCCATTTGCTTAACTACAAGGTAACGCGACGTTAGCGTCGCCAACCCTCTACTGGAAGGATGCAGTCATGCAGAACGTAGCTATCCAAAACTATCTAGCTGAGAGACTTCACATTTTATAGCTTCGAAATGATTTTCATGGAAAACACGATTGATAACCGAGCATAAATAGAAAACTTGCTTGGCAGTATCATCAAAAAAACGGCATTTAATTACTACTTACTAATATTTTATGGCGATAGTGAATTTAAATGCATCCGATCTGCTACAGCTCAAGCTATGCTCCCAAAAACTTTCGATCAGCTTGATAACAAAGTGAAGCAAAAGATCCATCCAGGAGAGCTATAATCGAAATACTCCATTTTAGTAAAGTTACAACTCAAATTGGTCTATGAACTAGATATTTAACATGAATCTGCACGAGTAAATCATTGATCTAATCAAACTGACTTTTTCTGACTCGATTTCGGTTAGCCTTATCCTCATTTTTGCTCAAATCCATCTGGGTTTCTTTTGCTTCGGTGCGTTTTCTGTCTATAATGCATATATTCATTCCCGGGTGCACGTTCACGGATAGATAAATTTAAGATTTACATCTTTTGAATCAAATCCACTCGCAATCAGGAAAAACTAAACTTATTGACATAATTACGACAAATATAAATTTCAAATATTTCACACGAGTTGAGCAATTATTGGGTGTGGGTGTGGGCGTGTGCCCACGTCCTTCAGTTCAATAGGCACACCCACACCCACACCCTCAAGATTAGAACAGCCAAAAATCTCTTTAGCGTTTCAGTTTTCTGACAGGTTTTAGAAAAAAGTGTCCTACACCCACAGTCAGGTCTTTTATAGTAGGGCTCTCAGCTTAGGTCGCGGAATGAACTGAGACAAAATTCTCACAGTTCAAGTGGACAGATAAACAAGCACTATTATCTTAGAGAGATAATTGTTTGTCCTAATGTGTAAAAACGATATATCTTCAGCAGTATGGAAAGGCCTTAACTACAACGAACTTTGCACAGTCAATGAAGAGTGGTCAAAATGCAGAAGATATCCCAGCTTGTTAGGTACGCCCAGGACGAGCTTTACGACGTCCGTATACGGTGAAATACGGGCCGTATACGGCCGTTTTCTGCCGTATACGACGGTAAATCGCCGTATTTGGCCGTATTACATGGCTCCGTATTACGATCGTAAATCTCCGTGTCGTAATACGGTGAAATACGATCAAAAACGACCGTAAAGCGCCGTATTTCGCCGTATACGGCACGGAGATTTACGATCGTAATACGGAGCCATGTAATACGGCCGAATACGGCGATTTACCGTCGTATACGACTGTGTATGTTCGACCTGGGCGTTCTTGATTGTCTAATACTCACTCATGTTTTCCCATCAAACGATCAATGTTGACTAGAGAGACTTGTAAACTATTTTCGCTTGATCCTTTAAGATATATAATGTCTCTGTAGATCTTTCGATTCATCGTACTCATACTTTTCATAATTGAATATGCTCCTGGGAGTAATCAAGTCTTCTTCTTCTTCCAGAAAGTGAGATATTTTTGAAATATTGCATCCAATGTTAATTACTCTGCCATGGCGCCTAGTATTTACGTTGAGATCGATAATAAGTAAAGTATTTCCATACCTTTCCGCTAATGTTCGATTTTTTACTTGTCGATGTAAATGCGGTAAATCGTATCTCCTTCTTCATAAAATGTTTTCGTTCTTCGTCGGTTAGAGTGAGACCACGATATACAATCGAAGGAAATGGATTATCACTTTGGACATTTATATATGAACGTAAAAAAATGGTTCTCGCGTAAAGAGATTAATCAGAGTCTTACCAATTTCCGATGGAACTTTATTGGTACCAAATTGTATATTTTCACCATAATTGTTCACGTTATTTAATTGTCGTGCTAACCATCGCGCCTTTTCTGCTTCTCCAATTAAAATTCCTTCTTCAATTATTCCATTCGAAGCCTCTTGGATTAGGCCATTAATTGTTTTCTTATTATCAGCATTTTCAAGGTCTCGATAAATATCATCAAGCGAACCTTCGTTCAGCCAATATTTCAGTGAATCATCTGCTCCTAGTATCTCTTTGTCGGAGCACGTTGTCGCTATTGTTGCTGGAGTAGAAATTGTTACCGGAGGTGAAAATCTATCTTCTCTCAGTTGTACATTTGTAAGATGTTTATCAAATTGATAGCGTTTTATTGGCCATCGCTCATGTGAGTTGCTTTTCTGTTGAATCTGTTGTTTCAAATCAATTTTATAACCACCAACAATGTCGACATACTCCTGTCTCTCAATGTGCGCATCTTCAATAATTTCATTTTCAACATGCAAATATTCTTACCACTTCTCATCCGATGATTTCCAGTACCATTGAAAATTACGTGGAAGTTTATAGCAGGGTACACAAGACTGTGCCATAATTTATTTTATTTTTATTGCGTAATATCAAAGGAGAAGCCTTCTTTTTTTTATAACTGAGTATGTGTGACATATTTCGCTTTCTTATCTCTCTTATATATGTTGAAAGAAAGAACAAAGCCATCGATAACTCTTTTGTTTTTCTCGCTGTTTTGTGAAGGGCCCCATCTCAGGATTGCTGCAGGGTCACTTCGCACCGTTGGATAGCTCCATGCCTCAGCTACAAGAATATGTATTATGATCGACAAAAAGTCTTCAGTTTCGAATTTAAAAAAAATTACGAAAACGCGCAAAAATCGCCCTTCACTATTAAATCAGGTTGTGCAACCTGAGAGTGTGGTGGCGGTAAGGGACGAGGACAGCTACCATAATCTGTGGTTTTCACTGCAGCAACGCAGATCATCAGAAGGTGTGGGTGCTAATGTTCTACTCATACATACACCCACACCCTCAGAAACATCCTTATCGAAATCATTGTTGAATGCTGAGGTGCGCAAAACAACAGTTGAACTTAGATTGTGTTTTTAACTGTACATTTTATTTTAGATATTTAAAAAAAATAAAGATGAACCTGGCATAGATTTAATCTAGATACCAGGAGCGAAGCGAAAAGGCGAATTCATGTCACTCAATTAATTCAAATTATGTACACCGTAGAACAATTGGTTGCACTGCAACCAGCCGACACTTATGATGATTATAAGTATCAACTGATTCAAGGTAATAATTTTATTTTCAGACACTGTTCGAATTAAATTCAAGCTGAATGATGAACAACTTGATCGGTTGTTCAGTGAATGGCTTCGTGGAGATTTTTTCGCAAAAAGAAGAGTGGCTGTTTCAAAAATCAAAAACATGATAAATAACTAATAGTTTTCTCTATTCGTGTGTTTGCTTTATGTGATAAAAAAATTATGTTTTTGGTGTCAACATGTATTAAATGTACATTTTTATGGTCAAATAAAATTTAGAAAACATAATCATAAAAGTTTTCAATGCACCAACCTTTAAATAAATATGAACTACTAAGATGTATCGTAAGGGTAACCATGCAATAGTACCAGTAGTCATAACAAATGTTATGCTATAACGCGCAATATTAGCTCATAACGTCGTTATATCGCGATCGCAATAGCGGCGCAATAACGCCGTTATTCAACCGTTATCGACGACGTGGGACGTATTTCGCCTTCACTACTATCTGAATCATGGCATAACGTGATGATATTTTGTTGAAACAGTCAAAACAACAAAATCTTTTTTATTCCTGCTGTCAATTGTGGGCGGGCTCTTCAACTGTTCCAAACCCACATCCACGGTTCATAATTATGTACTTGCTAAACTAGATGTCAGTCATTCTCAATCTAAACTATAAAGACGACGCATATGTAAATATTGTCATTCGTCTTCTATATGAACCAATAGAAAATAATCCGATCCGAATTAAATTGATTTCTTTCTGAATATAGTTGAAATTCAAAAGAAAAAAGCATTTAAATAATAACCTGTAAACTAGTTTTAAGATGTCGGCTGATGCTTCAGTTGGAAATAGTAATGCTCTGGTTGTGCCAATATATGATAAAATCCCTTTGTCCTATTTACTCGAAGCTGCTGTACAAAAAACTTATCATGAATTATACACGATGGCAGATGTGTATGTATATCATTAATAATATTTCTGATTTATATATATACTTATATAAATATATATCTAATTTTCCTATTTTTATTTAGTTTGCACAGTAAATCGAATCCAGAAAGGTACGAGCCAACTTTTTCAAAAACAAAATGATGACTTATTGATCAATTCTTTTTTTTTAATCAGAAAAATAGAATTAGTTATATTTGCTTGCCGTGCTAGACAATTATTTATACGAATTTTAGCTGTAGTTAAATGGGCAGCAACAACAGGAAAAGTGACTGCATGCGAGGTTAATATATGTTCAACAAAAGTCAAATAAAACATATCTTGCTTTCTTTTCTTCAGGGTATACAAGCTTTGCTAGAAATTCGTGCTCGATTAATCCGAGAAACGTCAGACTCATTAGCTCAACTTGCACGTGAAAAACTTCTTGAAGCTCGCGTACCGAATTTCCCAGTCACAGACGCAATCGATGCACTCACACTTGGTTCCGTGAATTTTTTACCTAAGAGAATTGCAGAAGCAGCAACTAATTTTACGTCAGCTACTGAAAGTGAACGTCAACAGATTCTACCACGTCTTCAACAAATTCTCACAGCAAGAATATCGACTTCGGAATTGCCTATTCAATTTAGTACTGTAACAATTAGTATGTCGATGAAACAATATATTTGTCTATGAGATAATTGATTGTTTTTATAGAAAATGGACTAGTAATATTGACAGTTCATGGCGAATTTGAAGTTAAATTAGGTATAACAAATGATAATTTATCATCTTCATGGCGTCTTTATCAAACAAAATTATTTGTACAAGATCCAGAAGAACCAGGTACAGATTTTGATTCACAATTTGAAGAATATTACTGAGATAATCATGAAATATTTCTTTCGTTTTTTTTTGCAGAGCAAGATCTTGTTCATCCGTCGCAAGTAAGTTTATGTGTTGGCATATTAAACAGTTTTAAAATAAATATATATCTAGATATACGTATTAACAAATTTTATTCAAAGCTGGCTTAATGAATCAGAAAAACCGCTATTTGACCTTTATCAATATTTGCGTATGAATCTCTTCGTTTGTTTTTCTTTCTAGGTTTTCGATGTAATTTATTTTTGATTTTCTTAATTAGATTATTATTGTCAATCCTTACGATTACAAGTTCTATTTGAACAAGTAAATATTAAAAATGATCGCTTGATTGTAAATAAATTTTCACTTCTTTAAGGCTCATCGAATACGTAATCAAGGTGCTAAACAAAAAGACTTACTTATATCTGGTTATAGTGCATGTAAAAGTTTTAATGTTGAATATTGGAAAGATTATTATGCTAACAATAGTAATAATAATCAACAAAAAAAAACGATTCTCAATGGAAAAAATATAGGTATGTTAAAAAATAGCATCATGTTATTCTATATGTAGCAATTTATATTACAGATATTGGTATGACAATTCTCTGTGATAATGATGGAAAATTTCAAATTCAACATTGGCCACCTTTGCCTATTGATGATACTATTGCCGTTTCAAAGATTTTAGAAGTAAGTGTTATTCTTGGTTTATATATATTTATTGTGATCGATAGATAACTCCGGAGGAAAAAGTTAACTATTTTCTAGACTTCATTCAATGATAATCTTTGAGTAGTGAAAAAGAAAAAGAAAAAAAATGTTTGCATTGTATTGGTCCATGAGTTTGCTAGAATTTAAAGTTTCTCAAAACAAAATACGAGCTAATGTAAATATAAATCTTCGTTTGTAAAATATTTTACAACAACTACTATCAACTTAGAAATGATAGATAAACCATAGAAGCCAAAGAAACATTAAATTCTTTCGGCTTGTTTTTTATTTTATCTGAGCAAGAAATTAGTATGCATTGAATCAAAAGTTCATATGAAATACTCAAGGGGGAAATACTTGATTTTTCTTACCCAATTTCTAGGTGTTCAATGGATGCACATATTCAACGTTATCAGTTGAATTTTGAGAATAGAGTTCGAGAATCACATTATCTTGTTGTATCTAATTAGAAATAGAATATTTTATCAAACGAAAACTAATTTCTCTGTACAATTGCGTGCATTTTGAAGTACAAGAAGATATTGACAGAAGACTGATACAATCATCGAATGTGGACAATTCGACATACATGTGTTAAATTTTTTGTAAGAAACGATCCATAAAAGAACAATGAAGTAGAATGGAAATAAATAGTCGAAATATGCAAATTTTATCTTAACGCTCGTACTGACTCTATTCTTTGAAACATTAATTTTATTTTGAATCAAAAATACTATTTTCTTCAAACTAAGTTAGAATATACTATCAAGATGGAACATTTTATATCTTATCATCAGTTTTGAACCCAAAACAATTAATCTGAAATACATATTAAATATTTTCGTGTTTTTTTTAGAAGCCCATATTTACCATGGAAGAAATTTTAAATCGAACAATTTTTGCACGTTGTCAACGTCGATTTGAAGTTAGTTAATCTTTCTTTTTTATCTCGTATTGTCATCTAAATATTTTTATTCAGGAATTAAAAGAAACAATTTTATCAACAACTAAAGCCAACAGTAGTTTTACTCACAAATTTTTATGTATAACTAAATAAATTGTATTATTTAGTTGAAATTGATTCATCAATTCCAGCATTAAAATGTGAATTATTACCTGAAAGTACAACAGAAGAAATTTTATTCATATCAATTAATCCATTTTCGGGTTATTTCAAAGTTGTCTCCTATATGGGTAAATCTTAGATTAATCTTTTATCATATCAACAAGTTATTATTCTTATAGAAACTTGTTATTCACAACAAATTGAAAATGCACTTAATCGTGATCAAACAAATTTAATCGATACTATTAATCTATTCAAGCATGAAAATTCTTTTTTTCTCTTAGTATTTACTTATTTGTTACTTACTCTTAATAAATTATAGACTTTGGTTAATTCAACAACGTGTTCCGTCACTTTTAGCTCATATCAATTGTAATATTTATACACGTATACCATCATTAAATCTAAAAAATGAATTAACAACCCCGTTTATCAGCAATAGCATTTTTATTGAATTAATTCATAATGAAGGATTTTATATCGTAAGTTAGAATAATCGATACTTTTTTAAATGGATTATTTTGTCAAAAATTTCATTAAAAGCTTGTTCATGTATCTGATGTGAATCAATTATTAATTCAATACTATTTACTAATTGTTGAAAAACGTTCCTCTACGCATGAATCAGTTGTTCTTCAACAACAGGACACATCGAATCAACCGACGACAACCCCACCAACAACAACAACAACGAATGAAGAGTATGTAAAATGGACATTAGAACCACTTGTCTTATATCCATTGGATCCAACAACATTTTTAAGAAAAGAATTATTTGAAGTTTGTATCAATGAAATTTCTATTTAATATCAACGAAAGTGTTTTTAATTCTTCTTAGTTTAAAAATAAATTTCAATATGATAAAACAACTATAGACGATAACGGTATCGTACAAGCAAAATCGGTAAAGAAATTTAAAAATAAACATAAACAATAAAATTCGCTATTTTTATTTAATTCAAATATTTAGATATCAATATTATCACTGAAATCGCTATTAAAATTTGTTAATTATTATGATGAAATGCTGTCATTTATATTTCTGAAAGAAAATGTAAGTAAATATTTCTTAAGACATTTTAATAATCCAAAGTGGATTATAGTTGAATAATAAAAGAAATGTAATCTTGAATTTGAACTGATATTAATCATTTAAAAACCTATTGATTAAAGGTTTGCTTATTGTGAATACTCATACATTTCATGAATTTTCAATAATTTTAGTTCAGATTGTCTGTGATAGATTATTTTAATGATTCACACAGCAGAAAACAGGCGTTGACTAATTTTACTAAGTAATGAATTTTTCTTTGAATAGATTCTTATATTTTGAAGAATCAGAATATTCTCAGGCAAAAAACCTATGATATGCTTATCAGATTTATCTCTCGTATAGTAAAGTATTACTAACATTGACATTGATCATAATAAATTTGTCAGAACTCCTGATTATCAAAACTATTTCTGTTTAAATTGTAATTCTAAGATTTACTACCTCTGTCATAAGCCGCTCTGTCCTAAGAGTTCTGAATAAGCTGCATCTCAATCATTATCTCCTCCCTAATTGCGTTAAGAATAAGATTATTGTCTAGATAAAAAATAGAAATAATTCAGAACAATACATATATCTAGTTAATGTATGAAATATTCCATTCATCACAAAACAAATTTGAAGTGACAATGAAATAGGACTAGATTGTGTGGACAGCAGTTATATACTAGGTACTGCACTGTTTTTAATTCAGTTAGACAATTGTGAAATTTTACTTTGATCATATTTATCGATATACTTTTGATTATTATTTTAAAAACGATTAAAATAAGAAATACGATGAATATTTTCTCTAATTTAGTTTCAGCAAAAAAAGACACTTTGTAAAAATATTCTCTATTGTCCATGGACCGGCATACCTTATCTCGATATCGTTCGGTAAGCTTAAATACAAAACGATTGTTGATTTGAGTGATATTGTGTTCCGAATAGAATATCAACCGATGACGCATCATTTTCATCCAACACTGAAATTGTCAATTATGTTAATGAATATTTTTGGCCTCGCATTCAATCCTGTACTATTCGATTAGCTTATACTTTACGTGATATAGATCGTGAACATAAATCTGTTAGACGACAATGGACTCTTGATGTAAAATTCAAATAAAACAAAACCATTTATTGATACGTTGATGTTTATTTTTATTATAGCTGAATTTTTTCAATACGAACTACTTTCATAATGCTTTTATTAAAAGTAAATTTTCAAATTATAAATCATTTTATTTTATTTTTCTACATCTAGCTCCATTTAACTCTGTTGCTGTTTATAAGCAGTCATCATTATCAGCCACTACGTTAAAAATAGTCGATTTCGTACACCTTAAACTTCGTGGTGCATTTGAATTAACACATTTATTTGAAAATTATTCGCTATCATTATTAGGTTAGTTAAAATATAAAATATCTTTATTTTTCTACTCTATTTTTCTAGAATTAACGGATCTTCATGCAATATCTAAATTGATTTCATTTAATTTTTTTCAATGTACAATTCATTATGGACCAAATTTTACCTATGATGTTCGTATAGGAAATATTTTCAGTTAATGATAGTACTATTCATTTTTTAATTTAAAGGTAACATTGTCATATAATAACAGTCAAATACAACAAGAATTGATTTCACAATCAGAAGGAACATTTGATTTACGTTTTATAACAATAAATAATGCATTTTTACCAACATATAATCATATATTGAGTAGAAAACTAATATTGTTTTTAAATCAAACACGTTCATTAAAACAATTAATTCGGGTATAAGAAAAACTTTTTTCTTATCAAATTAACTTTAATACAGTTACTATGATTCTTAATTTTTGTTTGATCTCTTACAGTTGTTACACATGATATCAATTCCATTATCTTCAATTGCTCGATTAAATTGTTTCAGCCGACCTATTATTTATGTTAATCATGTTAGTTACCAGTTTAAACATTTTTCTTATCATTATAGTATTTGCAATACGAATAGAATAGCCATATAGTTCTAATATTTTTACTTGATATCTGTTGTCTTTTCAATTTATTTAGTTGATGGATATATTATATTAAGGGTTGAGTTAGCAATGAATAGAATAAAAAAATTGATATTAGAATTTTTGTTAATATAAGAGTTCTCAATGAATATGAATTCACTTTATTGAATTTTTAAATCAGCTGAAATGTTTAGACATATTTTATCTACGATTTTATGGCAACATTTTACAACTTATTGATTTCCTAGAAATGCCATTCTCAACGTACAATTATATAACCGCCTTTAATATCTATTCTGATTCGCTACGGAATAAGACAGGTCTATTAATATTATTGTTCTCACTAAGTTTAAATCATTTCAAAATGATGTCGTCGACTGATATGTGAATTACATATTTTTAAATAATGCCAACTATTAGTTTGATTAAGCACATTTACCAGAAAATAATATAGATATATGAGAAATTCGTAGGATATCATTCATCATATTGTTTCTCTTCATTATCACTATGGCGACTATCTCACTAAATCTTTTACATCGAACTTCTATGTAGTTTTAGAAATACATAAATTTTTATACATTGATTTATTCTCTTTACAGGGTGGTTGTGCCCAATCGATTCTTACATTTATTCCATATACTGAATCTCGTTGGCGTCTTATATTTGGTCAAATGTTTGCAGTTGATATTCAAATATGTGGACCCAATTTAATACTAGTTCGTGATGGTTCATTCAGTGTACAATTGAATAATTCATTAGTTGAACTTGCACCAATACCAAGACTTAAAGTGAAACTTTATTCACAATATAACAATGGAAATATATTTTGGTTTCTTATAGGAATTTTTATCTTTATATGCCGATGATCATGGTTTAACATTTGAATTTTCTGATATAACAGGTTGTTTTCATATGCAAGATTTTCTTTCTCCAATTCAGCAAGCACCACTACTACCTCCACCACCAAGTTCAAGTCAAATAACAAATCAAACATTGAACACAGCAAATGACTCAACATCACAGAATTCATCGATGGATACAACAGCACAATCGCCTGTTTCATCACATATTGATATCTATGGTAGAATAATTTACTTTCCAAAATAATATAACGTCTAATTACTGTACAAAATAACAATTTTTCTAGATGTGATATTTCGAGATGCATTGCCCATTACTTCAACATCAAAGTCTACCAATGTTAAATCAGATCAAACTGGTTAGATTTAATATTTCTCTTAAGCTCCATAGAAAAAGTTGTATTGGTTTCTTTTTTTCTTTCTATAGATAATCAACCATTGTCAGTACTGTATAGTTACAATCGTGAATTATTAACTAAAGCTAATTATCCTGTATATATGACTCAACAAACATTTTTTCAAATGCTTTTTACATCTGATGAACATCAATGGTCGAAATTTGAATCATTTCTTGCTTCATCGGTTCTTGTAAGACAATTTGCTAAAGGTGTTACCGAACCTGCTGACGTGAATAATCCAACTGTAAGAATAAAATAACCCAACTTTCCATTTCATCAAAATCAAATTTCAGGTTCGTGCTGTACCAACTGAACAAGATACATATCGATTAGAACATTTATCTCTTCAATTATCATTCATATTTGATATACCTACGGCAATATATCGAATGTATTTTACATCTTTATTTGATTCAACATCACAACAACAATCGAATACTTTCTGGTCACCCGAAGAACTTCAAATAATGGAAATATTTTTCAATGAAACATTTTTTCCATTATTACCATTGACAAATTTAACGATGCCACCAATCGATATATTGTCTTTACAAGCATCTCAGAATCTCAATACAGCTATGGGTTCATTTCAACGAATGCTCTCCCTTGTTCAGCCTCGAATACTGAAAGATCTAGTGAAAATCATAAGACTCGAACAGGTATTTTCAAATGCTAATATTAGTTCAATTTAATTAAACAAACTTCTTAACGATTATAGAAATTTCGATTAGTTGATCTAACTTACGAGAAAATAATGATTTTGATTATGAACTATCTTAGTTGTTTACTTTGTTTTTCCATAAGTTAATCGAAAAGTCATATTTTACTCAAAACTACCTTATATGAAGATCGCATAATGTATAGAAATGGCGTCTCTATCTAATATATAAACTATTTGTTTATTGAAGTTTTGGAGCATTAATTCAAATGATGTTAACAAAATCTATCTCAGCATAGATTGATCTACTTGTGATTAGTACTAGCAGCTATATCGTCATTCACATTTTGATTACTTAACGATTTTATGCATAGATATTTTGTTTATAATTTAGAATCCTGAGAGTCATCATTTATGGCAAGCACGTTGGTGCTTAACAATGCCACAGGGCAACGGATTTTCTCAAGTGGGTCAATCAGGAATCTATTATATATCTAGTCGATCATCGTTTATTTTTATGGTATAATTGTTTTCGTTTGTATTTTGATAAAAATTTCTTTTTGAACATGTTTTAGTTTCAATTTATGCCTCGAATAAATCAAAATGATTGTCAAGCTAATATCAACACTACATCACCATTTATTGTTCCGTTAATACACGATGTGAACAATAATCAAACAAATCTATGGGATGGATCAATGAAACAATTATTTATGGGAAAAGAAGTTAAATATCAAGCAATAGCAAGAATTTTGAATCTATCAAAAGAAACAATGAATAAAAGTATAGATCTTTATTTTTTTAAGCTAACATTCATTTTATTTAATAAATCCTTTTGTTCTAGATGAATGTTCATTATATCTATCAATACTCGAGTTAATAACCCGTTTACAATTGCCGTTGACATCTAATAATCCATCATCTTAATAATAATACTTTTCTTTCTTTTCTGTTGATTTATAAAACTTTTGATTTCTATGAACGAAAATAAGCGAAGGAAATGTTTTCATTGATGTTATTGTCCAAACGACGTTAAATAAATTTTTCGTCGTTTGATCTTGCGTTTGTTTTTCTTGCTACTACTCAGAATCTCCGGGAAATTTTGGTGATAAGAACGATACGTCCTGTTTAAATTAGACATTATAAAAACAGTCAACTTGCTAGATAAGTGTTTCTTGTTAATGACGAGAAAAATCAATATGTCGCATGATTATTATGAATATTCCATTATCAGATATTAGTGCAAAGTGATAAATTTAAGCAAATAAATTAAAAAAAGTTGGATATTGAAATTCAATCAAGAAGAAATGATCGATTATATATTATACAATAGTACAGACAGACTTTGAAAACTGTGTGAAAAACCAATGTTTATTTAAGCAAGAAAAAACATGGCCTATATGAGCTCTTTTTTTCTTACTGAGACATCGTCTCATTGGTTTTATTTTGTTTTTCTGTAGAATTTTTTTTTTCTTTTATATATGATCACTTATTTATCACGTATACGTGTTAATTTCTTCTTGATACGCACATCAATTCTTAATCGTAGATTATCAACTGTTGCTATTAACGACAACGAAGATTATTCACTTTCGACAATCATGACTGATAGTGTACAAGTGAAAGAAGGAAAAGCAAATATTCGTTTACCAGAGGGTGCTGTTTTCTATAATCCAGCTCAAGTATTCAATCGTGATTTAAGTGTTGCTTGTCTTCGTCTTGTGTCAAAATATCATCATGAAAATGAATGTAAAAGAATTAAGAAGACTGATCCAAATGCAGCTTGTGTATCATTTGATGAATTGCCAGCCGGTGTACGACAAGAAAATGGACTAAAAATTGCTGAAGCATTATCAGCTACAGGACTTCGATCTATTCGATATGCACGTGAAATTCCAGGTATGACGATAAATCAAAGATTAAAACATAGAAAATATTTTAGAGTAAAATCGAGTCAATGAACGGTTATTATTTAAAGTATTTATGCCTAAATGTTCACTTGTAAATGATTAGTTACTTTTTTTAATTCATAAAAATTGACCAATTTTAATCTTTTTTTCGCAAAGAATTTTTTGTTCAAGTTTGTTTTTATTAGTTTCCTTTGAGACCATCGAGTAACTGCTTTTGAATACTGTTTTTTAATTTTGCTAAGATATGTTGGACTCGTAGCATAGGTTTATGAAATTAATAATCTTGCCTATATTTTATAATTCTAGGCATTGATACAATCTATGCAAATGATATTGATGCGGGAGCAGTCGAATCAATAAAACAGAATATCGAATTAAATGATGTAAAACATCTTGTGCAAGCAAGTCATGATGATGCTATGAATTTATTATATAGTCACCGTAAATCAGATAATCAATTTCATGTTGTGGATTTAGATCCATATGGTACACCAGGGCAATTTCTAGGTAAATATTATTCTTTGTTATTTTTTCTCAATTTTAATTTTAATAAACTTATCCAGTTTTACATGTACAGACGGAGCAGTACAATGTATAAAAAAGAACGGTGTTATTTGCGTAACAGGTAGTGTAATGAAAAAAAAACAATTTTTCAAATGTTCTATTTTTTCTTTCATTATTCTATCTAGCTACTGATATGGCATCATTATGTGGGAATAATCCTCATAGGTAAAATGAAAGATTAAACTTTTTTTTTAATAAGTTGAACTTTCTTTGAAGTTGCTATTCCAAATACGGATCAATACCGTTACATGAACCGTTTTGCCATGAGTTCGCACTTCGTATGATACTCTATGCATTACATTTGCAAGCTGCTCGTTATGATCGAATAATTGAACCATTATTATGTATGTCTATTGACTTTTATGTACGCCTGTTCGTACGTATCAGCTATGGCTCTGCTAAAGCTCAAAGTCAATTAGGTTTGTCATAGATTCTATTTGTGAAGTCGTTCAAAACGAAAAATTTCAGGTGACATTGCAACAGTATACAATTGCACTTACTGTTCATCATTTTTTTTTCAACGCTACGGACAAGCATCACTTGATGAGCGTGGTAATGCGAAATTTAGATATGCACATGGACCCCCAGTAGGCACGCATTGCTCACATTGTGAGTCGAAGTAAGATCATTTAAATATTTCTAGCTCATTTTTTTTTCTCACATATACATTTAGTCTTCGAGTTGGTGGTCCAATATGGCTTGGGCCTTTATTTGATCATTCTTTTGTTAATGAACTTATTACATCAATCGAACAAGCACCTGACGATAGGTAACACAAAATACATTTCTACGTAGAAAGATTACTTAATATTAACTTTCGTTTATTCAGTTATGCCTATCGAGATCGTATGTTAAGTATGTTATATGTTGTAAAAGAAGAACTACCTGATCCATTATATTTCGACAATGGAAAGCTTGCTCGTGTCATGCATACACATATTCCACAAAATAAAGCCATCAAGTAATCATTATATTTGTCCCTTTTATTGATTCTAAATAAAACTACCATGTTTTTATTCTTTTAGATCAGCTTTATTAAATGCTGGTTATCGTGTATCAACATCTCATGCTCGTCAAGATTCTATAAAAACGAATGCACCGCATCATGTTATTTGGGATATAATGCGTGCATTTGCTGAACAATCATCAACAAAACGTGCGAGTACAGAACGATTAAACACCGAATCGCCTTATTATCGTCTACTAGCTAAGCCCTCAACAATTCAAGTAGATTTTACTGAACATCCCGATTGGGAGTCTGAAGCTAGAAAAAATAAATTAATACGTTTTATGGGTAATCCTCATGCCAGATGGGGACCAATAGGCAAAGCTGTAGCGAAGAAAAAACGTTCTAGCGAGGACAATGATTCAATACAAAACAAAAAACAAGTGAGATCTAAATAGATATTGATGAAATTCATTAGCTGATTATTTTCATTTTTATAATTAGACAAAATCTGATGAAGATTCACCAACTGAAGAAGTTCTGTGATGATTGTTTCTTGTTGTTCTTTATATTTTTGTGACAACTACTAAAACAAAAATTAATCTGTTCAATAAAATGAGATAAACACTGAAATCAAGAACATTATTGTTCATTAGTTTTCACAATAATTCAACTCAATACCATGTAACTATATCCAGCAGAATAGTTATTCGTTCGATGATGCTATGATGTAAGATCATGAACTTCCAAGAACGACAACAAAACTAAACATGATTCAGATATTAAAAGCAAACAAATGATATTTCTATCTATGTTACATAATTATTAATTGAAAATAAGACTAGTTTTTTTTCAATCCATTCGACATTTACTTATGTATCTCTCCTATGTCAGATGTAGACTTGATTTAAATTTTGAAAAACCTACACTGGTTCTATCTCTCACCTTCAGACTACACCTGAGTGATATTCTCTAAAATATGAAACTGAGCGGTGTACGATAATGCTTTTCATCACTATCGACTAAGGAAAACATTATCTCAACATTGAATTTGACCTAATCTAATCGCTGTTATAAATCAGCAGTTTTTTTTCTCCATAGATGCATAAGTAAACTATAAGATCGAGAACTGCTAGATTTCTAGCATATCAATGCTCATTGTGTCAATTTTCAAAAAGATATTCGTTTTTCAAATAGTAGTCAAAGTAATGGAATAATGATTATTCGGTTTTTTCTGCTAGTTCATAGACAGTTATTTATTTGCACATACGTAGCTGATGTAACAAAGCTTGTGTGAACGATAACTTTGCGTACAGGAAATTCACATGATGAGAAGAACTAAAATATGATCACGGTTCTTAGCATATATTGTATTTCATTTTAATTGTGAAAAGATTTTGCTTTATTTCCACTTGACACGAAGAGAATTTAGTCTAACGCTTTTTCATGTGTTTTCAATCAGGTTCATTATTGAGCAAAATACTAATCATTTAAATAATAAGCACTGCTCCTATATGCTCCTATTTTACAGTATACCATTGAATTCTTATGAAATATCCATCATCACAAACCTGCAAGGTATTTCAACCTACAAAAATTCCAGACAAAAGTGCAAGTATTGAATTTATGTTTTGTTTTCGGTAATTCTATTTTTTAGCGATTTTATAGCTGAGAAGGTACTGTTGTTGAGAGAGACTGATAGATTGCGACTGTCCGTGTTCAGTGTATCACGATTGGTGAATTTTCAACCAATCATGAATAGTTTTAATAAATTAAAATTCGATGAATTTATTTCAATAAAAATTATCGATTAAATTCTAATGAATATCAATAAATTAATCTCAAAATATTGAAAATTTGAAAACGATATTATTTCTTTGAATCCTCCTCAATTTCATAAATCCATACAATAACAGAATGTCGGACCAATGAGAATTTCGGAAAAAATTTGTGTCACGACCCTGTTCAAACTTACGAAATTGGTGCTTTTCGAGAAAAAACATATAAGAGATTCATCATATTGAAAAAATATGAGGTAGAAAAATACGCTAATTTCATTCGATAAACTTGATTTATTATTTGTCTATACTAGTTCGCTCCGAGTACAAAAGCGGCTCGCGTCGTCAATCTTAAGTTGTGGTAATAAAAAGATCTGGCTCGATCCTAACGAAGCTAATGAAATTGCCAACGCCAACACAAGTAAGTTATTTTTTCTCAACATATCCATTCGTCCTGGCCCTTCAACAATCATCGGTTTTTGATGTAATAATATTTTATTGCGCATATAGCATTGATCGATACACACGAAGGGGATATCATAAATTATCAGTTTTGTTTGTCTTATACTTTTGTTGCTTTTGATATTTGATCAACAGAAAACAAATAACCTGAACAAAAAAAAAACAACAATATTATTATTGAGCTATGCTAAGCATTTGTCTTTTTTCTTTTAATTAGGACAAAGCGTACGTAAATTGATTAAAGATGGTTTAATTATCAAAAAACCAGTAGCTGTACATTCACGTTTTCGTACACGCAAAAACAATGAAGCTCGTCGTAAAGGTCGACATATGGGTCATGGTAAACGAAAAGGTACAGCCAACGCACGTATGCCAACTAAGGTTAGTAAAATTTTCTTGCTGCCCTTTTTACTTGGTCTATGATCACTTTTTAATTCAGATCCTTTGGATCCGTCGTATGCGTGTTTTACGTCGTTTATTGAAAAAATATCGTGCAGCAAAAAAAATTGATCGTCATTTGTAAGTTATTTTATGCATAGAATACACAAAATAGAGAAATGATTTTTCTTGTTCTTAGATATCATGAGCTTTACTTGAAATGTAAAGGTAACGTATTCAAAAACAAACGTGTATTAATGGAATTCATTCATAAGAAGAAGGCTGAAGTACAACGTACTAAGATGCTCTCGGATCAAGCTGTTGCCCGTCGGGAACGTACAAAAGAAAAACGCAACCGACGTGAACAACGTATTCGTCAAAAACAGATTGATTTTTTGGGCAAACAAGACGATGATGATACAAATGTAGCTGTTCAACAAGCTATTCAACAACAAGCTCAAGCACCTGCTGCAGTACCAGCTTCACAACCACAACAACCAGCACCAAAAAAGGACAGCGGTAAAGAGAAAAAACAACAAAAGACTCAAGCACAACCTCAACAAACCCAATCGAAAAAGAAATAAAATATTTTAACTTAAAAAAGACGAATATTGGACATCAGTAACATTCATTGTGTCTTTTTATCTCGTTTTTTTTGTCATCGTCATCGATGAATTTTTCTTTGCCGTTTTTTTTTCTATACCATCAATAAATAAAAACAAGCAGCCACATATATACAATAAGAAATGAAAATATATGATTTCTCTTTATGAAAAACTTACGAATTTTCTATGTTCGTTTAGCAAATAGAGCTCAATAGAATTTACAAAAGCGGCTTGTATAGAATTGATTCATTTTTGAAAGTGGCTAATTATCAAGCTATAGAAAGACAATGCTATTAAAGCGTATTTCTAAAATCTAAACTACCTCATAAAATTCGATAAATAATAAAATATGAATTGCTAAAGGTTTCTTCGATCAGATGAGCTAAAAGATCGAAAAAGAAAGATATTAATAAAGGTCATGTTATTCTTTTCATTTACATAAACGATATTTTGATGTTATGATCTGATATTATTAAGCGACAAGGTAATATCCTTTTATTTAACATTAATTCAATTAATTATTTAATTTTTTTATAGTTCTCTTACCGAAAAAAGTGAAACTTAACCATGCATTATAGATTTAAATTCAAACAAAAAAGTGAAAGAGATGTCATGTGTTGTTACATGAAGGCAAGAGTTCTACGATGAAATTGAATTAGGTTTCTATAAAAAGCTCATTTTTTACTATTCGTGAACAACTTTTACTATCTAGATTAAGAAAATTTCAAGCACAGTATCATATTCCGAGAAGTTCACTTCATAGAAGCCACCAGATACTATAAAATTGCAGACGCACAATTCTTGTATGATCTTTTAGTTTAGTCAGTCATTGAGTGGTCTTGCCAATCGATCTTGCATGTTGCCGTATTGAAGAAAATATTCTTCTAGTCTGAATCTTAAATAATAAAGATAAACAGAAGATAGATCTCATGAAATTTAGTTTCAATGTATTAATCTTGCTATTTAGGAGTAAGATAGTATATAACTTTTGAAACAATCTTAATCGGTCGAGAAGAGTCTATCAGAAATATCTGCCTAGAATAATAACGATGCAGCTGACAATGATCTATAGACTTAACTTATTTCTATATTATTGTACGGTTCATAAGCTAAATCTTGCACTCATATCTTACTATTTTCTCGTTAAAATGTAGTATCTTGTGCATCTGCATAGAATACTTATTAGTGTAGAGTTGCTTGTAAGATTACTATCATTAGATGTTTCGTTACATGATATTGCAAAATATCATTGAGAAACATTTAGTGATCATATTTTATTGTGTAGTTTTTTTTAAATATATTACCTATATTTTTCTTAACTATAGCATCGATTTTGTTTGTTCCAAGACTCAGAATGGGAATCATTTGGTGCACTTTAGCCAAAATGAATATGGAAAAAGAAACTGAAATACTTGTGTAGCATTATTTTTTTGTAATACATCAAGTAGACATGCAAATTTTTCTTTTTTACATATTCCATGTGTAAGTTTGATTGTGTTAAATCTTTACATGAGAAGTTTTACTATGTGCTGGCTGATCAATAGTTAATAGGCATATAATTACGATTCGAGTGATGAAAATAAAAGATTTTGCGATTATCATCCGTATGAGATGAATATATTTTCTACAGTTCAATTTTTGATAATAGTTTCTTTTTGAAAATTTAAATTGTTTTAGTTTACGTTTGAAAACCTATGAGCTACTTGGTAATCTTTTCTAACGTAACTTTTCTACAAGTTATGAATTTATTTCAAATAATAAAGAAATTCTTTTTATATGTTCTGATATAAAAGATAACTGAAATGATAAGAGAAATCTAAATAACGATGAAGCTGAAATAGTTGTTAGCAATCACATTGAATCATATGTGTCTCAGTTAAATGTAAAATAACTGATTGAGCCTTTGAAATTGTCAAGAATACCATCGAGAACCGCAACTATTAATAGTTGAGAGTGAATGAGGCTGATCGTTTTTTACGTCGCTACTATTCCTTAGCAGCAAGTCTCGTATTCTAAAACAAACTTTGGTTTATGATACTAAACTTCTCTTGGTAAAGTACGATACAAGTTTCGTGTGATTGCGTAATAATATTTCTCTAAAGAATTATGAAATTCGGTTAAAACACAGCACTTTTTTTGCATAAAATCAATAGATCAACGCTCACTGTTTTAGCCTGCATTCGAGAACAACTGAAACTTCATAACCTGATTGCGGTTGAAAGTGATCATGACATGTGTTGTTGATTTCATTTTCGCTGCTATCAAATTCTCTAAGCTTCAATTGAAATGACTAGCTACAAAAATAAAAATCATCATTAATAAACACGAGTGTAGCGTTATCTTGTCAGTCAAGCATATGTTTCATAGAGAGAAACACATCGAACTATATAATGAAATAAAATATTCTTATTCACATCATTCAACAATGAAGTCAATCATTATTCTATCATTAGTTCTTATTGTTTATGTTCTCGGTAGCGAAGGTTTTCTTTTTTCTAAAAAAAATGATACATCTGGGCACACGAAAGCACCGAAGAAAGGTTCAGTTGTATAAATCTAATTCATTCAGTTACTTTATTTCATTTATTCATTTATTTATTTAGAAAAATGCATGATTGTTAAGGGTAAAGGAAAAAATTTTGTTGGTGATATTATTCATATACACAAAGATTTTGCTCCAACATTGAAAATAATTGATAATATTGCTAAGCAATGTGACATTAAATTATCAATCAAAGGTTCTTATGAACCAGTAGCAGATCCATCCAAAGCGCTAAGATTTAATGCAGCCAACGTTGGTAAACAACTTACATTTGTCATTATGGATAAAACGGGAAAGAGATTAATCTGCAATAAAATTTGTCTTACTAGTAAGTTTATTTATAATCCAGACAAGAATACATTTTACTCATATATAATATATCTTTGTAGAAGAAGGTGAAAAAGTTGCAGAGGTTAAATGTCTTGCTATTAATTTACGTAAACAAAATTTAACTTATGCTCCTCATGGAGAAGCAGGTACACTCAGTGATGGATCTGATACAAAAGTCGGTTTCACTGATGTTGCTCGACGTATTCAAGAAGCATGCAAAGGTGTCAAAATTTAATATACGTGACCTATTCAATGATTATTATTGGCTCTTTAAACTTCTTCTTTATTAGATTAAAATTCAAATAGATATTGCTAATAAAATATATCTCGATATAAATAGTTTTTTTTCGATTTTAGTAAACGCACGAAATATTCGTATATTGAATCTACAAGTATATAATTTAAGTTCTTTAAGCCACTTTGAAATGGTTCCTTAGATGATTGCCATTGTGCTAAATTAATTAAATAGATATGAACTTCGTTCTGGTGTTTTGCATTAAATAGTTTCCCAAAAGCAGACATTTGCTGTATTTTATTAAAAATAAAAAGTAACTTTTCATAAGAAAATTTTGATTTCACTCTTTTTATTAAATGATCAATACAAGCCACGAACAAAATGTTTTGATCTTTTTTTTTGTTATACTTGTTAAGATGGCCACATATATACATTCATACAAGGAGGGAAAAGCTGATCTATAATTTTGTGAGTTAAGCTGATTTTTTGATTTAAAGCGATTTTGATTTTTAGCTGAGTTAAATCAACTTTTTCACCCTTGCATTCATATGTTATTGTGTTGTACACAAACATAACAGAGCAAGCTTTGTACAAGTCAATTTTTGATTCTTTTCATTTTCAATTAAACACATCGTAAATGCTTCGAAAGGCAAAACAGAAAGACTATAATCCGATAATCGATTAACGAAAAAAATATAATGAAGCTTTTTTTTTATTCTGAGAAACTATCTGTATATATATAGCTACTTAGCAAATTTATCTATTTTGTTAAACAATGATTACAATATAAATGGTAAACCAGAAGGTACTACTCCATATAACAAGTTATACAAGAAAAACAAATTCGCTCTCAGAAACTACTGAGAATGCAATTAATTAATCACCTAGAAGATTGTATGAGTTTCACTTTCATGTATCTGATGTATATTGAACATACGATCGAGAAACTGAACGTAGGCATTCATGTTCAAATAAAATGTTCACATTCTACTAGTACTATGCATCATAAGAAGAAGAAAAATTAAACAATATTTGTTAATCTTCACTTGATCATCTTTCATGAGATATCATCAACATCATTCATCGTTTATGCAGATAAATCACATATGCATGTTGATACTTGCAGTAGATCAATGACATAACAATTGATAGTTGAAACAGACATCGAGACATGTTAAACAGAGGTAAGCATTTTTTTATCATCAAAATCATCTAACTGGAAATCAAAGTTCTATAAAATATGCTGACATTATCTTTCGATGAAACGCTTTATTGTTTTTAGTTTTCTATGCTAGTCGTGTGGTTAAACATAAGTACTTTGATTGGATGTTTGTATCTGGATGAAATAAGATCGGAAAGCTTCTATCGTATTCATAAGAGCATTTGATGCCATTTTAATCGTCTCGGTTTTTGATTCATTCAATGATCAAAATATATTTTGCTCTTACTAATCTATTAATTATTTATAAAATTATTAATTCATTTGTATATGTTCATGGCAAATAAAACTGGACAGAGTAAAAAAAAGAAAAATTACGTAAAATAGCACTGAGATGAATCTCATTTTTTCGCTATTCATTCTGACATGCACAAGTGTATTTGCTTATATTGCTGCGTGTTATATCTCTGTCTATTATCGAAACAAAGAAGAGCGAAATAAAGGTTATAGGAAAACAAGACATTTGAATGGAAGTAATAAATATCTCGTCGACAACAAAATCATCATCATCAAACAATAGTCTCTTGATCGGGTTGAAGTTATGCCAGTCATAGTAATAAAGATGAAAGAATCAAATGGGATGTTTTCACCTTTATTCGAGCGATCAAGAAACCTCATCCTTTTGTTCTTCTTCTCTCTAGTATTTCATTTTCTTTCGTCAAACTTACTACTTCAAAAGCTAGACATATTGTTGTTCGAACCAAAAACAGGTACGCATATGTGTGAATAAATGAAGAGAACGGAATTCGTTCTTGCATTAGTATATCGAAAGAGCAAGGCGATAAATACATAGGACAGACACCAGTTATTTTTGCTCATTCAAAGATAAAATAGATCATTATCATATCATTAGATCTATTAGTATAATTTCTTTGATATAAGCTGATATAACGTACAAAACATCGTTCTGTTTTGGGGCTAGTACTCCGGTAATTAAGCAGAGATTTATTTTTTGAGCTGAGACGTACCTTTCTCAAACATCGAGAACTAAAAGTGTTTGAATACCATAGTTCCAGAAAGTAATCCGTTAGAACAGATCATTCCGAACTAGATTACATTTTCGATAAACCTAAGCAAGCATTCGACTTGCTGACATTTATATATAAATATATTAGATTTCAGGGCTTATCAATCATGAAGTTTTGTTGTACATGTGATAGATATGCTTAAGAACTGTAGTACATGTTGTCTAACCCCTACTAATCGCATGTGTATTCATTCGTTTGAAAGGCTCTTTCGCTAGCAATAACTAATTGAATCATAGGTCGCCATTCAAAAGTTTCATAAAATAACTTCAATGTGTTTAATCGATCATTTAGAATTGAATTTTATTACACACTCTTGCAAAACAATCAAAAGGTATAAATACAATATATTTTTTTAAAAAATCAGTTTTCACTAATTCGCCTAGAGAAAAACACTAGTTCTACTGTATACGACGGATAATTTTAGATAAAACTTCGATTTTCATTTAGGTAAGTTTTGTTTGTGATAACTTTATTATGGTATCATCAGAATAATTAGACTTTAATGTATAAGTATATGAGTAGTAAAAAAAAATCACCAGCGTTTCAAATCGTATATCCAGTATTAAAAGAATTTCAAGAAAAAAGTAAGCATCTTATTTGTTTGTCACTGAAAACTCAAAATTTATCATTAATGCAACCACCAATAATAGAGTACCCTCAAGGAACCACTTTTGTTTTGAGTTAAACTAAAACATCTGTGCCAAGCATTTTCTAAACGCATAGAAAATAAATTAAAGCTTAGTATTGAGCATAACAAAAAATGATCTGCCACTATAACAAATTTAGTGTTCTGCAAAAAGAAACACCAACAGTGCTATTGATTATTACAGGAATAATACGCAAAAACAGTAAACTGATCTATTCCCACAATTTGAAAATCATTGGCAGAGATGCGACTCACTGAGTCTCGGCGTGTAGCTCACCTTGTAAATGATCGATATAATTAATAGCAAGTAAAAACTGTCTATTAGGATCATTATTTGTGTATTTCTATTCCTGCATTGAAATCTTCAATTGCGTACCTTGAAATTTTCGGTTACAAATCCCAATCATAGAACTAGGTGTTAATGAGAATGAATTATAGAATATGAAAATAAACTTAATTGTTCTCTTATTAACTAAAAAAGTATATCTATTAGAATATAGTATAATGGGTAAAACTAAAAAATTCAACAACTCTTCGAATCCATAGAAAAATTGACGACAACGATATATATTTAACTGGCTTATACGACGTTTTACAATATATTAATCGATTAATAAATACTAAATCTCTGTTTAATATGAATACCATTCAAAAGAAATCAGCATCATCGATCACTGATACTAAAAAAACATCATTACCAATAACGAATAATATAGCTGTTGCATCTTCGAGTAATTTATCAAAGTCAGTCCAAGACGATGTTCAAAAACCATCGATATATGAAGAATATTCGGTTTTACAATTTAATGATACTAATACAGATAATATTCGTCATATTGAATTAAAAGAAGCATTAGGGTTAGATTTCAATTCTTTTCTACCTGGTAACAATCAAACTCAAATACATTTTATCAGTAATGTTCAACCATATTCAATACCTTACAAAGCTGGTTTACGTGATGGTGATCGCATTTTAACAGTTAACGGTTTAGATATAACAAATAATACACATGAAGATGTCCGAAATATGATTTTGAATAAGTCCGCAGTAAAATTAACAGTTATGTATGATCCAAAATATTTAAGTTTAATTCAATGCACTAAGAGCGATCTAAATAAAACAACTTCTTCGCCACGATCAAATTATGAATCTAAAGAGAGAAAACTATCAAAGGATTTGAATACTATTTTATTTCTTGATAGTCAAGGTCCCGTTAATATAAAACATTGTATTATTAAAAAAGAAAGCGCTTATAAAATGATAGGTTTTTTATTGCGTTATACAGCTAATCTTCATATGACCGATGGTGTTAAAATTAATTTTCCAGCTTATAATAGTGGCCTACGTAGTGGTGATGTTATTCTATTCATTAATAAAAAGAATATTGAACAAATGACACATAATGATGTTAAAGTGATTATTCAAACACTAACAAATTCAAATCAAACTATTGATTTAATAGTAATTAATAAGAATGATATGCAACGCTACAGAAATTATAAAGAAAATAATGTTATCGATTGGAATAGTATTCTATCAAACAATAATGAAGATGATAAAAATGAAGAACAAAGTAAGTTATATGTTATAAACATGATAGGACATGTTGAATCTTTCTTTGTGTAGGATTTTTAAAATTAGAATTTTCTTTCGTTTAAATATTTGTCTTGTTCCCTACGTGAAAGTCATTATCACCATAGTTCATTGATAGAAATTGATGCATTTCTTTGTTTTATTGAATATTCGTTTACTATATGATTATATTTTAGCTGAACCATTATATTCTTGTCTTGATCATCGTCCTTCAAACATTCGACCTGAAATATCAACGAATGCTTTTCCAATAGGGAGTCGTATTTGCGTACTGGAAATATCGAATACTCGTAAAGCTGGTTTTGCAATCAGTAATACGAATTCACCACCATATATTGTTTGTAAAATTGAAAATAAATCGCCAGCAGAAAAAGCTGGTTTAAAACTTAATGATATACTTTTATCCGTTAATGGAAAATCATTGACTGAAACAAGTTACAAAGATACTGTTCAATTAATAAAAGAAGCACTTCAACAAAAAACTATTCAAATGGTTGTTAATCAACAATCATCATCAGAAGAAAATCAAACAAAAGAAAAAAGTAAATCATTGACAAGTCAACACAGTGACCATAGTGATGTTCTAATCGTTGATTCAAAAGAAATAAATTCCAACACTATCAACACTGTACAACAATATCAAAGTATGTAGAAAAAAAATAAACAAACAGATGAGAATCTTCTCATTTACAAAACCAAATCGCTCAATTATCTTTCACTATCCCAGTTTAAACTTTAATCGTCAGTTATTCATGCAAACAAAACTCTGTGAATAGAAATAGCTTTTTTTCTCGTTATGTTTACTCTATTTCTTATCTTCGTATTAGGTCTGTTTTAACTCATCTTTCTTTCTTTCTTTGTTTCTTATTGTAAAATATTCTTTAAACTAGTCCTTTAGTAAATGAATGCAGGATTAGTCAACTTGTTTTATCTCTCACACATTGTTTAAGCTGTGATGACAATCACTTCTTCCTTCATACATTACTTATAATCGAGATAAACTTTTCGTCGATTACAACAAAACGAACATGGAGTATGTCCAAGGCGAGTTTTATTTTACATGGAATATTATTTACTTCTACGTATATATTGAATAAATTATTTCATTTTTCAGGGCAACGAACTAAAGAATTATCTTACACATTACGACTTTGTCATTTACATGCAACAAATACTACTGATGGGAAACCAACAATAACATTCGGTTTTGAAATAACCGAAGATCCTGATTATGAATATCCAGTTATATCACATGTTGAAATAAAATCACCGGGTGAACGTGCTGGTTTACAAGTACGAGACGTACTATTAAAAGTCAATGATCGTAAAACAAAAGGTTTAAAATTTGAGAAAGTTAAAAAAGCAATTGAAAAAGGTAAACAAGATGGTCGATTAGAAATTCTTGTTGTTGACAAAGAAGTATTTGATTATTGCAAAAGAACAAACAAAAAATTCAAACAACCTGATATTAAAATAAAACATATTTTTCCAAAGAGTCGATTATCCACAAGTTTATTAAAATTACCTTCAATAACTGCAACATCATCACTTACCCCAGACGATCGTACAGAACAAATAACACATGCTGCTTCTACATTTAATGTACATCGTCTTTCTATACCAAAACCAGCAGAATCCGAAGATAAACAAGTCGATAAAGTATCATCTAATTTTCAATCCAAAGTTGACTCTGATATTCCATTACCAAACAATCCATATGATACTACCGATACTTCTATTTTTCATGAAACACCATGTATATCTCTTGATTCTGTACTGAATTCAGTTCAACAAATGAATACATCATCAGTAGACCAGAATTTAGCAAGTAAAAAACAAAGAGAAGCAAGCCAATCATCAACTGATCAATCAATAAAAGAGTTCATATCAAATACAATCAATAATATTTTTCAAAACATTGGAACTCAGAAATCAGTTCAACGTTTGTGATCAGTTTTTTTTCCATTATTTTGCATGTAGCTATATTAGCATATCTTTGAAACTTTATTTTCTTCTTTCTTTGCACGATTGTGGTTTTTAAACAAAATGCAGTTTCTTCCTACATTTCGTTTGCTCTTCTTTTATATTTGTATACATCATAAATGCATGCTAGTGCTTTATATAACTACGCCTATTGTAGATTAAGATAATCAATCAAGACCTTCACGTAGATTTATAAAATAGCACAAATACAATAGGTTACTTAATTACCTAAGATTAGACTGTATCTTTTCTTCTTTTCACTAATTTACATATAATAAAACTTCATGGGATACAATTAATATGTTTGATTGTCATTGATATTTTCGAGTTTATCTCTTAGCTATGAGATAATTGTCAAGTTTTAGATATTATATCTAAGATAAATATCGAATGGAATAATAAAAGATTATTTCTTTTTTCTTGTAGCGGATTATGATATTCCTATAGAACATCCCAAGAATTCAAAAACATTAACATCATCACTACCGACAACTCGCCATGATAAAAATCTTTCTGAACAAGTTCGACATATTTCACAATCATGCAATACAATTTGCTCAAATCAATCTAATGGATTGTATGATTATATTAGGGATCCACGTCGATGTGTACTCAAAATAGAACGCAATAAAGGGCTTGGTTTTATTCTTAGTGCCACAAATGATTATGATCATACGATTACTGCTGTTGAAAAAGTATGTATAAATAAAAACCAATGAGACTTGTAATGGTATCATTCTCTTATGTTTTATGAAAATAAAAATAGAATTCTGCAGCTGATACTGCTGGCTTACAAATAAATGATGAAATCATCGAAATTGATGGTCGATTTGTAAGAAATATAAAATATGAACAGGTTCGTTATTTTCTGTTTTTCTTTATTTGATTAACCAACTATTCACACATCTAATAACGGTGCCAAAGGTGATCTTAAATTCATTTCAAAATTCTGATTGCTCACGTATTTGTGAGAAGAAAGTAGCTCTTCTTTTTATAAATCATGTCGAAATCGAGAGCAGATATAATTGAAATTTAGGTTAGTTTTGTGATAATCTTGTAATTTAGGTGGTTGATATACTCATTTCTGCCATGCACACTCGTGAAACAGTTGAATTATCTGTTGTTAATAGTCGTTCGAGTGATATTTATCTACCATCAATTGATACACATAAGACAACAAGCGTTAATAATTTATCAAATAACAGTAACAATAAAAACAGTAATAATAATAATAATAATAACAATATTTTAATGGGCACAACATGTACAACAACTGTTTTGGATAAAAATCATATAATTAGTCGATTGGATAGTCTCAGTCAACAAATAATGAACAGAATTTATACTAATTTGCCAGATCAATCGAACATCTTTCATAATACTATCAATCAAAGTCTCTTTGGAAGTTTACCGTCAATAAGCACAGGTTTTAATGAACAATATACTTTTCCTATGATAGAATTATATAAATATATTTTAAATTCAGGAATTGCTTCTTCACCTAAAGCACCTTTGTCGGAGAAAACTAATTCAATGGCATCGTTAAGTAAGTTGTATTTATTTGCCATTAAATGGAATATTTCATTTCATTATTCATAATCAGAAAACTCATGTAGCAATATATTGGATAGCTATAAAAAAGATGTACCCACTGCAAGACTTTGTCGTATTCAAGAATTTCAATCATCATCGTTCTACGGTTTCTTTCTTTGTGGAGATCCGAAAAAGCTTGGGTAAAATTAGTTTCGCTTCTCAAATAATATTGTATTCTCTTTTTTTCGATTAGTCGAATATTCATTGCTGATATAAGAAAAAATTCATCAGCAGCTCTTTGTGGATTACGTGATGGTGATCAAATTATTGAAGTCAACGGTACAAATATTCAAGCATTGACTTATGAAACAATCTTAAACATGATAAAAATACACATGGAGCATCGTGATCTTGAATTACTTGTACTTGACAAAAAGTCTTTTCGTTGGTACCAGGAACGAAACTATCCAATGACCTTACAAACATTACCAACCATTGTTCATATTGAACCTATTATTAATGATATAAATTCTGAAAAAAAGTCTTCACAAGTATTTGATAGAAATACTGACAATACCGATTCAATTGGTAGGTTTTTTCAAAATGTTGTATGACATCATATTTTTTCTCTTATTTAGATCAACAAGTATCGACCACCAATCTTTAATTACAATGTGAAAATTATTAACACCTATATGAAGTCTTCCCTCTTGTTTTCTTCTTCTTCTTCTTCTTTCAATAGAGAATATGTATGGATAAATCTTCTAATTTTCTATAATTTAATAATGAAAATAAAATACGTCTATAGTAAGACGTGTTCTATTTCTTGAAGATCAACCATCTGTTAGCTAACTCATTTGTTGACATGTAGATTTTAATCTCTTTTTTTTATGTTCTATTGTTTTTCTTTATTTATTTGCCAATATAATTCAGTGAAGCATACGAAAATTTGCACATAAATTATAGTATCACTATGAAATTATGTATTACAAAAGTCGAGCACGGCTTTTAATATACTTGGCTATATAACATAAACTAGTAATCATATTATCTTATTCTTATAATTTGATAAATGTATAGTTTTGAGAAAATTACTACGTTTTGCTCTTCTTAGAATTGATAGAATGCAAAAAAGAACAAGAATAAAATGAGTTTTCTTTTCAATTCACTTTTCATATATCAAGTATTTGTTAATTTTCGGTTCTATAAAACAATATCAAGTCATATGTATCAATAGTTACAAAAGTAAGCATATTTTCAAGATGATTTAAGTTCAATTTCACCGTTTATTTGTAACTCATACATTTCTATTTGATCAATTAAATCTCCTGAAGTTAAATTGACATGTTTTCTATATTATCCAATAGTGTTGATACTGCATTATCCAGTAAAATACGTTCACGACTGAACGTGTATTTTTGAAAACTAGATAGAAAAATAATACAGAGAAGCGAGATAAATGCTACTACTGTACTTGTATCCGAATTAAGATAGGAATGTAACGCCTTGAGGAAGATCAGAGACGCAACTAATAATAATGCCAGGTGCCACAGTATTGGTTATGGCAGAATGACAACAATGAAAATTAAATAGTATTGAACATTGGATGAAGATCCAATTGTTTATTCAATGAACAGAAATAGTTGAGAATAAGAAGAACTCCACAAGCAAATAGCTGACACGAGTTCGAACGATTGTAAGGGGCAATCGAGTTAGATTGATTGTAAAGAACAATCAAGTTGAAAAGAAAAATTGGTACATCTCAGTGAAGAGAGATATATCAAGAAGCTTCTAAGCAACTTGAAGAGAAGAAGAGAGTAACTATATATCTCATTTTTCCGAATCTAAGCGCGAAAAACGAAAAAGTTGCCAAATGTTGAAAATAACAAGCGCAACAATAAACAACAAGAGAGAACAACACAGAGGAGAGAATAAACATACATGATATAACAAACATCAAGACAAGACCAGTGACGTTGCTGTCGTCACAAGGAACTCACAGTATTGTAGCTACATCAGATAAGAAATATAGATTCATAATCATAAGCACTCGTAATATAGTATATGTGACTTACGAAGATGTCCAAATAAACTCACTTATAGCAGTTATAATCACATCCATTGTTATGATTTCAAAAGTCGATTGCTCTCTACTGCGTATGGTTGATAAAATGGCATAGTCGCCGAATACTAGTAGTATATTTAAAAAAATTAGAACATGAATAAGTGCAAAATGGATGTGGTATACACAAAAGAATATTAACGAAGAAGTGAGCACAACCAATATTTAGCTTTCATTTGTGACCTTGTGTATGTCCTATAGTTTGCAAATAAAAGAAACATCATCTGAACTGTGTCCACGGTTCTGTTAATCTCATGAGACGCAGCTATGAGATGTCTAAACAAGATAGTAAAAATTGAAAATTATTTAATTTAAGTTCCTCATTAGTTATTCATTTTTAAAGAGAATGTGAAACTGTTTTTAGAAATTCTCGAATTTTTTCAAATTGCTTAGAATGAAAATTCGAACGAATTAGTATAAAATGAAGTCTTTTTAATACATGTAGAAAGTTCTTCCAAATCAAATAATGTTGCATATGTCTTTATGCAATGCGTATATTACTTCTTGCCAACAAAACTCTACTTTCAATCGATACTTTCATATTCAAGACTGACTTGGTAAGTTGTAGTGTTTCAAATCAATATAAAAATTATAGTATATCCAATTAAATACATTATCGTCGCAAACGGATGAATATTGGCCCAATTCAACCAGAGAATGGTCACAGATTTATGTGATACAAATAGTTACTGAATTTAATCATTGCAGTTATTCCTTCATGCTCATTGTTGAGACTGATCTCCTATAGATACTGTCATTGTTACGCTTATTCGTCCAGAGGACCTGGTACTATTATAATCGATTTAACTATGAACTGTAAAAACTAAGATTATTTCTAACTAAATCTTTCATAGTGCGATATTTCTTTGTACACTTGCATATCTGGGAAGCACGCAATTATGATGATGGTCAAGATTACAAGTATCCATTTAACCATAAAACTAACTTTTACTAACGATCACATCATCCTATCGTCAGCCCATATTAATATGTATATATCATTACTTTTGTATGTAAATGATATAAAAAAAAAGGAAAGTCTAACTGAAACCTAGCAATGCTGTGAATGATGAAGATTTTCAGTAACCAAAATGTCTGTTTTATGGTTAATCTTGAAAATTTTGAGATATAGGAATACTTACGTGTATAAGGAGATGAGTTAAATACAGTTGATTCAATCAACAGAATATTTATTTGTTCTTTTCGCCATTTAAACTGCACCGGAAAAGATTACATATAACCATTAGTGATAATATTCCTAAACCCATTGGCCTCTCGTATAATTGAAATTTATAATTACTTTATGAGAGATTCTGCTATGATCATTGAATAATCTACTTTTGAGAAATCAGGAGCAATACGAAAAATCTGAAGTATATAATATTAAACGCACAACTCTTTGATTCTCATTAAAAACGCATTATATTTTTTATGCAAACGAATCAGCAAGCAGCCACATAAAATAATAAATGTTGCAAGACAAGTCACTACCTTATATTTTGTATTTCTGGTAATCATTACTAGTTTAGAATATTAAGATTTCTCGAAGCGAACACGTACTGCCAAAGATTTTGGAAAACAAGTAATTAGTTCCTCATAGCCACCTGTATTTTCTGGTGTATCCTCAAATGTGATACCACGTTGCATCAATCGAACAATCGCTGCTTTTAACTCGAACCAAGCTAATTCTTGTCCAATACATGCTCGATGTCCACCGCCGAATGTAATCATCGCCAACGGATGGTGATTTTGATCCTCAGCTAAGTATCGTTCTGGTACAAATTCTTTAGGATCAGCATGATGCCAATAGCGAGCATCAGTATTGATATTATGTAGTGCAATAAAAATAGTTTGCCCACGATTAATCTTCACATCATCAAGAATGGTGTCACGAGTAGCTATACGGGTTGTGAATGACGCGGTAGGAGCCAAACGTAATACCTGGATAGTAAAAAAGAAAATTAGAAACAAAATCTAGCATTGCGAAACAAAACCAACCTCTTTCGTTACATATTCACAATAAGTTAGTGACGCCAAATTATTCGGTGTTAACGATGGTAAATAGTTTGGATCATCGGTCATCATAAGGTTATGTTCGCGTAGTTCATCTTTCATCCGTTGTTGTACTCGAGGATTTTTACTAGCGAAGAAAATGAACCAAGCTAAAGTGGTCGATGTTGTATCATATCCAGCTAGAATCATCATCACTACTTCATCGAAAATTTCCACATGATTTAGGCCAGAAGATATATTTTCATCGTTAGCCTCTTCATTCAATGATGACACTAACGAAGCGATCAGAGTTTTCGGGCGCTCATCTTCTATTTCACTTTGCTTGTTTTGCTCTTGTTTGACCAATTTTTCTGCTAATTTATGAACTAATTGATAGGCTCTTTGATATTTCCGATTAAATCTCAAATAGATCTTTCCTAACCATCGAGGCGTCCATGGTGTCATCATCAGTAATGTGCTATGAAAAATGAAATCAAGAAAGGCTTTTTTGATCGGTGAATCAACATGGGTATCGAAATCACAGTCAAATCCAATTAATCCGATTACATTCATAGTAAGTGATTGACAAGCTGCATACAGATTACGATGGATCTGACCAGCATGAAGATATCGATCAATGAAGCGATCCGTACATTGAGTAATCATCGCTAAATGACCCACAATTTTTGCTCGTTTTAGCATCGGTAATAAAACTCGTATATGTCGTTTCCATTTAGCACCGGTCAACATTGCAATGCCATTTGGACAAAAAAGATCGAAGTTTGGAAGAAATAAAGGTGATTGCTCGAAAGTATGACGATCAGAAAATATTGCTTGAGCATGTTCAACTCGGCAAAAAACTAAACATCGATGTGAGCCAAACCAATATTGAAATTTATCACCAAATCGGCGTTGATAATCGATCAGGACTTGATTAAATGTCGATTCTTGTTTCAATATACCGGAATTGAGTAGGTTACCAAAAAAAATATGCGGCTGTACCCCTGGCAAATCATCCCGTCGTGGAGCGTAACATTGTTTCAAATATATATATACAAGTACGATGACCAGTATTGTAAGAGTTACGAATATAATTGATATCATGTTAATCGAAAACTTTGTAAGCTATATGTAGCGTTTGCAGAACTCGATAAAAGAAGTACGTGACTTTTTTTTATATTGCTTAATTTGGTGTCACTTTTATTCAGCGGTAAATACGAGACAAAAAAACAACAACAGAAAGAAAATAAAGAACAAGAAAAGGTCACGTTCGGATCCCCTGACGAAGAATGGAAGGAGTCGCTGACATGTGGCTTTCTCTTCTATATAAAAAAAAAATGTACTGTGTTGACATTTGACTTTTTCCAACGACTGTAATCAAAATGAATATCGCATATAAAAATCAGCCTCGAATCTCGTATGAGCTCAAATAAACTCTTGATTGAATACTATTCGAATCGTCTACTCTATAAAACTAACTGTAGACTAATACTGAAGTATAGCATCGTTGGTAGTGTTTCTATTGTGCAACAGTAATTTCTTTTTATGATGATAACAAACGTAGAGTTCAAACAAAAATACATCTTTTACTGTTTAGAAAAGAAAGAAACGAATTTTACTACGATCGTCCCCGATTAATGACTTATTGATTTTTGTTGTATGACTATTCTAATCGATACTAATCAAGTTGAACAAGTCACGTTTTCTAATAGCATCGATCTTTCTATATTTGTTGACTTTTAATTCAAGGATTTCCATGAAAATTATATTTAACTACTCGAAACAATTTATATGCATCTTTAAGGTCACCTAAATACTATAACATACATGGACAGTACTGCCGTTGATGACACCACACGCATTCCTGTTGGTCATAATCCAATGACAAAGAGTGATCGATAAAATGTACGCACTCGTTGCATTGATATTATTCTTGAGTAAAAAATTACATTCACTAGATTAGAATAATTAAAGGTAAAGAATCAATTTGAGAAAAGAAATTGAAAAATTGCAAATCTGAGAAGAAAAAGTCTTAAATTGTATCAAAAACAACTAAAGTGATATGTCTTGATTATTTTTTACTGACAATACAGAAATGATGAATAATATCACTGTAAACTATTTTACAGTTCCACCTATTCGGAAACATTTCCAAGTCTGTTTCGCTGTCTAAGCAAGTTCATCGTCGTGAAATACATTTTTTTTTCTCTTTCAATCCGTGAAAACTCATGCAAATCGAACTATCTCATCTTAGCCTACTAAAGCTAAATAAAATGGAACTAAACGCAAGTTAGAGGATTTATTTTGCAGTACTATTCTTTGAAGTTCTTCCGTTTCTAATCTCTACATGACATATACACTCGTACAATTATTTTATTCAGTGTAATATGATCATTTTTATGTTTGTCTTTTTTCTTATAGAATTTTCATGTAATCAATCAACTCTGAACAGTAATCACCATCAATTAATTTTAATTTGTATTTTCAAAATATTAAGATTATGAATGTTAAAAAAATAAATAATCACTAGCTCGATTACTCATACGAATAAATGATCTAATTATATGCTGCATTCTTTTTGAATTCTCGATTATCTAGAGAATGGAATCATTATTGAGCAGCATCCGTAAATTAATGATAAGAAAAATATCTCTCGTATTTTCGTACGTGCGTTTCTTCTTCAATTGATTTTGAATGGTCTTCCGCGCAATTAATTGCGAGATAAAGATTCGTGTTGTGCTTTTTCCTTACAGTTTTTTAACTGTATGATGATTAGCTTCATATAAGATATGCTGATAAAATATCGCTTAATATTATAAATTGCTTTTGTTTTGATTGATATATAGAAGTCCTCACGAGATATTTCTGTATCAAATTTTTATTTGTAAATTTGTTATTGTTAGGAAAGGACATTGTGGATAATAAAACAGACTGGAAAAAAAACTATGCTTACAGTATTCGTGCTAATGCAAATCGTATTTTTTATTTTGTGTCTTACAGCAGTACAGTCTAAACACTGAATATTGTTTCTGTAATGTGCGAAAGAAATTATCTAAATATTTTTTTACAACACTGAGAAGCTCATAGCAAAAATACATGTTTCAATAAATAGCTTTTATTCGTGTGAATTTATTGAATTTGATCGAGAAATTAGATTAATAATTGATTATACAAAAAGTTGCACACGAAAATAATTAATAATATATATTTATGAGAGATATTTAATACATATTTTCACGTCTTGCTATATCTGAAACCATTATCAAAGTTTCAACAAAATTAGTAATTCATAAAAAGAAAATAGATGGATATTTGTTTTTCCCGACCATTCGTGATTCGTTTACTTCAGCAATAACTCAAATTGTTGTTCATTTTCTATAGATAAAATGTAGTAAATACGTGTGAAGTACATGCGAAAATATAACTTTTGTATGTTGCCGTTGAATAATGCGAATAGCAGTGGATTTTCTTTTTATTTCTATGATCGTATTTTTCTCTTCTAGGATATACGGAAGGTCTGCTAATATTTTATGAGATATTACCATACATAAATATATTTAATATTCTGCTTGAAGTGAAACAATATTACAATTACTTTCTATATGTACATGACATGGATTATTTATTTGCTTTAAAATTTCGATAAAAATCTGGTATATAAAAATGATTGATGGTTTTGAACTATGGCAAAATTTTGTGCTTAAGCTTGGATAAAGTTTTTCGTATGCCAGTCCTAAAAGAATATATGGCTAACTTAGAGACACAGAAGTAATTATATTTGTCGAAACATACTTTGGTGGCTTCGTCGATGTTATAGTCTCAAATTCCTATCAAATATTAAATGATTTTCAAATTGTGATTATTACAGCATGAACAGTCAATTTCAACTTACATTTTGCATCGACGATTGATTCGATATTTCAGATTGCCTATCAACTAAACGTACTCCCTAATAGTATCGAACAGTGTTGTTTTAAATATTTTTAGCGTACCTATTGGTGTTGGATTTTGTATCGGTAAATTGATCATTGCTGTATTTTGATAGATATTCTTTGGAGTTTGAGAGTAAGGAGGTAGCACAGGCTTTAAATAAGTCATAGTTTGATCTATTAAGAATAATTCTATAATAGATCCATGGAACATTAAGTTTCAACATACAGCTTCCTGTTGTTGGGTTCTGCGGAGAAATTGGAGACGTATTATCCAGGAAATCCGAGCTACCATCACAAGTGTTCTTGAGATAATATTATTTAGTTAATATTAATAATTTTGTTAATCTTTTATATTACCTTATGAATGTGAAACATATTTAACGGTATCATATTTTCGCAATTTATGCATGATGTTATTTCTAAAGGTGGTAGTTTAGCAGCAGCTCTGAATATAGAGAGATATAATATAGATACAGAACATGAACTTTAACATACTTAGCGGAAGATCTTATAAGACGTTGTACAGTGCAAATTTCCTTTCGTAGTTATGAAATTAGATAAGAAGTATGAATTTCTTATTGAATAAGTAAATAGAATATACTTTATGCCTATCGAAATCCTCGGTATTTATCGACTGTAAACAATATTCACACGGTATATAGTATTGAGACAATGATTGATTCGGATTACTTGGATGAGAACGGCGATATTCGTTTGAAGAAATGTCTAAATTCTGATAACAACCAACGTCCGTTAATCTCTTACAGTCGCCGTTCTAAAGAAAGTGAAATGCAATATTCATGTCGATTTGTCACGTGAAACAATTTACTTCGGGAAATGGCTCTGGATTATAATATTGATGATCGATTTCTTGTGGAATATTATTCGTTGAAAAACTGTAAAAGAAACAAAACAGTGACTCTTTTGATAATTTGTTTGTCTAAAATCATACGTTGATTTTGTTACATTTTGATAAATATTATCGATCTACAAAGACGTGATTCACATCAGATATTTTTAGATTTTATTTCTTACTTGTGTTCGAACCGTTCTATTACAAATTTGTTCTTTATTTTGAAAGCGTAATCTAAGTAAATCTTCTCGAATAGCTTTGAAATTAGGCCTCTTATGTGATTCTTGTTCAGTACAATTTACAATAATACTCCAAAGTTCATTAGGGCATGTATTCGGCTGTTCGAGTAATTTTCCTTTTATTCTTTCATGATACACAGTATCACTTCTTCTCAGATCTCCGTAAGGTACTGCACCTCCCGAACATACCTCCCACATGAGGACACCAAAAGAGTAAACATCTGACTTTTCTGAATAATTATTCGAAGATGCATCGTAGAGTATTTCAGGCGCAGCATGGCGTACCGGAATCATTACTGTCGTCGACGATGCCGTTGTTTCATATACTGAGAATAGTGGACTAGCTCGAGTAAGTCCAAAATCAGTTAGTTTAACCAGTATTTCCATAGGTTGGTTAGAGCTCGATCGAAAAACAAGTACATTACGACATGCTAGATCACCATGAACTATCTCATTGTCGGCTAAGCAAATCATGGCATCAACAATTTGCCAAAATATCTCAAGTAAAACTTCAAAAGTCGGTTGAAAATTAGCGTTCCGTAAAAGTTTACTAAGATCACCTCCAGGAGCATACTCTTGAACTAACATAATGCTAGCCGAAGAGTCACTATCAATAAATCCATAGGTTCGAACAATATGAGGATGACAACTCAATTGTACATAAAAGCTTGCTTCACGTTTTGCTCTAGTTCCATTTATTTTAATTAACACGATCGGTGGTCCAAGTTTTTGCATCCATTTTGCTTCATAAATTATTTTATTTGGAGTTTGAAATATTGGCTGCTGTTTAGTTTTACATACATCAACATCAAGATGAAATTTATAATGTTTTTCTAATGATAACGATAGAAATTCGTCGACCATCTTTTTTACAATATAATTTGGTCTTAATGATTTCAAATCCATGTGTTCGCGTGTAATTGGACTTGAAGCATTTCTTTGTATCCATGCTATGATATTTTTTCGTTCATATGTATGACCATCAGCACCGATAACAGGATCGCAAAATAATTGATGAGTAATTGGACATTTTAATGAATCAAGTAAAGTCGATGGATTGTCGTCAATTTGCATCACTCTACATTTTAAGATTAAAAGGATTTCATGTGAAATATATTTATGTATTCAATTTTCATGCGTATGTTTTCGACGGAAGAAAAGCAAAAAATAATGCTATAGTGTAGGGCAAAAATAAATGTCGCAATGAATCATTGCAACGGTTTTAGAAAAACTTTTTTTCTGTCAATGAAGTTATGTAAATGTAGATGTCGTATATAATAACTACAACGTATGTCTGAAAGAAGCCGCCATTTGAATGAGTACCTCTAAAAGTTGGGCGAGACATGAAATATGTTTTCGTTCAAATGATTTTTCAATGCCAGAGAAAAGATCTTTCTCAATCGGTTCCTTGAATTACATAGTCATTTACACTATTCTCTCTAAAGTCTTGGTTATATTTTGTATGACAGTCTGTAAGTATCGATGGAGTTCAACATTGAATAATATTTTTATTTCAACTAGTACCATGCGAAAAGGATCTGAGCAGTGTTATATTAGGATACTTGCCATCGAGAGCATAGATGGAACCGGTCCGGCAGGTCTGCCGGTTGCCGGTCCGGTCCGGGCGGAGATGTCAGACCGGCTGGTCTGCGCAATTTTTTAGTCATATTTCTATAGAACATCAAATATTTGGTCTGTAGATGACGTAAACAAGGACAGTTAAGGTTTTCATGTGGATAATATAAAATTCCAATCTTAAATTGTAAATGATATTATACAAAATTTGTGTTATTTTAATTCTATAAGACTATGCAACAGTTGCATAGTCTTATAGAGTGTGTGAAAGGCGATACTCTAATATTTGAAGTATGAGTTATACTTTCAAAACTACATTTATACTGTTTTCGACAATTCAAACTCAAAGGGGAAAAATCGTATTTCTGTATTTTCATATTTCTATCTATTTCGGAAGTATTTCTAAGTGTTTTTACGAATTTCTATGTATTTCCAATTTATTTTTACGTATTACTGTATTTCTGAAATACATATAAACACATACAAATACGTAGAAATACTGAAGTTTTGTCAAACTACATGAAAAGACCCGCCGGGTTTTTGCCAGTTTTAGCATTATTATAGACCGGCCAGTTACCGGCCGGTCCGGTCCGGGCAGAAAAACTCGACCGGTTCCATCTATGATCGAGAGAACTAATCAATCATTGTCCTAATAGAAAAATGATGTCAAAATGTATGGTGCACCAATATATGGAGTTAGAGAATAATATCAATAATAACTAAATATATTGTACTATTTATAATTGGCAAACTTGCATATTGTGATAATGATTCAAATTGTAAGAATTTAAAAAAAAATAATAATCTATGAAGCGATTAGTAAATGGATTCTGAAGGCATCTTGGCACAGTTACACAAATATATGTAATAATATAATAATAATAATATGCTAAATGTGTCTGTCAATGAAAAGAAGAATGTCTCCCAAGGTATGTCTGTGGCAAAAGAAGAATGCTTTTGTTACAAATTAGAAATCCGATGAATTACTTTAATTTAATGAATTAATTCATTTGAAATGCGCTGGAATATTCATTAAAAGTCTGTTCATCTAGCTGAGTGTCTTTTTTATTCGATAAGTATTCACAAGGTACTATGTTTTAAACGTCAATTGTATAGAGAAATTAAGTGGCTAAGTATAAAATTTTCACGTCTGATTAGTTTTCTATTCAGTAGTACAGCTAGTATTACAATCACTGAGATATATCGAATCTCGTATTTTACTATTTTGCATTGGATTAATCAATATTTTATTTTCGTTCGTCTGCTTCGCAGTACTTTCTATCGAAAAAGTTAATAATTATTCTCATCCATTTAACTGTGGATTACATTAATCAATTCTTTCTATATTTTGATAAAATTCAGAAGTTTAACTTGGTTTCTTCATACAAAATCTACAAGTATTTGGACATTTGATTATAGAAAGGAAAAAGAAATTATAATTTACGCATGAAAACTTATACATATTAGGTGTGTTCGAAAAGAAAGCTGCCATACTAGACAAACAGTATTCAATAAAAAAAAGAAGAATTTTCCTCCATTTTCTTTCTACTTTTTATAGACTTGAATAACTGATAGATGAATCGCAACGTCAGGAAAATGAATGTACTAATAGCAGATTTTATTCCTATAGTATTCATAATAATTAAATATTTAGAATAAAATAGCTCAAGAATATTCCATGTTGTTTTAGTAGAAAAAATATAAGTAATAAATTGAAATGAAAAAATTCTTTTATCTTTTATACTAGTCATTTGATGTATAGAAGGATTGCTTTAATTCATTTATACAAAATAAATTTTTTATTTACATTATTTTAATGGAATATTTAATATTTGATACGATTGAAAAATAAAATTATAGAATTAATGAAGAAAATTAATGCTACAGAAAACACATCATTACTCGAATAAACAATATTTTTGTGTTTCATTTCTTAGATTTGTTATCCCATTATTGCAAAACATTGTATTTTTATGATAAAATTTGAAAATGAAAACAAAACTACTTTCTAGTTATATAAAGATGATTTGAAGTAAACAATAATTATACATTTTCTACATGAAAATAAGAATTGTTCATCTCTATCAGTCGAAGCTATTATTTATGCTATTAGATTTAAATGATATATTAACATCCTAAACTTCACCGTTCTGATATGCAATAAAAGTCCAATTGATAGTTAATTTAAAATATTTTAAGCATAGATGCAGCTAATCATTTTTCTAGCATGCTGGTCAAAGAGGTGACGTTCTCCTGAAAATACTTGATTTTCATTAAACCAAATCCAAATGCTGTCTTTCTGAAAGAAAACCGATGGATAGCGTGTTTGGCAGTTACGGAGGTGTTTGCTTTTAAATAAGGAGGTGAAAATATTCGAGAAGTTGCTCTTCGATTAGACGACCAAATATATGCCGATGTTTATGATAAAATCTTGCTAGATTGTGAAAAATGAACTACTCCAGAAGAAAGTTTCAGCTTCTGAATTTTTCTCAATAATATCTACATTATTTATTTATTCTTATAACGATAAATGTACGTGATTAAAATGAAAAATTAGCTATTATTAGATGGTTGTTTATAACATCATCAATGAATTGATTATTATCTGCTGTTTAGTCAACACGCAATAAATTTGACAAATAGTATAACTCTTGTATGATATCCATATGTGTGTTTCAAAACAAATAGCGATAGTACTCCATATTTTATCCGATGTGCAGGATAAGCAATCGATTTACCTACGTAAATCATATAAGTGCTTTCAATGCTGGTTGCTATCATAATATGTACTAAAATATTTGTCCTTCTAAAAATTCATATTCATCCAGTCAGTGTTCAAAACTCGTCCCATCGAAAGAGAAAATTTCTACAATGAAACACCGATGCTACTTTTAATTAGATTTACTAATTATTCTAATTGTTATTCAGATTGACTTTAATGACGTCAGATGGTTCATGAATATGAGAGAATGATAGTGAACTAAAGAAAGCATAGGTAATGTATAGATATTTGCAATACCGAAATAGTATCATCGAACGAATTCTAGAGTATCTTATAGAGCTCGATACAGTTTGAAAGATATCATAGATGAAACATTTGAAAATGCACAAATTCATTAGATAAACGATTGAAACTATTTCTCATAGTCATTAAATTATTGATCAAGTAATACTTTAAAAACAAAGTATAATTTTGCAAGCAGCATGGTTCTTTGGGGAAAAACAATTTGAAAATTTTTCTGATTGATTTTAATCCTATGAATCCCTGATCAACAAGACTAAAAATTTATGTGAATTAAATGTTTTAAGTTAATTTGTAAATTGTTGACCATATATATATATATTCAACTTCTCGTCAAAAACAAAGTGACGAATGAAAGTCTTGGTTTCGAATGGCAAATTATTTATTTAACTACACTGATTATATTATAAATCATATGAATACTTTATTTTTAAGAAAAAATTTAAAAAAAAGATACTGATTTCATCGATCATTGCTTTCTTTTCGATGCAAATCAAACCATCGATTTCAACCAATAGGTATGTAAGAATAGTTTATAATTGGAACATTGATTTCTATTATTAAATATAAATAAATCACACGTTTAACTGTGGTATTTCTAGCTCGTTGGTCAATCAATCTGGAATCAATGCATATTGATATAGAATGATTTATGTATCATTATAGACACTTATTAATCATTAGATAAAAGTTAAGAATGAAATCCTAGAAAAATAAAATAGACCATTCTACCTATCAATATCCATATATGAGATTCGCTCTCACTTATTTTACCAATAAATTCTTTGAATACTATTCACACATCTGATACAACTATTTACACTAATTAGAAATTGACTTTCGCTCATTTGGTTTTCAGTATTATTATTATTATTCATTTTTCTGTTCTTGAATACATACTATCGATTAGCGTTGACATTTTTCTTGCACGTTCAAAGTCTCTGTTTAATAAAAAAAATTATCTACTCAATGATACTCAATTATATGTATCAGTTCTACTGGTTAATTATATGTCAACCATAGAAAAGTCTATAGATACTGGATACATATAGTATACAATCTGGAGATGCATTATCAATAGACTAATAATTTCTCAAATTAGTAGTAAGATTTGGGATTCTATGTTAACGAGTTTTTCTTATGGAAAGATATTCTAAGCTTTTTTCCTACCTATTGATAATCAAAAGAACATCAAGAATATGTTCTATTTCCTACTGCTTTTTTGCTCGTTTACCGACTCTAATGAGAATTGACGTACAACGATGATATGCGTAAAAGTATATACGTATACAAATATATGTGCAGCTGCATCTTCCATATAACTGATATACGTAAAAATAGACGCAATGTAGTAAACGACAGTTGTCCCTGAAGCTTGCTTGTCAATAGTCCTTTTGTCAGCATGTATCTATCATAACTGCCTGCGTTAAATACAATAGATATTCTCTTGTCTTTTTTGTTGTCTCTTGGTTTCCCATTTTGGTGGCCCATTTATCTTCATCAATAATATATACGATATACTCAACAATAAAAAAATGTCCTTTGGTGTTTGTAAACATTATATTTTTGTCTCAATAGACTGCATTGAAAATACAATAGAACATTTTTTTCACTTCTTTCTTGTCTCTGTCTATTTAAAGAAAAATAAACTATTTTTGAATGATGTTCAACTTTTTTAAGAATGGTACTTGAAATTTTCTCTCTCACTAAAATACAAGAAGAGAAGTTTTCTATCAGAAAAAAACTTTTTATTAAAATATTTTTCTTTCATTATACAATCTATTGAGCAAATGAATACTGAAGACAAAGTTGGTGGAATGTGCATAAAGAAAAAACTGAATATACTTCTTTTTCACGAAGAACAGACAGCTGTTACAACGCTTTTTCTCTTTTTTCCCTGCTTCGAGCCACCATACGTGATATGTAGGTCATGAATCGATACTTGATCTTAGATTTCTATATACTCAAATAATGCTAGTGTAGCAATCAATCCATTGATTCACCTAAATTCATAATTTTCTCCTGTCTTTCTGAGGAATATTTTTTTCCGAAGCTTTTACGTCAAGAATCACAGAGAAAAGGTACGGTACCGCTTTATGGGCTTTTCCTTCTTCTGTTTTTCCTCAACAGAGTTCTATTATTTCTTCTTATTCTTTTCCTCCTTCACTTGTTCGTTTTTTCTCGTTTATTTTCCTATCAATTCTTTTTTTTTGTCGTTTTCTTTCCAACAATACTTCTATGAGTTTACCATATATCTGCCTTTCAATCGCTTCTATAGTTTCTATAAAACTTGTGACACATATTTATACATCTAGTTTATTGATTTTTCGAGAAAAATCATTCATCATTTGCCTTCTTATTCAAGTATGTCGATAGCTAACATAATGGTATTTAAACATCAACATAAACTGCGGACCTCTCCTGTAAACAGATAGAGCTATGAAATAATAAGAGAGACCCAATATGCCTATTTATATGAAAATATTTCCTGTTACTTGAGAAATACATTCCTTATTTTGCATTCAAACATAAAGTGAATGATAATAAAACTAATAAAAATAAAAACAACGAAATCGTTCGTGTATTAGCTTTTTTAAATCAAAATAGATGCCATCGCCTTGCGTCGCCTTCTGCCTTTATTATCGGTGTGCGTGTTTTTTAATCTAATCACATATAGGCGAAACGCAATGCGTACTCGCGTCAGTCTTTGTAGTTGATGATGGTAAACGGAATAGGCAACAACAATGCAATAGCGCTCGATGGTGCAATCACAATATAAGAGAAAGCAGTCAGTTTGCGCTTGGATAAGACGAAGCAACGACAACATCAAGGAAAGCGAGAGAGACAGAAAGAACTTTTTTTTCCTTTCCTAGCATCGTCAAGCATCTTTTGTTCTGTCCGCGGAACGAAAGGGTCTCAATGTATTCCTCCTCCTTCTCGCGATCTTGTGTACGTCGCCGTTGTTATTATGTAGTCGCAGTGGCCCACATTCATTCTCGTTTGCAAGGCAATGCCTGTTGTCTACGCGAGTGCGCGGCTCCCTTGTTGAGTAAGTTGTTGTATTTCTTTTCTTGCGTTCTGTCTTTCTCTTCTTCTTTTTTTCCGCGCTTCTCTTTTCTTTTTTTTTACTATTTGCGTTATAACTACCATGTATGAGTATGTGGGTATGTGTGGTTGCAACAGCAGCATCAATTCGGTTTTGTTACTGGACGCCCACTCAACGACGACGAAGAGAAAAAGTATAGTACATATATATATATATATATATACGCACGACCAAATGAGAAAAAAGGCCAGTCTATGTGATAACTGTTTAATTTTTTTCTCTATAACACTATCAACTACCGTGCTAGAGTTAGTATCTTTTTTTTTCAAACAAAATGGTAAACGCATGGAGTAAGATTCGAATTATTTGTGTTTAAATGAATTAATTCATAGGAACATTTTTAGCAATATTTTTAATATTACATTATATGCTAACGATATTATAGCAAAGAGAAAAAAGGTTGCCCTCATCAGTTCAACAAACATCATGTCTTAGCTCAATATCAATATAAAGGTCAATCCTTGTCTATTACGCCATACCATTGATTCATTTATTGATCGAAAAATCAATCAAAATGCATTCAAATATATATTCATATTCATATACATATGGGTATATGGTTCACTCATCTCGATTACATTAGTCTTTTATTATCGTATACTTGACGAAATATTAGAGGGTGATTATATTCGTTCTTTTGTAGATTCTTTTTCATTTTTTTTCCATCTATCACCGACCTTCATTCACCTGGTAGTGATGGTAGACCGATAAGCGAGAGGGAGAGAAGGAGAAAAAATATATAGGAGAAACTAAGATAAAATTGCAGCTGACGCATGCGTCTGCAATGGCCTTGCATATAGTTTGGATTTTTCATCGTGCGATCGTCACATTAAATTCGTTTTTCGTCATCATATAGACCTTCTTTTCATTCTCCACTAGAACCATCCATATCGATTCTCCGTTTTCTTTTTGCTTTGCTAGACGCCCAGTACTCCTTCGTGTCTTTCTATTCGCTTCTCTTCTCTTCCCTATTTATTATTATTATTATTTTTTATTATTCTCTCTGCTCTATCGGTAACGACACAACAACAGCGTCGTTTTTATCTAGACTTCTAGCGAAGGTATACGATTTTAGAAGGTTGATGACATGGCATACGTAAATGTGCACATATTGATAAAGAACATCGGCATCCATCATGCTAAATAATAAAAAAGCAGCTGATGAGCAGTTGGGTCCTTCACTATTTCATCGCTTTGGCGCCAGTCGAAGCTAATCGAACTACTATCGACGATCAGTTGATTGACACGTAAGAGTAATGTAAGCTTATGTACAACCGATTTGTATAAAAGTGTACTACCAATGCTACTATCTTTATTAGCTACTATCGTATTTTCTATAAATACTATCTATGGCATTTGTGATTCTACGAATAAAATGGTAGTAAATGAGAAAAGTAAGTATCAGTTATATTTCCAAAACAGAAAAACTTCTTTAGAAAAAATATAATAATCTGCCGATATGTTGTCTTGAATCTGACTAGTTTTGCAATCTGCTCGATACCAGAGTGCAGGTGCTGACTTTTCAGATACCTGACGTATATCGGAAACGACGATTAAATCAATTTCTATTCATTTATTGCAAGGTATATCTCTACAGTTTTTTTTTATTGTTTCAATTTCGCAAGATTGTGTTCTGTATTTTTATGATTATTATTTTGAAATAAAATATTCACTGATTACTGTAATAGTCAGAAAAGAAAACAAGACCATAAATAAAAGTGAAAAGTTGCATTTGTAGAAAGCAATATTTTAAATAGGAGTTCGTCGATCAAAATTCAATATCAATATATACGTTTTATAACATTTATTAATCCGATGATAAGTGTCGCCATCGTAGTCGCTATTAAATTTTATTATATTTATTTTTGTAAATCCTTTGCATTTAGACAATATCAAATATCAAGCTGAATCGGATAAATCGGATGGAGTAAATAATAAATTTCTTTCATAAAGATAAAAAAGTCATTGACATACTGATTTATTAGTTGAATGAATAGACAAAAAATAAAAAAAATGTTTGTTAAAACACCAGCGAATCACATTGCATATATGAATCATCCCGTTTATTTCTAATTCTAATTGATAAAAATTGATAGAAGTAAAGGACGTCAGCTGCATCGCTACAATCAACGCTATTTGAATGCGTCAATTAAATACAACATTGATTGTTGCGACCCAATTGACAGTTTAACTAGACATTCATTTTTCTCCACACATTTGATTACTTTCATTCGTTATTTAGTGTGTATACAATAAGATTGATCTAGTTTTACCATGGTCTTTTTGATTTCGACTCTCGAAGAATGTTTTTCATTTCTCGATAAAATCGAGCCAAATATTTTATTCTATGGATTATTATCTTTTACATTGATTGTTTCGATTTGGGAACATTATCTTTCATATCGACAAGTATATTAAAATATTTTTCGAATTAAAATTTTGTTCATTTATTCTTTATTTGTCTTGAATTCAAATAGTATTGCAATTATAAACGTCATCAAACTGTACCAGATGAGTTAGCTGATGTAATGACGAATCAAGAATTGGATAAAGCACGTTCATATGCCATTGATAAAATGCGTTATAATGAAATTCACTCAATTTTCAACGAAGTTGAATCAACAGTAAAAATTATTGCTATATTTTTATGTATTATTGATCGCTTTTTTTCCCTTTTTCTGTCATAGGTTCTATTATTAATTGGTATTTTGCCATGGTTATGGTCAACATCAGGAAATATACTTTTGAAATATGATTACAATAATCATGAAATATTACAATCAGCACTTTTCCTTAGTATAACTATGATTTATTCTACAATAAGTGGCGTTCCATGGTCATATTATTATCATTTTGTTCTTGAAGAAAAGCATGGATTTAATAAACAAGTTCGTTAAATTTTACAAAAAAACTAATCGTATTCGATTAAAGTCTTTCGATTTATTTAGACAATTGGATTTTTTATTAAAGATACGATCAAAAAATTACTTCTTACATTCGTATTAACATTACCAATTTTTTCTCTTTTAATTAAAATAATCCAAATAGGTGGAGATTATTTTTTTGTTTATGCATGGCTTTTCATTACAATTATGTCACTGGTAATTATATTTGATAAATCACCATCATAATAAAAATAGAAAATATATTTTTGTTTATATAATTTAGATTATTGCATTTATTTATCCAAACTATATTGCACCATTGTTTGATCGTTATGATCCATTACGCGAAGGAGAATTGCGTTCAAGTATTGAAAAACTTGCAGAGAAAATAAAATTTCCACTTGCTAAAATCTATGTTGTCGAGGGTTAGTTGTCGTTATTTTAAAAATTTTAAATTATATCAATTTACTGTAAAATATTAAGCCTTTTCATGCTGGGAAAAGTTAAAATATATTAAAATATTGTAGTCAATACGGAATCTCTCGCATTCGAAAACAAATGCTTTTGTACATAAGATATCACGAAATGAGATTTTAATTTTAAACATAGAAAATAGTGAGAAACACTGTATAGATTTTTTTTTATCGAGTTTCAATCATTGACTGTCAACGTTACTGGTTTCATAATAGAATATTTTTCATGAATGATCTTATTCGAGTTTGATTGAGAAAGTAGTCTCGTACTAAAGAACCAGTACAACTATTTATTCGAGTAGCTGTAACAGAAGTCACACTAATATTTCTTCTGAGAAATGTACATAAAGGTTAAAGAATATTTTATTTTATTTTTAAATTTAAGGTTCGGCAAGATCAGCTCATTCAAATGCTTATTTTTATGGATTTTTTAAAGCAAAACGCATCGTTCTTTATGATACACTTATTAAAGGATATAGTCTTCATAAGGATGAAGATAAAACTGATAAAGGAAATAAATTAGATGAAACAAAATCAGAAAAAAATGAAGAAGAAACTAAACCAATTGAAACTAGCAAATTGGAAACCGAAGACAATACGTTGACTCATCGTAAAATTAGTGATGATAAGAAAAATACAGTTGATGAAGATCAAAAAACAGCAAAGGAAAAAACTAGTACAGGCTGTGAATCTGATGAAGTTCTTGCTGTATTATGTCACGAATTTGGGCATTGGTTTCTTAGTCATAATCTTGTCAATCTATGTATTTCATTCGTACGTATACTTTATTTTCGTAAATATCTTTGTTTTTAGATAAATAATATATTTTTCCTCTTTTGAATATCTTTGTTATACTTTAACTAAAAAAGTAAACTTTCTAGTTAAACTTCGACGCAATCCTCTGGAAGTATGAGATTTCCGATTAGATCTTTTATGAGCAATGATACAATCGACTGATAGCAAAGTATTCAAGCGCTATGAACGTCATATGAGATCCCTAGGAATCTTGTGGAGTTGCATACGAGTTTGTTCTTTTTCTCATTGAAGGGATTTATGCAACCTACAAACTAATGAAACGGTTAGAATCCATTCGCAAATAGTTTCATCCGCTCCACTTGAAAGTATTGATTCAAAGAGGATAAGTTTTGCGAGATTAATTAATTGTGATGTTTGTTCTCTAGTTCAAAGAGAAGGATGAAAACTTTCAGACTTACATAAATTGATACACGCTAGATTTCACAGTTCTATAATACAATCGCCATATTCTAAGAGTTTTTCGAATATCAAAAATAATATTTTTGTTATTCTATCTGATTTGATATAATTCTCTGCTAGATGCTGCTGTTGCCAACAATTCCCTATCCATTTAGTTAACCTTTGTTAAAGTACGTACATATATGAATAGTCAACTATTCGGACAGAAACATATTCGAAAATGGTTTTATATACTCAAGTTCATAGAAATTTGAACATCGATTATTTCATTGGAGTAGCGGTCGACTTTTATTAACAAATGATACTGTTGAAATGAAAAAGCTGAAAACAATTGAATTTTCTTTACCCTCTTGATCAACAGATGAAGTCCTTCTTATAACAATTAGTTTTAGTTCATGTTTTTATACTAATACCAAAGTATTAGTCTTATGTACTTTTCATTAAAAGCAGTAGACAGTAATATAGTGCTATGTAAACTATAGTTCACTATACTTCGAATTCATTGAACAACTCTTTTGTTTTTCTAATTTCAAGGTCAATTTGTTCTTGGTATTTTCTATATTTGCTGCTTTATTCAAACGTACCATTCTGTATGAAGCATTTGCTTTTACGCAAACACGTCCAATTCTAATTGGTCTACTAATCATTTTTCAATATGTTTTATCACCGTATTTCGAAGTAAGAAAAATAGAGCAAATGAAAACTTTTCGAATGTTACCCAATTTTGTGTTGTGATTTTTTTCTTGAAAGGTGTTTTCATTTGCTTTAACTGCATTATCACGTCGTTTTGAATTTCAAGCTGATCATTTTGCTGTTAAACTTGGACATGGTGATCAATTAGGTCGTGCATTGAAAAAACTTGAAAAGGATAATATGTCATATCCATTCTCAGATAAACTTTATGCTACATATCATTATTCACATCCGACATTACTTGAACGTCTTAAAGCCGTTAAATCCATGAAACAAAAATAAAACTCTTTTGTTTTTATTTGATTTTAAAAAAGAATAAAAAACAAGATTTTTCTTCATATTCAAACCTCATAGTCATTTGAAATGTATGAGGATAAAATGTAGACTTCATCTTATGATAATTTTCAACGAATAAATCTATTTGAAAATTAAATTGTTTTCGAGAATATTTTTTATTATAAATTTGATATACAGGAATATAGATCAGTAGGAAAATATTTCTTCACATCGTTTATTATAAGATATAATAGATAGTTTTCTGATATCCAGTGAATAAACTATTGGATTAGCACAAAATAAAATATGATAAATTTTAAAAGAGTATATCGATTATTAGAGTTTGCATGTCTTCGAATAGATTATTATTTATTTATGTATAATATGTATGTTTTGACTTACGTAAAACAAGAAAATACGAATCACCATGCAACATCATTTGGAGAATAATTACCTTTATAAGAAATTTCAATTACAATATTAATTTTCATATTAAAAAAATCAAATGCCAGATATATATACATATATATATTGAAAGAAAGTAGTGAGTATTCGAGTATATATATTTTTTTCCTTTATTTATTTTAGATCTAAATACATTGCGATGATATGAACAAGAAATTGATTATATTAGTCAAAAGAATTGCAAATAGAAAATAGAAAATGTTTTTGATCGTTTACAATTTTATTTAAATCGCTTATCATTATTTAAACAACAACTACATTTTTGAACCAACAGAAATTTCATATTCAAAAATTACGTAAATAAATAAATTAGCTAATTCAATAAATTCCTATCTAATAAGTATTGCGTATTTTGTACTCTAACTCCTGATAGGTTGCAATAGAAATTCTAAGAAAACAATTCAATCTCGTGTTCTATTATTTATTTTTCTTATCTAACCTGAGTAGAAGTAATGCAACTCATATATGACAATTTAGCAAAAGGTGAAAAAACCCAACTAAATTAGTAAATATAAATTGCTATTGTATTTCTAATACTTCAGCTTTGATCTTTCATGATTGACCGATGAGAGAGTTAGGCAGAAAATATTCTTGTTTTTATTATTTATTTCAGATGAAATCCATACCATTAGTCATAATCTAGCAAAACATATTGCTATTATTAAACAGTTACATTCACAATCAAACGAAAACCAACGTTTAAAACTCGCTCATCATATTCATCTTCTTCGTATTAAAATCGGCGGTCAAATGACTTCGCTTGATAGACTTCAGGAAGAGCTGCTATTTTCTTCCCTTACCGAGAATAATTCTTCATTGAATGAAATTGATCAGAATGATTCACAACATAGTCCAACATCGAACGAATTTCGCCATCGACAAATTACAACAAATCGTCTCAATGATTCATATGATTTACTCGAACAAGATTTAGCTTATTTACATGAAGCAATCGATGAAGTTAATACAATTATTAAACAACAAAATCAAAAACTACTTTCAAAAACTGAACATGTTCAAAATAACGCAGAAGATCCTAGCCATAATACATCGTCATTGATTCAAAAGGTCATGCAAAGTAGATATTTTGCATTAGTATCAGGTGCTGTAATAGGTGCTAGTCTTGGTGGACCAGTTGGGTTTATGGTGGGTGCTAAAGTTGGTGCATTGGTTACACTGAGTGGCTCAGCTGTCGGTGCCCTCTCATTGAATATTATGCGACAAAAAGTATTGGATAATAATGAATCTCAAAATAATGATTGTGTTACATATAATCAAGCCATGCTTTAATTTTAGACAGACTATTTTTGTTTCTATAAAAACGCAAAAAAGGAATCAGCTGGTTGAGTGCTTTTTTTTGTATAACTTATTTTCAATGGAATTGTACATACAGTGTGATATCTAAATGTGATTTCGTTTTATTCCAATTCAATTTTATATAGCTATCCTTTTTTTCAGTCACATTATGAGTATAATAAAAAGTATTCATTTTCACAAAAACGATATTTTTCTAATCGTAACTTCAAAGATTATTCAAATTTCTTGATTTAACAGTAAAATACTAGATTTAAATAATATATATATATATATACATATCAAAATGCCATAAAAAATTAACTTAGCAAAGACTTCCTCACAGACTACCAATCTTTATTGAAACGATTCAAATTTGGTTTCCCTACTGGACAAGAGGAAATTCTTGGTTCTAATTCTGAAAATGTTCTCTAATGAATACGTAGGAAAAATTGAAATCCATCTTCTTCATCATGAAATTTTACAATAGGGAACACTAATTTTGATGCTGCTGAAATACTACGTTTAGTTTTAGAATATTACTGCTCACTAATTATTTTTGTTTTGAAGGCGTATTTAAAAAGTTTGCTGTTCTTTTTTTCTTTTATGCGAATTGAACAAGAGTTAATGATTCACTGTACACATTGATATGTAGATAGAAATGCTCATTTGACACAAATATTTCTTCCTGTTATAATTCAATCAAGTGATGCACTGCACTGTCTACGTGTCGTGCTTCTTAATATTATTGATCTCGTTGTTTCGAGAACAAACTTCTTTCAGTCATGATTCAACATGTTAGACATCTATGGGTTTACTGGCCAGATCGTTGGCGATGAGAAGAAAAAGAAATCGCTAGAGAGAGAGAGAAGAAGAAGAAGAAAAAGGCAATCAACATGTCTGTCTGTTTGTTGCCATCGTGAACGCAGCAACCAAACAAACATCTAAAATGTATTGTGTTGCCGGCCACATCGGTTGTCTCCTGGGTTACTTTCTATGCATTTTTTCTATTCTTCTTCTTCTCCTCTCTCACAACAGCCACGTCCGTCCGTCTGCAACTTTTCCTGCTGCTACGATGGTGATGTTATATGTGCGCATTTAGTCTCTCTTTTCTTTTTTTTTTCGATTCAGTCGTCGTTGCCGACGTCCTCTAACAACGCACACACAACATACTCTTTCCATACACACATCCACTTCATCTTTTCTCTCGTTTTCTCTTTTTTTTCTCGCTTGCTATTTAAAAGGAGAAACTCAGTCCAACGTTGCCTCTCATTCTTTTCTGTAGACGTGTAAATTCGCTCGTCATCATCGTCATTCGTCGTTAAATCTATATCCATACATATTTTTGAACATTTATTAATCGAAAAAAAACAAAGTAAAATTTGTTAAACAATAAAAACAATTAACAAAAAAAATGAATCATTTTTGTTTCATAGATGCGTGAATGTATTTCGATCCATGTCGGCCAAGCCGGTGTTCAAATTGGTAACGCTTGTTGGGAACTTTACTGCTTAGAACATGGTATTCAACCTGATGGTCAAATGCCATCAGATAAAACCATTGGAGGTGGTGATGATTCGTTCAACACCTTCTTCAGTGAAACTGGTGCCGGAAAACATGTTCCACGTGCCGTTTTCGTTGATTTGGAACCAACTGTCATCGGTAAATAGAAACTATAATCAAGATAAAAAGAGAAGATAAATTACATCTTTACAATTGTTTTTAGATGAAGTACGTACTGGTACTTATCGACAACTTTTCCACCCTGAACAACTTATCACTGGAAAGGAAGATGCTGGTAAGGATTTGTTTTGTAGAAAATTTGTTTCCATCATAAACGATTTATTTCTATATAGCCAACAATTACGCTCGTGGTCACTATACCATCGGCAAAGAAATCGTTGATCTTGTACTCGACCGTATTCGTAAATTAGCCGATCAATGTACTGGTCTTCAAGGTTTTCTTATCTTTCACAGCTTCGGAGGTGAGTTTCTAATTTTGAAGAATGAAAATAATATTTCACATGTTATTGTATTTTAGGTGGTACTGGATCAGGTTTTACATCATTATTGATGGAACGTCTCAGTGTTGATTATGGTAAAAAATCAAAACTTGAATTCGCTGTTTATCCAGCTCCTCAAATTTCAACTGCTGTTGTTGAACCGTACAATTCAATTCTTACAACACACACAACACTTGAACACTCTGATTGTGCTTTTATGGTTGACAATGGTTTGCATTATATAAGATTTCATAAACTTTCATTAGATATTATGAATATTTTTCAGAGGCCATATATGATATTTGCCGTCGTAATTTGGATATCGAACGACCTACATATACAAACTTGAATCGACTCATTGCACAAATTGTTAGTTCAATTACAGCTTCACTTCGATTCGATGGTGCACTTAATGTTGATCTTACTGAATTTCAAACTAATTTGGTACCATATCCACGTATTCACTTTCCACTTGCTACCTATGCACCAATCATTAGCGGTAAGACAATACATCTACCATTTGATCTGTAATAAACAAAACTTGTAAAATCATTTTATTCTAGCTGAAAAAGCCTATCACGAACAATTGACAGTAGCTGAAATCACCAATGCTGTTTTTGAACCAGCCAATCAAATGGTCAAATGTGATCCTCGTCATGGTAAGTTTAACGTATAAGAAAGAATTCAATATATACATTTTTTGATATATGACTACTTTAGGTAAATACATGGCTTGCTGTTTATTGTATCGTGGTGATGTTGTACCAAAAGATGTTAATGCAGCTATTGCTACAATTAAAACAAAACGTACAATTCAATTTGTTGATTGGTGTCCAACTGGATTTAAAGTTGGTATCAACTATCAACCACCAACGGTTGTACCAGGTGGTGATTTAGCTAAAGTTCAACGTGCTGTTTGCATGTTATCAAACACAACTGCTATTGCCGGTATGTTTATTGAATTAATTGAATGAGAAAAGAGTATTTCATGGAATTGTATGCTTTTACAGAGGCCTGGGCTCGTCTTGATCACAAATTTGATTTAATGTACGCCAAACGTGCTTTTGTTCACTGGTATGTCGGTGAAGGTATGGAAGAAGGTGAATTTTCAGAAGCCCGTGAAGATTTGGCTGCTCTTGAAAAAGATTACGAAGAAGTCGGTGTTGACTCAGTTGAGGTATGTTTTAAAATTGACAAAGAAAATCGTCATCAACATACATTTGTTAATTTTAGGGTGAAGGTGAAGGCGAAGGCGAAGAATATTAAACAACCGAAAATTAATTCTCTTACTAAGCACAGCAACAAAAGAAGAATTAATCGAACATTTAATATCTTATTATGTACTTTTTCTTATTTACTTATGTATCTTATATGCTCCACTAGTTTGATAACAAGCGAGATCTTTATAATTCAATGTAATTCTTTTTTTCTTTTTTTCTCTCTTTAATATTCTTTATCTTTCTTTTCTTCTGTGCTACGCCTATGACAAAAAAATAACAACATAATAAACAAATGATGCACTTTATTCATAATAGAATATTTTCTGTGACTAGAAGAAAGAAGAACAAGAAAAATGTCTAGATTAAAAATAGTCCCATGTGCTCGTTGAAATTCGTTGTAAATGAAACAATGATGGTATTCGTTGCCTTCGACTATTGTAATGGTTATAATTTATATTTTCTGAGCAGTTTTTTACGTATGTTCCAAATGGTATTTCCAGGCTTTTCTTCATTAAACAAGAAGTATTTGATGTCAAATAATATTTTTCATTACTAATATTCTTATTATTGTTTTCATCATCAGAAATATTTTCCGAAATAGTCAAATAAAGTTTTCGTTCGGATGATTTATTTTTTACTATTGATGTATTGAAGTAATTTAGTCGACTCGATGGCGTACGTTCACCACAAAACGTAATATAACGTTGTCCATCAGCTTTACTACTATAACTTTTGTTTCCTTGTAACATATCATCGGTGAATGTTTCTGCATGATGCCGAGACCATTGTGAGAATAAACTTGGTGTACCAGATGCAGCAGCATTCGAAAATTGTTGAGATATATATTTTAATAGACCATTAGTAGCAGGTGGATCTCGCTCGATTACACTCAAACGAATATTTCGTTGTATAGATTGATTTGGTGATCGACATTCAATTTGAGACAAAAGTTTTCCATGATTCAATTTTCGGTGATCACCTATACCAATAGAATCGAACTCATAGGAATTTCGTTGTGATTCATTGAGAATAAAATGTGACTGTGGTAATGGGAGATTATGAGTACTATTAGTTTGTTTCCCAAGATAATCTGTTCGGCTAGATGATTTAATCAATTTACGATTGTATACCTGGTATTTAGATGATAAATTCACACCAACAGGATGTTTATCATGATTTACTACAATACAGAAGAGCCTATTGCATAATCGCTATAAGAATAAGATATGAAATACAGTTTAGTTACTTCTACGATTCCATTGTTGGTATTAGAATTGATATAAGATCTGTCATCGCTTACATAACAACGTCTATCAGTATCTGACAATGATTTATATTGCAGACTTCAATCTAAATTAGTCTCTGATTGGTTGGTAAAGTTAACTCTCTTCTAGTTCTAATTTCTGATTTCACGGAGGCATTGTTTAATCAAGCATGGCAAAGAAATAGAAACGAGATTAGTGAACATAAAAATTTGATTAATATCTGTATTAAAAAATATCTTATCGTTTGAATGGAAAATAATCATCGCATGTGATACTAGTCTCCTACGGTCTCATCTTCATTTGTTACTCTCATTAATGTGGATTGCAAGATAAATCATCAGAGAAAAGTTTTACTTTGCTCGTTCGGATGAGGCAAGGTCGGTCGAGATTGATTTCGTTTAATATTAATACTGTTTTCTGACATTGTCTTTCGTTCAATCTCCAACGAAGAATTCTTTTGTTGTTGTTGTTGTTGTTGTTCATTTTTAACCAATGAGCTGATTTCATTTTGTTCAAATGATGTTTCCCAATCATATGGATCATCATCATGATAACCTAATCGTTGAATAGATAACAAAAATAATGATCTAATAAATTCATAATCAGGTTTGTCTTCATAATGTAATTCTTTGAGATGTTCAAGAAATCTATCGATATCATTCGGTAAATATGATAGAAAACGATTATGATCATATGTTTCCTAATTTTATTCGTACAATAAAATAACAAGTACTAGTTGAATACGAAAAGAAAAATAAACCTTTATATGTCCGACACTTTCTTTATCTTTTATTTTCGACCATGGTAGAGAACCAATAAGAAATTCAATTAACATATAAAAAAAACTCCATAAATCATCATGTCGACCTAGCTCTCGATTATTGTGTGCATTAACCGATGCATATCGAATAGTACCTGGATGAATAATAAAATGTAAATTTAATTTTTTTAGTTTTTATACACAAAATGAACAAACCACGAAAACCTGCTTCAACTCGAGCAGGTCGAAGATTTTGATCACAATCTATATATTTTCTGGCAAGACCAAAATCAATAATAAATATTTGTCGTAAATTTTTTCTTCCGATAGCAAAATTTGATGGTTTTATATCACGATGTAGAAAACCAATTGAATGAATTGATTCTATAGCCTGTAAAATTTGTAAACTAATGCGTAGTGAAGTTGATAATGTAAAACATTGTTGCGATAAATTTCTTCGTAATTCACTAAGACTTGAGCCAAGTAATGTTATCAACATATAATTATATAACGTTGATGTGCCAGCAGATAATAATTCGCATACATGTTTACGATTTTGTACACGTCGTAGAACTGTTACTTCCATACGAATGCCTTGTCGTGTTTGAGAATTCGATTCAACTTTAACAGCAATAAATTCTCGACGTAATTTATCGTATGCCTCATAGATTTGTCCGAAACCACCACCACCTATTTTATGTGTTATAAGCCATCTTGATTTAATTAAGTCGCCTTTTGCTAGAAGATCCGATTCCGACATTCATTTAATGAGTTACAAAATTAATGTCAAACTTGTAATAAGTTACAAGAAATATATTTCAGATTCATGCGTAGAATAGTGTCAGATAAATATGCTTGCTGATTTTCTTACTGTCTACAAGATATTAAAAACGAATAAAACAAAACAAAGGTGAAAAAATATTTATATTCACTATTTATTTTTATTTTTAACTCATGATGTTAATTGTTTGGCGCTTTGGGATAAGTTTTGATGATTTACGTTTTAGCTTGAAATAGAAGAGCCTATTGCATAATCGCTATAAGAATAAGATATGAAATACAGTTTAGTTACTTCTACGATTCCATTGTTGGTATNCCCCCCCCCCCCCCCCCCCCCCCCCCCCCCCCCCCCCCCCCCCCCCCCCCCCCCCCCCCCCCCCCCCCCCCCCCCCCCCCCCCCCCCCCCCCCCCCCCCCCCCCCCGCTACAAATAATTAAATAGCCTATGAGCATTGCCATCAGATATAATGAGATTGATTAATGTAGAGACCGATTGAAAATATAAATTTGTATGTAATTCTCAAACTAACATGAAGAAGACAAGAGACTTTTCTGATAAATGTACACAGGCAACGAAAAAATGGTTTTACTAATAATTGACAATCGTTTGTGCTTCTGTTCATTCTAATTTATTATCAGCGAGAACTGTATCGGAAGAAAAATCAACGCAGATTAGAATGTATGATAATTTTAAAATGAACATGTCGTTTCGAAAATTTCCTTCACGAAATATTGAAACTCAAATATACATATTGATGATGATTATAGTCGAATCACAGTAATTTATTGCAAAACAGACTGAAACACCCATAGTTGAAAAGGCAAAATCGACAAACATGAAATTCTCTTTGATTATCTGATGTTTGAGTAGAATGCATCTTATCGGACTCGATTCTTCTTTTCAATATGACAATCATTCAAATGACTCAGAATTACTAACTATACTTGCTCATGAGCATTCGTGTGTTTTTATCACACTTCATTATGAATATTAGATATTTCTGATCGAATTGAATCGCCTAATTTCTTTTTATTAAATATGCTAAATTTCTTCTAGTTTTCAATCCTCATTTTTGCATCCAATCACACCCTTTTTTATTCCATCTTGTAAATGTTTTTCAGTGAAACAAGCACTAATCAATTGTGTTTGTTTTAATAATTGTTACAGATATAAAATTTCATCTCTATCTCGAGGTGCAATCATCATTTCCCATATATTTTTTTCGATATCAATTTTCAAATGTAAATGTGCATGTTTTCTAAATGTTCCATCATTAATTGCTAATACAGAATAATTCAATTCACTTATTCAATTACATTCTCTATTAATTACTTCAACAGTATCACTCCAAAATGCTTCTAGTTCTCCATCTTCATCTTCTAACTCATATAAACGTTCAATGTGACGTTTTGATGGCGGAATAGGTTTAGAACGATTACGAAAATCTTGCTATACATATGTCAATTTTTGTTTAGACATTAATGTTGCTAGACTCAATTCATTATTTACATCACGTGAAGTGCAAATAGATACAGATTCTCATTCTTGTTTCACCTGATTATCACCACAACAAATGTATACTTCCAATTGATTAAGTTTTTTTTGCGATTATGCATAGTTTTTAAATGAAAATTAACTAAAAGATAATCTTGTTCAAGAAGTGTGATTATTTGACGAAAAAAAGATGCAGCTCGATGAGTCATCACAAGATTTGTCGAACATTGAAACTTCTATCGATTTACTAACCTATATGGAACAAGTCATTCAGCAGGAAGCGTCGATGTTATGTTTTCGTTTTTTTTTAAATTAGAAAATAAAATAATCTTTAACTTCTTCTTTTCTACTATTTTTATAGTACATCTTTTTAATATCCTGCTTTCGGCGACTAGCTATATCTAATATAATCTGTAATTCTGTATCATCGAATATATAACGAAATCAATGTGTCAGCAATTATCATCAGTGTTTCCAATGGAAATCTAAAACAAAATGTACAGTACACTCTGTACTTTGTGAGCAAAGTGTATATTTCACTTTGTTTTTTCCGCAAAGTGTACAAAGTGTACGAAAACCAACTTTCACAATCTAAAAGACAAAATATAATCTATTTAATACTATATGCAGCTTTTATGGTTCAGAGATCAAAGAAATCAAAGTGTAAACTGTTTTGGCAAAGTGTACAACAGAGTCTATATCAAAAGTAGCAGATGTTCTGTACATTTTGCTTCTGCTTGGTACACTTGCCATTGGAAATACTGCTTATCATGACTCATAAATATCTTGATATATTCAACGAATACGAAATATACATGACGACATCTATTACAAAATATAAACTGCGCCATGTGATTTTAATAAAATTGCTTTTCATAAATTTCACAAGATTTCATTATCATATAATAGATAATTATTTTAATTCAACTATGGTATTTTATGGATACACATTGTGCACGCGTTAGCATGCTCGAAACTTGTATATAACAGAACCTTTTTATTCGGCTTTTTTCCGGGACTACAACACAGTGAAATTTGCGTAATAACTGCAATCAAAGTTTACTCCTTATTAAAAGTGTTTTCATTTTTTATTGCAGATATTTATTTATTTTTATTTAAACAATTCAGTGTTAATCAGTGATCATGACTGGTTATGATGATCAAATTTTGACGACCTTAAAAATTCTAATTATTGGAGAATCTGGTGTTGGTAAAAGTAGTCTTCTTTTGCGGTTTACTGATGATAGATTCGATCAAGACTTGTCAGCCACAATCGGTGTGGATTTTAAAGGTAAAAATTTTGAACGACAGAAAGAAACAGTTGGTTTATTGACATATCTTTTTTAACTTAGTTAAACAACTGGAAATTGATGGAAATCGTGTTAAATTGGCTATTTGGGTATGTATTTGAACGATTTAACGCTAAATCGAATCAATATAGAATAAAAAATGTATTTGACGTCACTCAGACTAAACATACAAAGATCATTATTGAAACAAAGAGGAACCAAAGTCCACAGAATTAAACTTATTTTGAATATTTCAGTAGTAAAAGAAATCAAGATGTTAAATATCATGATGGTCCGTTACTTTAATCATGCTTATTGTAAACGAATAAAATCTAACTATTGCAAATGAATATTTTTGGTATATTCGATGAAATATACTAAGTGAATCCATGATTTAATTACTTAGAAATCTAGGCATGGTAAATAATGTTTACTTCATTAAAGATTTTGATAAAATTTTAGAGAATGATTGTTTGTTTTAATTCGATAGATACATTTAATAATAAATAGTAAAGAACAAACTACCGAATATATCATTTTTTATTATTTATTAATGAGACGTTTCGTCAACTACTGTTAACTTCGTCAGTCAGAATAAAATGAAGTTTCATGAAAGGGAACATTTACATGTAGAGATACAATTAGACAAGAGAAACAAAGGAACAAAAGGAGACGAATGATAAGATAATAAAACTGACGAAGTTAACAGTAGTTGACGAAACGTCTCATTAATAAATAATTAAAAATGATATATTCGGTAGTTTGTTCTTTACTATTTATTATAGAATTTTAGATATACCAAACCGAGAGAATTCATCTAATTGATTAATCATTTTCGTATTTCGAAATGTTACATTTTACAGTCACTATTATGATTTCAATCACACAGTTTAATTTTAAATCAATCATGAGGATTGCTTTTAAAGAAAACAATTTATTAGAAAAGTTTTATGTGAATTGATTTTCTCCTATCTTGAGAAGAAGAAAAAGAAAAAAATACCGAATCTATCGACGTATGAAAGAGATATAAAATGCATGATTCTATCATAAGTGTATCTGCGAATAGAATAGACATAACAAAAATTGAATCATACCCAATAAATTATGATCATGAACATCTGTCAATGTGTCAAGTTTTGATTCAAGACTGCAAGATGTCGATAGTAAGAAGAGAATAATCTGAACTCTTTTTAAGATATTCGTAGTACATGCCCATGTAAAAGATTCACATAGACTTGAATCAAAAGAAATTCATTAGCTAGAAAATTTCCCGTATCAATATTGCCGTGAAAAAGCTTTAGATACTTTCATTTATCTCTTCTGTAAACAAATATCATCTTTTTATTTTTAGGATACAGCAGGACAAGAACGTTTTCGTACATTAACACCTGGCTGTATGTATTTGTAGTTCTAAAACAGCTGATAATAAATTTTTTCTTTACTTAGATTATCGGTAAAATGTTCTTACAATGACAAAATTGAAAGACAAACCTTTATTTTTCAGAGGTGCTCAAGGTGCAATACTTGTCTATGATGTCTGCAATCGTGCTTCTTTTCGACAATTGGATCGGTTGTATTTCGAAATTTCTGTCTCAGGCAATATATTCTTTTTCTTTTAGATGGATTTCTGAATTGGATACATTTTCAACAAAGACTAATATAATTAAAATGCTTGTTGGAAATAAAATTGATCAAGAAGAGAGTCGTGAAATAACACGTGATGAAGGTGCAAGATTCGCACGTAAACATTCAATGTTATTCATTGAAGCATCTGCACGAACACGTGAAGGTGTACAAATTGCTTTTGAAGAACTTGTTCAAAAGGTAAACTAGAATAAACTAATCCAATGAATTCGTTGTTCTTGATTATCTTCATATTTAGATTATTCAAAAGCCATCATTATGGGAAAATCAGCAAAAATCAGAAAAGATAATTCAGCCTGGTGAAACGGATCATTCAGACGAATCAGGACAAGGATGTTATTGTTAAAAAATAATCTACCTTCCTTTCTTTTTCTTGTGTTTTTTTCGGTTTTGTAAATACAATGATTGTGCATTTTAATTTTTGTTGCTATTACACGTCGAGTCGAACAAATGAATATTCATGAAATCTATATTATAATTTATTTTACATAAATCATCGCTTCGTTAATACGAAAGCAAACAATATACAGTTTGCTGAACCTTTTTTACTTGTCTTGCAGATATGGAAGATAATAATTTATTATTGAACATCTTTAGTGAACCATTACCAACAAAATCTAGATCATTAGGAACAAAATCAGTTGTATGTTTGAAAGAGTTACTTTTCTTCTATTGTTACTAAGAAAGATAAGGAAATCGTATTTTTTTTTATAGAAACGTAAACTTGAAGTTGTAGAAGAAAAAAACAATTATGTTGAATCAACGAACAAGAAAAAGAAGAATGAACGTGCTAAACTTGATTTATGTCAAGGTCGAGAAATGAAATCTCCGAAACGATCATCTTTATTTACGAATAATCCAACTATACCTCAGATGGAAGAGTATGTATAAGAAAGAAATCACTTTTTTTTTCAAAAACAAAACATCATTTGATTCTAGTGTAAATGTTGAAACAGCCAATGAAGAAGTATTCGGTACAGTAACATCTATGGATACAATGCCAGTACATCCTCATATTGTAAGTTAAATGAAATTTGAGCATAGAACAATTTTAAATCTAAAAAAGTGTTAGGACAGGGTATGAGAGATGAACCATTTTAGGATTCTGGTTAAATTTGATAAATTCAAACTCTTGCATATAGTACAAGATTGTCCAATCGATAGGAAATAGAAATAGAGAAATGGCATTTAACAATACGAAAAAAAGAGATTCTTTATAAGTTTTTAGATGACATGTGTGAGTCAATCAAATAGTCTAACTAAATCGAATTATTTTTCAGTTTTCTTTTCATTATCTTTTTGTATCAAACAGTTATCACTCTACTGTTCTCTGTTTGTTTGATAAAAGCAGCTATTCATCTATATTTATCGAACAAACTGACTTTAGTGGTATGCCTAATTTTTAGTCTTGATTCTACTGAGATTACGACCATCTTACCCATAACTAAACATAACTTATGTATAATGTTTGACAGCTAATTTATTGAATGTGACAAATGAATTTAGTCTTCTTAGGATTTTTAAAAGGTGTTATTTTTTATGATTAATATAATTTTTATTGAAATGATCTGTCGAAAGATCAATATTTAATATATCTTGTTCGGAAAATGATTACCTTTGTCAAGAGCAACAGATCATATTTAGGAGAAATTAAAAAGTCGTTTCTATGTTATGTCATATAGAAATCTGGAGTTTTATTAATTTCATAAGGTTGATGTATCTCTCACTCTATGACAGCACTATCTGAATTCTGGTAAATGCGTCAAATTGTGTCAATGGAATATTCATTTCGCTAGACTTTATGTTGTTAATATCTTGTGAATAGGTTTCTTGCTTAAAACAAAAATTCAATATAACTCGTTTAACAAATGTTCAAGAAAAATCCATTCCAGCTATTTTGACTGGTCAAGATGTTATCATCAAATCTCAAACGGGCAGTGGTAAATAGAATAAAAGAAGATCGATACTTTGAATTTCACTTGATTTAATCTTTAGGTAAAACACTTGCATATGTGGTACCAACAATTCATCTGATACAAATGATTGAACCATTAGTACGACGTGAAACAGGTCCTATTGCTATAGTACTTGTTCCAACTAAAGAAGTAGAAGAAGAAGAAGAAGAAAATTGTGTGTTTCGAGATATTTTTAATTCAAATTATTTTTCTTTAGCTTGTTCAACAAACATATGAAGTTTTTCAAAAGCTATTAACATCATTTGTTCGTATTGTTTGTTCACCACTTGTTGGAGGTTCTAATAGAAATCATGAAAAGAAACGGTACGATAAGAATAAAACATTTTTATTTTTTCATGATATAAAAATTGAATGAATTTATCTTTTTTCTTATAGACTTCGTCGGGGTTTAAATATTCTTATATCAACGCCCGGACGTTTATGTGATCATATTGAAAATACACAATCATTGTCTTTTAAAAATATTCAATTTTTGATATTTGATGAAGCGGACAAGTAAAAAGGTTTTCTTATCATTTCTGTTAGTTAATCATAGAAATTTTAGAATGCTTGATATGGGTTTTGCTGATGCAATCAATAAAATTATTCAAACAATAGCAAAACATGCTGAAGATGGAAAACGATTTCAACGTATTCTTTCATCTGCAACTCCAACAACAGGTTTGATAAAAGACTTAACCATGGCAATAGTTAATTTTCTTAAATATGACTTAAAAAGAATGTTCAACCATGGATCTAGAAATTTCGATTGCCACAAGAACTGCATATCAATAAAATGTCGTGATAATAAATAAAACAATTGTATTTGACACATGTGGAGAATTGAAGTAAAAGTAGAATGAAGAACCGTATCTTGACATAGATAGGAAACAAGAATGTTATTGACTCTTTAGTGCTCTGCGATAGATTCTATAGCTCCATAGATTTCTTAGTACTTCAGCGAGGAGGTTTATTGTGTTCTCCAAACGTATGAACTGACCATCGGAACTAGGGGTATGCCAAAGCATAGCATTTATACTATCGAATGAAAAAGTTTCACATAGATAACTTCTAGTAACCTGTCTATAGTCACTACATAGCTAGTGGCACTGAGTTTTGAATAAACTATCTTTTAAATATTTCCCTAGCAAAATGTAGAGTAAAATAATATTCACACCAGAGGACACAGTGTCTTAATCCTGTTTCACATTTGAACTCAGCTGAGGTTATGCTAACGACAGTTTTTTATTCAAATTGTTTTCTTTCCTTATAGCATTGAATGATTTCGTTGATCTCAATGTGAGTAAAACTGCACTTAGTATTGATATTTCGGAAGAATTTAATGATCAAAGTGTAATAACTGTACCGAAAACATTAAAGCAAATGTTTACTATTGTACCAAGTAAATTACGTTTTGTTACATTGATTGCATTTTTATTAAAAATTTTCAATAACACTGTAAGTTACATGTTGTTTATAAATTACTATTTTTGAATTTGTCTTATTTTTCTTTTCGAACAAAAACTAAAGGATAAAGCAAAGGCAAAAGTACTTCTATTTTTGGCAACCAATGATCTTTCTCATTTTCACTACGATGTTATAAACGCAATATTAAATGGTGACCAAGAAGACGATATGGATGAACAAGGAGATTTACAATTTGGACATTTATTAAATGAGCCCATTAAATTATTACGACTGCAAGGAGATATGTCACATCAAGTATGTTCTAACTTTTGCTTTTGTATATAAAAGTTCATTAGACACATATATGATTTTTCTTAGGAACGAACAAGAGTTGTCAGTCAATTTTCTAAAATGAAGCGAGGAATTCTACTGTGTACCAATGTTGCTGCACGTGGTCTTGATTTACCGAGTGTTACATGGATTATTCAATATCATCCAACAAGTCCGATTGATTATATTCATCGTATTGGAAGAACAGCTCGGCTTGGTTTGTTTTCTGAATTTAAAAGAAAAAACGAGTGTTAAATTATAACATTAGAATCTTGAATCGTAGGAGTGACTCAACACACTGTATTGTATTAGAAAGTTAGAAAGTAGCAGGATTCGATTGAATCAGAAGTTAACAGTATTTTTAGGATATTAGATTCTCGTAACTGAAGTGCACGCAGTTTTCTACTTTTGTACAGGTGAATTCATCATCGACTCATTTAAGCTACAGAACAAAAGCCTTGCATAACATTATCGCGAATGAAAATGGAATTCGAGATCGCTATCGTGGTTTTTCTTTTCTGTTTTACTTAACCTACTGCAATCATATTAATAACTACATCTCTATTCGTGGACATGCCAGTTCGTTACAATTGATAGATTAGAATATATGTTGAAGAATCCTTTGCTTGACAATTCATTTAGATCCTATGCGTTTCACTTTTTTTTGATACGTCAGAATTTGTTGTAAAAGCTGGTTTTGTTTCATAATATCATGTGTTATTTTTAGGTTCAATTGGTCGTTCGATAATTTTTCTGTTACCAAACGAATCGGAATATGTCACAACACTGCAAGAGAAATATAAAATGAGGTAAGAAAAAGAAAACTGTTCATTCAAAGATTAACTAGAATAGATTAATATTTTGTGTTATATAGGACTATTGTAGTATTAGTTTCCTATGACGATTGAAACACTCACAACACATATTTCTCAATTCTGAAACAGAACTTTCTAATGCTTTATTTATTATTTTAGCTTGAAAAGTATCTCACCTGAAGACATTCTTGAAACGCTTCGATTCAGTTCTGAAAAGTTAAAACAACATTTTGAAACTCGAGTAAGTTCTTCTAGCTTATATTTAAGTATCGAGAAAAACAGCCATTGTCGATTTTGTAATTATCACGATAGTTATATTCATTTTTCTTGGGTAAAGTTAAGTGATATGATATTATTTGTTTTTGATTGTATGAAAGATGAACGCTGATACTATTTTATTTGTTAGCTTTGAAACCTGTTATCAGATATGGTTCTTCTTTTAATTGCCATGAGTTTTGTTTTTCGTTATGTTATTTTCATTTTTCTGTTCACAGCTGTTCTATCAAAACATTTTTTTCACAATGATAATATATATTGATGCCTGCTGTTGCCTGTATCTATTAACATGTATTACCTTGAGACGTGTACACAAAACCAATTATCTTGAAAGAGAATATGTTTCGTTGGCATACTTTAGTTTAATTCTTATTCAATTGGAATTAAATCTTCATTGGCTTTTGATTTAAATTTAAATTAACAATGAATTCTTTTCTTATATATCATAGTACTTTGTGAGATATTTTTCGCTCGTATTTAAATGATTTTAGATGAAACATTAGAAGATGATTCTATAAGATTCATATTTATATATTAACTGAAACATTTACAGCAGGGTGACAGCATCTATTTGTTTTATATGAAATAATTGAATGGATTTCGTTAGAATATTGACATAACTTATTCTATTTTAACAAGTTCTGATAGTGAAAGAATTGCATTTTTCCTATATAGTTGATTCCAACTGTAGACTTTTCAATTACTTGTTTTCATAGTTTACTCTTTCTTTCAAAACTTTAGAGTGTTATTCCAAAAACAGCTGAACAATGTGCAAGCTCTCTACATCATCATTTTGAAGAATATGTTAATGCGACTGATGAACGTGTCGAACAAGCTAGACAAGGTATAATATTAAAATACTCACCTAATCATTTCTTTTATTTCTTTATTTTTTTCACATTAAGCATATCTTTCATTTATTCGTTATTACGCGTCATTTTCTCGTGAATGGAAATATTTATTTCATGTAAAAAATGTCCATCGTGGTCATGTTGCGAAAAGTTTTGGTTTAAAAAGTTTACCAGATGAATCAAATAATCATACGCTTAATGAACGAAAAGGAACTTTTGCTTCATTATCAAATAGAAGAAAGCCAATAGCAGTAAACGAGTAAAAATTAAATATTTATAATTCAAACGAATATTTACGTTTGATATTTTTTCTAGCAAAAAACCTACTGAAACCAACGATGAAAAAGATGATGAAGATGAAAAAGATGAAAAAGATGAAAAAGATGGAAAAAATGGAAAAAATGAAAACAATGAAGAACCAATTGTACCATTAAAAACCGAAAAAAAGAGTCTTTTCGATCGTCCATTATTTTCATACAATATCAAACCCCGGCCACGGTTTCGTAATTTTAGTCATATATCTGAATATGGAAACGGTCTTGAATTAATTACAAAATCCCATAGGAAGAAAGATAAAGTCGATGAATTTTTAGAGAAAAAACGTGAACGAAATACTCTCAAACGTTTGCATGGCCGAAAAAAAACTTTTGATTAAAAGAAAACAACGAGTTTTTCTTTTGTTTTTTTCTGTTATTTGAAATTAAATTAAAACAAGAAAAAAAAATACGAAGAAATTTTATTTCTTCTAGATAGATGATTTATTTCATTCGCATAACAACTGAAAAATGCCGCCCGGTGAGAGAAATGTCGAACCACAGAAAAAACGTTCAAATAAAGTACGGCGCAAAAATCAAAAATCAAAACCCAAACCACGAACAACAGATAACAAGGATCCAAAAAATTCAATAAAAATTGCTCGTGATGGTTTGTATTTTTCTTCTTTGTTGTTCTCGCTATGGAATTTAATTTGCATATTATTTAGGAACTCAACGTGATTTCAATAAATTAACACCAGCTAATTTATCTTCTCTTCGTTGGGATAACGCCGTAACTGATGCGACACTTGAAGACGATCGTATTGAACAGTATAAGGAACTTCGACGGCAACGATATTGTGAAGCTCGAGAACAAGCAATTCAAACTTTAGTTGAAAAAATGAAAAAAACTCCTATGAATGTCTCAGACAAATAGATGGTGATTTTAATTTCGGTGATTTTAGTGTACTATACAGTCTTTTTAACACGTTAATTTCTAACGATCTTAATTTTTATTTATTCAATAAATATTTAACTTTGATTTACTGGTTTTACTAATGAGTTGCGTCTTCAAATTATGAAATCTATACGGATTTGTGTCAAGATAGTTCTAGTATTAGTTATTCTTCCTTTGAATTTCTCATCATTAATTTTCCTACTGACGTAATTTTATGTAATGTAATATAGTGGTTCATTAAAAGAATCCAGTGAAACTTTTCGAAGTTAATGATTTACAGACTTTGTTTGTATATGTTTTAAAACGGAATTTAAGATCTGTGCTGAGATATTTTGAAGGCATCAGATGTTACAATTGCTCTGACTTATCCAATGGATACGTTGAATCCATGAATGTCAAGAAAGCATTGAGAACTTTAGCTTTGTTTCTGTTGAGAAGATATTACATTTTTAAAGTCATTTTTAGTTCGATACTGTAGTCTTTCTTAGAAACAAGAATTTCCTAAATTTTAACTGACAATTATATCAAGATATAAAAATTAACAAGTAGAATTTATTATAGAATACTCAGATGTCATGACTTCCTCGAAGTATAAAATAGAAATATCGAATATGTCGCTGAATATTGAGTAATTAAAAGTCAAGCAATTGCTTTAACTTGTATCTTAGGATAAAATTAACATCAATATCAGAAATATGCAACAAAAGTTATTCTCTTTATTTTATATATCTCAGTGAAATATTAACTCTAAACTGATTAATCATTATTTTTATCGTGTTCGTGAAAGCACGACGACATAGAGACAATTATGGAATACCGTAAAAGCACAATATGTGCATAAAAAGAAGCACAGAGTACGTACTCTTTTTTAGCACATTCATCACTCTATAGAGTTTGAAAGATGGACATAATTGCGATTCAAAGGCGTACGATCAGTCATGAGATTTCCCTCGTCAACTTAGATCGTTGCCAATGATGGTAATTAAAAAAAACTTTATTTTTACACTTGCCCTTTTTGTCTCGAAATGAAAGAAAAACTTCTTATTTGGCTTCCTTTAAGAATAGCATTCTTTTTATCGATTTTTTACGATGAAAAATATGTGTGCAATTTCTTTTATTGTGTCTTAAATGTAATCAATTGTTATGGCAGAGAAACATAGGTGTCTATTTGGATACCAGCGATTGTCGAATTTGAGTTATCATTAATTTTTTATATTTACAATAAATGTTTGAATGAAATTTTATTGTTCCGAAAAGAAATTGGCTTATCCAATTTTTTCTTTAACTTGAAACTTTTAAAAGATTCAAAGAGTACATCGACAAGAACGATACATAAAGAATACATAAAATATTTTCATCACCCCTGAAGTTTGTCTATTAAAAGGTATCAAATTAATCTTATACTTGTCAGAAATTTGATTTTCCCACAAAACTTATTCTTTAGACAAGACTAAAAAGTATACACTACAGAAAGTATTTTTCTTATCTCTAGTTCACACCTTAGGTTTTAAATGTAAGTAGAAATAAAAAAATGTTTCTCTCTATTTCTCAACAAAAAACTATGAACTATCTCGACGATTATCTCTGCATCCTAGACTAAATTTTGAAAAAGATGTCGCGTTCGTCTCACAATTCATATAGTTGATCAATGTTTGAAAACGAAAATAGAATCTCTTTCAAAGAATATCAAACAGAAAGAGTGCCACATAATCATTTGCTATGATATTAAAATTTTGTCCAATAAAAAGAAAATTCTTGTATATATTTCACTGATTTTTACACCAAATAGAAATAAAAAATATCTCGATTTCAATATAGAACAAATGGGAAGAAAGTTCATAGAAAAAAAAAATTAACCATTTTTAGGTGCTTGATTTCTTAAGTTGAATGGTGGTTCTTCTAAATTCATCACAATTTCATCTTCTTCTCGTTGGTCTATATCCATTTCGGTTGCATTTTGTACTAATTGCTGTCGATCTATTTTTCTATAGTGTTGAAAACTTGGAAAGTATATTATTTGATGTTTTCGATAATAATATATTCCACCAAACAAAACACACAATAATACCACACCGAGTGTTCCATATAAAATGTAACTTTTTAGAAAATGTTTGGTTCCTTTGTTAATCAAACCTGATTCTTGTTTGTGCTTATCAAGTGGCGAAGTTTCTCTGAATCGCATTGGATTATTTTTCATAAAAGTTCCATTTTGTTTATACCACTTTTTATGCAATAATAAAAACTGATCCAATGATTTTGAGTTTGCAGATTGATTTGCCGGTTTTTGACTATCATCATACACATAAAACAAACGTAATGATGCAGTAAAAATTGCGTTTGGTTCTATAGTTTTTAGTGGATTTCCAGTTAAATCAAGAATTTGTAAATTTGGTGATTCAAATGCATCTGTTTGAATTGTATGAATACGATTGTATGATAAATTAATTTCGTAAAGACTAATTAATTTATTATCAAATATATATGATGGAACAATTTGAATTAAATTTGATTTTAAATTAATAGTATGTAAAAAGCGACTAGTTAAATAGTGAAATAAATTCTTCAGTGAATCAATTTTATTATAGGATAAATCAACTAGTTTTAATTTTGTATATTCCATGAATACGAGATTTTCGACAGTTTTTAAAGAATTATTTGAACATCTAAGTTCCTCTAATTCTAATAATTGTTTATTCAATATTAATTTACTTAAATTTTGATGTGAACAATCGATATAATTCAATTTCATTTGTTTATCTAAATTAAGTTCCGTTAAATGATTGAAACTTACATCTAATCGATGTATATCATAAAAATCGACTACAAATGAATATAAATTTGTCCTTGATATATTTAATGAAAAATCTAATGTGTTAAAATCAACACCCAGTGGAATGCGTGTTATATTAACAGGAAGAACTCCTTCATTTTCACTATAATCAACATTTTTTGTTAATCTAAATAAATTTTTTAAACGCTTCGATAAATTAAACGTTCGATTACGTATTGTAGAACATAAATTTATTGATTCATAAAATTTTTTATCACGCCAAGTTATATTAAATAATTCGATTGGATTGTAAGCTAATGATAGATGTTGAAGATTTTCAAAAATATTTATATCAATATAGAAAATATTATTATTCGATAAATCAAGACGCTTTAATAATAGAAAACGCTTATCGGTTAACCATTCAGGTAACGTTTCAATGTTTAAATGACGTAAATATAAATTGAGTAATTGACTACCAGGTATGGAATCATTCGATTTTGTTTTACATTGAAGTAAATGTGTTAAAAGATTCTCATTATTATTTGATTCTGATTCAAATTTAATGGAAGACAAATCCAACGTAGTTATCTGTTGAAATAAATCAAATAAACAATTTTCATTTGCTTTTGTACTGGATTTAAAACGAGAATTTTGTAAATCAAGTGTACCAGTGATTGATCGAACACTGTTAAATAAATTACACGAATGAGAAAATGTATTTGTATCATAGATATTGTTACGTAGTATAAGATCATGAAGCTTTGACGAGATTGTATCTAAATTTATTTAAAAGAAACTGTTCAGTTATTGTAATAAAATTTAAACAGTATCATATATAAAAATGAGTCGCTACTACTTATAACTAAACTGTTCTTCTTTTCATTCATACATTTGCAAACAATTGATAGCCACTAAGGATTTAAGGATTTTTACACAGTTTTGATGGGCAGAAAGCCCGATTTTTAATAGATGATCAGTCAAAATAATATTGAATATATAAATGTTAAATGTTGGATTTTTCATTTAACATATAAACTCATGTATAAACTATACTTTAATCAAATTTATTTCAATATATCTTATAGTTCAAGGTCTTTGAGTGTTCCTACAAATATCATTCAGAAAGAAAATCATCTATAGGAGTCTATATTTCTTTGTGAATCGAGTAGTCTTTTCTATCAGATTCACCACATTTCATTAATTTGTCTATCTATCTAAGCATGTCAAAAAACCGTAGCTATTGAATTATATCAAAACAGAATACTGCTAATCTGCAAGATAGATATTTACGATTAAAAAAATTGAAAATTTTAAGATTAGCATCATCGTCGACTGAAATTCATGAGTAATGCATTGAGAATAGCATGATAAAAGAATCTAATAGAATATTTGTACCAGAATTTTAATACAGCATCGATGATCGTATCAATAAAACTGAGATATTTACTAGTCAAGATGAGTCAAAAGACAAAAATATTGACGCGTAAATCAGATATCTTGTAGGAAACATCATATGACTATTATCTTAAATTGGAATTTAAATTGAAAAAAATATAAGTCACCTCTTCAAGATTTCTCATTATGATTGATTAGAATTAATATTTCATGTCTACAAGGATGAAAAATTCATTTTTCTCAGTCCTTTGAGAGATTTTTTTCAAATGTTCTGATTTACAATCCATGACAAAATCAATTTTCAATGGCAATAAGAACTCAGTTTTTTATTTTATTGGTATAGACTACTAAAACAACTAGTTGTAATGTTTCAAAGCTTTTCTCTTATTACTTCGCTTGTAAGTAACAAGTTGTAGACCAGAAGAAAAAAAAAACATCAACGATTACAAACCCGTATTATACTGTTATCTAAAATGTAGAAAATTTCATTGAAATGTTTCTTGCGAATCTCTACGCCTGAAGCGAAATTATTTTTGCTAAACATAATACTTTCTCTAGATGAATACTTTCATTAGTCGAGTTTCTATGGGCAATGTCGAAATTTTGAGATTCAATGTGCTTAACAATCAGGACTGAATTTGTTAACAAAAATTAAAATAAACATAAGCCATATTTTAAAGGTAACAATACCTGGTGTGTTTAAACAAGCTTTATACATATCTGATCCGCTTAAATCCAGTAATCGAAGTGCTTTAAGTGGACGAAAAATTTGCGGACATTGATCAGGTATTTGTTTACAGCATGAAGATAAATTTAAAATTCTTAAATTTTCATATATGGGTGAATAAAATGAATTTGAACCTAAAGTGAATTTATTTCCTTGATTAGCTAAGGAAAGACCTCTAATAGTGTAGGAAAAGTTAGTTAGCTGAATAGTTTTGTTTGTAAATTTTTTTAATGACAAAGAATTTGATAAATCAATGGCAATAACATAATTTGGCGTTGAACCATCATCGTCTAGATCATAAGGTTTATCTTCATTAATTGACCATTGTTGAGCTTCATGAATTAGCTGTTCATTCTTGAATGCTGCATTTGAACATGTAATAACATATGACATTCGTATAAAATCCACATCGTCCGTATCAGTTGGCTTACAAATACATTCCGGTGGACATGGATATGAATAAATAATTGATAAAGAAAATAATAGGATATAAATTGAATTTATAAACATTTTCTTCAAAAATAAAAAAATTATGAAATAAAAATGATCCTTGCTTTCTTTCTCGTCTTTACTCTATAAAAGTCCGAAGCCGACGGCGTAAGAAGAAAATGACTACTTCGTTTTTTTATTCTTTTTTTCCTAGTTTACTCTTTGCATACTCTGAAAGGATGCCAGAGATAAGAGGAAAAAAAGAACAGGTAATAGGTCATTATTCTTCATCGCTGAGATATTTTTTCTATTTACTTTTGCATATAATCTATGCGTTAAGTTGACTTTTGATGGTCCTTGAAAATGTGTTGTTTTTTTTGCTGAAGGCTAAAGTAATCAGGAGATGACGAGATCTTTGAAAGATGTTCGAACTTTTTTATTTTTGAAGTATTGATGAAGAAAAAATGTTAAAGCATCATAAATTACTCTAGGGAAAAAGAATAACTTTTGCCGATTGTATAAACTCATATACTAGGAATGCACTTGCTTAGGAACGTAAACATGCATGATTTACTTGTCAAAAATGAATTCAACGCAATATTCTTCTAACTTCTGTAGTCGAATCAAATAAAGAAGGAGTTAGTGTGATAAAACACTGCATGCATCTTTCACAGCATGTGTTACAAAAGTTCTACATTAATCTTTTCATTGGTATTACCTGACAACAAGTAACTGTCGAGACTCTATAGTTACTTCTTTCTAAAGGTCAAATGTTTAACTATAATTGATGAAGCTATTGTGCACTGAAACTTCTAAATATGAACACAAGTCATGTGTGTGTATGTAAATAATACGGTACGAGTTTTATGTTGTTGAATTAAAATATTTGAATTATAAAAACTGCAGATTTCAAAGGAATATTTTAAAACTTCGTTGTCTCCTCTGTACAGCTATTCAATAAAGTTTTTCTCATGACAGCTAATATTCTCTTTTATAAAATACGACTTTCTCGACATGTTCGTTCGAAACAGACGAGATTCGCTATTATTTTACTAGAAAAAGAAAAGAAATTTGTTGATACACGGTTGCACACACACACACACATGTAGAAATTATCGAAAGGAAAGAAAGCAAATGATAACAATATCTAAAAAGAGAAGATGAGAAAAAAGAAAACGTAGATGAAGCGCTATTATCATGTGATATCTAAGTTAACCAGCAAGCTCAATATGCTCCGATTGGATATAAAATATGCAATTTTCACTGATCTCAATCACTGGAGAAAAGTTTCTTCTTTTGAAATCATTGGTCATTAGAGAGCTGCCAATTTTGAATCGAAACACCAGCTTGGAAGTTTTACTTAAAACTAGTATAAAAAACAAATCGATAGGTATAATATATCTAAAACTAATAAAAAAAGTCCGTATATTTCATACGATATGCTATGCTATTGAATGGTAAATTTAATCATCAATCAAAACCTGCTACAGTTATGATTTAAGAAGTGCTCAAATTGATCCCTTGATAAAAAAAAAACTCCCATTGAAAAATCTCGTATACGGTATATGCTGATTAATTATAATACTAATGAATTTCTATTACGGAGAACCTCTTTCAACGTAAAAATCTAGAATGAGATCTATATGAGACACTCATTTAAAATCATATAAGAATGACATGCATTATTAATATGATTTTTTAAAAGCGCTCCTATCATTTCATAGATGCAAATAGCTTGAAACTAAGTTATCATGAATTTTATTTTTGAAAAAAATTAAATTAGTTCATCTTCTAAATGTTATTACGATTCTTAGTGTTAATTTTGTTTCTTTCGAAGAGCAGAAAACCACTGATGTGTATGTTTCGTCGATAAAAAGAAATGTCTACAACAGAATATTGGATATGTATATTTCAATAGATCTACGGTAAGAGTTCATGTTCAACTTTGAATGGTTAATTGATAACCATAGTCACTGTGTAAATAAAGAATGCAAGAATTGTTTTTACTACATGTCATACGAAAAATGTTCAGTGCCAAGCAGAATCGTAAAAAGTACTTTTTTCTCATTTTTCATATCGATCGTTCAGCCTACATTCTTTATTTTGAACATTTTATTTCAATTATATCCATGGAAAGTTTCGATACTAATTTCATTTTTTGTTTTTTATTCGATTTTATAAGCAAACTAAATTTTGATTTGCTTTCATGTGTCTTTTCAGCATGAAAATCTTATCTTATTTCCCAGCGCAACATACTATATGTATAGTTGATTGAGAAAGAAAACAACAACGTATCGATTCTAACTATGTGATTTGGATATTTTTGTGAATGTTCAAAATCGAACATAATTAAACGCTACACTAAGGCACAAATCGACTAGACAAATGAGAATGAGACATTAAAATGATTAAAAAAATAAAAAATGCTTGATCATTTTAATTCATCAATGATTCATTTTAAAATAAATTTATCCATTGTTACAGCGGACATTATTTTTATTTTGCATTGCTTCTTTCATTCACTCATTCATTCAAGGATATTGGATGTGGAACTAGCTTGCGTATTTTCACTTCTTCAAATACAGCTGTTTTCTTCTCTCAAGGATAATGCCCGCTGTGATATATGAATCAAAAGAGAAAAAAAACGTGCACGACACATACGTATTTTCATTTTCATTTTCACTTTGTGTTCGGTTCTGTACGCGAGTGAGTAGAGTGATGTTCGTAACGTGTAAAATAAAATAATAAAATCGATCAAGCGATGCGCGTGTTTGAGCAGTTTCATCTATTGCCTATTTTCGTCGATTTACATAATCGATTTGGAAGATTTTTTGTGTAAATTTTATAGAATATGAGAATAAATCAACGAAATGAAAAAGTTTTTGTTGAGAATAAATTGAGATCAAATTTGAAAGGTCTTATTTTATCTAGATAAATTTTTTCTTCGTCACAAAAGGACGTTTATTCTAATAGCTCGATAGGTTGAAATAGATCTTTCATTATTCAACTATACATTTCACGTGTTGGTGACACTTCTTGTTCTCTAATCCTTTCGAAAAATTTTCAATATATTCAATATTAATAACAAATTGTATAATCCAGCTTTTTCCTTAAGCATATTTTATCGATTCAGTTTAGTCGATTTCGAATAGCAATCTTATATCCTTCAGTAATCAAGAAAAATCGAAATAAATGATTAGTGAAATCCTAATTTATGTATAATAGGGACGGCGCGAAGGGGAGGGGGGTTCCCCTCCCCAAATTTGGAATTTTTTTTTCAATTTTACTCCGATTTGAAAAAAATAGAAGAGATTTTTATTGATTTACTCCGATTTTTGAAAGGAAACCTCCCGTTTTCAAGTAACCCCCCTATATTTTTATTGCTTCGCGCCGTCCCTGATGTATAAAAAACAAATTTCTTCATGTCGAATCAATAGGTTTTTTTACCGTTGAGGTTAAAAACTATTTTATCTTTTTTTCTTATTATAAATGATCCAATTACATTTTAATCTTTAGATAAACTATATCTATTATTATAATCATCACCATCGAACCTAATAGAAATGCTAATTCTTTTATTACAAGTATTATTTGCTGCGATACGTACTATTTCATCATCTGCTTTAAATATTATGATGTATTCATTTATTTCACGTATTTTTAATAACTGGCTTGGTTTTAATAGTTTTATATCATTCTTTTGTTCGATTTACTGTTTATCAAAAATAGTTAATTTTTTCAAGCGTACATGGTTAAAAGCTAGATTACGAAATAAAAAGCCCGATGAAAAAATCTCTAGTGATGGATTGACATGGCATTCACCAACAACGATGAAGTAAGTAAAACGTATAGTTTGATTTCAAAATAGAATTCGATTCATCTTAATTGCCATATCGGAGAAAACATCTAATAGAATAAAGTATTCAGTTGGATGATGTTAATCAACAGAGATGAAAATTATTGTTCTGTTCAAACTCTAGTATATTCCTTTGGAATACTCAAAATCATCTTGTTCTGTAAGATTTAAAAATAAATGACTTTTACTGATAAATTTGCACGTTTCAGTTTGATAGAACATCAATCATCTACTATTGTTGACTATCATTCATCTATAATACTATTGAAACGTTAGAGAAGTCTTTTAAATATTTTGTTTTTGAAACGGAAATACTTTTGAAAATAGCTTCCTATCTATTTTATCTCTCTAGAATTATAAAACTTAGAACATGTTAACAAACATTCAATGGTATCGAATGAAAGTGCAGGCAATAGTTAAAATAATTGATATTTTGCCAAAAGTGATTGATCATGCTTAGAAAATAATAAGACACGAACAATCTTAACTGTATTCTCAAGAAAATGTTGGTATACACTTTTTGACATCTAATAAAGGAACGATTAGTTTGCAGGATAATTTCATTTAGTTTATTAATGATATTTGATATGTAACAATTAACTATTCAAACGATTAAATTCTTGTTCTCTTTTTGAATTTTTTTAACCAAACAAGAATCTGTCTCTTTTTATTTACAAAGACAGTGCATTGTTTGTCAATTAATCCGGAATTGGGAAAGAAGAGTTTTCAACTTATTCTATCGCTCGATTAAGTTAAAATGTTTCTTAGATATGTAAGTTTATCAGAAGAAGATCAAGAAAATTTTGATCAGATTTTACTTGATCTAACTCGGGTTCGTCTTACAGATTTTGACTTGTAATGAAGAAGTAGTATTTGAGATCATTGACGATGTAGAATGTCACATTTAATCATAAAAATGTCCATATTTTGTGAAGAATATTTTCCGAGTCACCTGCTTGAATCTTTAAATACTCATACGTGCCGTGAAGTGTGATGAAAAACATTTTAATACTAGCATATTTTAGAATTTTTATCTGCTATGTTAAGTATCTAGCTCAAGCTCAGATATTAATTTCAATAGAAAATCATACCATTCATGTAATGCATTCTATAGAAAAATTCTATAGATACGCTATAATGGCAAGACTTTAAAGTAAGACCGACAGTATTTCTACAATCTAATGTCTTCATTAAATATTAAAATCATCAGCTGCGTTTGCAGTTAATTGTTTAACCTTATTTTAAAAAAGTTTAAACAGCAATACGTTTTGGTAAGCACTGAAATTGCAATAAAAATTTTCTTTCCATTAGAACCGAAGATGAAAATGAACCAATTGCTAAATTTGAAAACGATTGGAAATATTTAATTGATGATGATGCTAAAAATATATTTCCGTCCATTGTTAATATCCCATTTACTAATGGTTGGTTACTTATTGCAACAATACTTCTGATTGACTATCAAATGGAGAGTCTAGGCTATAGTTATACAGTATCATTAATTCGAATGATGATTTTTTTGAGCTTATTAATATGTGGTTCAACCGTACGCTATCAAACATTATGTGAACGTGAAAATAAAAAGTTTTTTGATGTAATGATCAAACAACGAGATGAAATTGAACGTTATATAATTTATTCAAATAACAGTGCTCCTGTTGGATCTGCTTGTTTACAAATAAAAGATACTCCTGAAACATCGATGTTTACAGTACAATTATATCAAGTGAATTCGAAATTTCATGATTATATATATGATATAGGAGATTATATGTGTCAAAGTTTAATAGAACGTGTTAAAATTTATGCGAAGGAAAACAAAAAATCTGTTCGATTAATATGGTCATTTCCAACATGTAAACAACTGTGGACATTTGCAATTAAAAATAAGAAATTTATTTTGAAAAATACATATAAAGATTTTTCATTTTTTCCATTAATCGATTCTCACATTCAACAATATGAATATTATTATGAATATGAAGATTTATCAGCAGACGTTGCTAATGAAATGTTAGCAGACGAATAAAAAGAAACTAGCACCATATCATTTGTTTTCTTGTTCTGTTTAGTTTTTATTTTTCAAATAAAAAAAAACATTTTAAGTCTTTATTTAACTCTGAAGAGGTAGTGTTGAAATGGATTTTGGTTCGTAACCATGGATAGCCATAAGCGGAGTTTTATTATTACTTGTCGTAAATGATTTACGAATAGTATTATTTGTCCTAAAATACAAAACCAAAAAATGAAGTAACTAGTCTCTGACTCCATTCTGCTTTTGCTTATTTACAAATGCTTTTGAGTATCCATCGGTTTCATAGCAACAGAAGTGGGAGTGAATGAACGTGTCACTGGGAGAAATTTTGCATATCTATTATATTCGTGACAATCATTTAAACCTATATAAAAAATAATGAAATTGGTGCTCGATTATCAATTTCTTAGAATCATTATCTATGCATGCTTTAAAGTTACTTACGAAACTGTGGTTTGCAATTGAAATCTAAAATAGTATAAATAATAGTGAATGAACAAGATTATTGAATAGATTTAAATCATTTTCGTAGTAAGTCTTGACTCATAGGTAACTCTAATCGGGAGCCGATATTATTATTTTGAATTCTTTTCTTTTTTTCTCAGAAGTAAATCTTCATGAAAGAAATGAAAATCGTGCGGTATTTCATAAACTGGACTTTTCTCTTCTACGTTATTAGTATATGATAGATTTCATGTATAGAAAGTGAAAGAGTGCTGAAATTCTTCTTCTTCACTGGATACTTTAAAAAAATATTTATTTCTTAGAGTTGCTGCTGAGGATGCGATTATGAACACAAAATTTAAAAAGAGATGCATGTTGTAAAGATATCTGGAAGAGTTGGATACGACATGACTTTACAAATTTAGGAAATTTTCATTTTGTTTTTCACCAGAGCAACTGGACGATGTATTTTCCTCAACAGTATTCACAGTAAGGATAGACCTATATCATACTGAATTGAACTGCTTGGCGACTTAAAAAATGATCAGTGACAAATAAAACAAGACTGATGTTTGAGTAGGTGATAGGGAAATAGTTTTGATCATCGAACTACTAATCGATTGTTTTCGATTAAAATACGTGTGCTCGTCTCAACTTCATTTGTGAAAGAGAACAATGCTAATCTAGTTTTATCCGTAGCTGGATACTAAGAAGTATTCACTTAATAAATTTGGTTTATAGAAACGATTTTTTGTTTTGTTTAGCTGTTATCTTGTTCAATGCAAATACAGCGTCTGATACAGAAATTAAACAATGCAACCAGTTTGTTACTTTGGTGATTGGTGAATAACGAACTTAGTGAGTCAGCCATTGTTTGTATATCTAATCAATATCATATTGAGAGATATTGTTATCTAAGTAGCTACTCAATTCTAGATTTTATCACTATTAAATTAATCTTGATCTATAACTATCTTTTTTAAATAACAAACAAACAAATCCAATGTATTCAATGGCAAACGGATCTTATTTTGCGAGTAAAGATCTATATTGAGTGGTAGTAACTTTGATTAACAATCGACTTTTTTCTCAATGCTGTTTCGCGAACTGGAAAGTTCTTTTTTATTCAACGACCGAACAAAATATTACCTGCTTTCAAACGATTATTCAAAGTTTGCGAATAAGAATTGCTTCGGCGTATTTTAGTATCTTTCATATCATAAATCTAAATCGGCACAAATGAAATAAGAATGAAAAATCTATATTTTGTTTTTATTTACTTGATATTTATCTGATAAGACTATTTGTTGATCTTCTGTTAATGGTAATTTATGGCGAGGTCCGCTTGATTTTATACGTTCATTAAATGATTGCTTAGTTGGATATTTCTGTAAATCTAATTCAATTTGTTTAGCTTTATCTACTACGCTACGATAATTTTGACCAGGAGATTCAATAACAGTTGGCATCGATTGAAATTCTTCATCAACGTTTTCCTGTGTTATTACAAGAGATTCTGATTGAGAATTAATAGACGACGATCGTTTTGATTTTCTACGTGATTTACCTTGTTAAAAACAGATTTTATTTTTAAATTAAATTTAGCAAAATAACTAAACAGTAAAACTAACGTGATGGCATTCTTGGATTCGATTCTTCATTATAATTATCTCCTACATCACTCATCAAACATGAACTTGTACACTTGCGATTATGCCAATATTTGTTTTGACCCTGAATAACAAGTAAAACAGACAGAAAGCAGAACAATATTCATTAATAATACTTTCAAAATGTCGGTAAGGATCAATTAAAATATTTGGTGAACAAGTTTTCCTATAAATATATATTTTGAAAAACTAGATATCCATTTATTTATCACAAGAAACTAGCTTTCTATGTTTTGGTTTTGGTTTCGGTTTTCCAAGTTCAATTAAACTTTCGTAATCGAACTCTTTTCGTGATTGATATGCCAGTTCTTCAAATAATGCTTGTTCACGTAAATGTGACTAGAAACAAAATAATTAAATCATTAGCATTTTTTTTTGGTTCATTTCCATTAGCCGTTTTCCTACCATTTTGAAACGTTGATTGAGTAAAATTAAACTTGTACTCGTATTCATTGTATCGTAAAGTCCCGACATAGGAATTACATAGGGTCGATCGTTGAATGGTGAAATGCATGCTCTAAAAAGAGTTATTGACTATTGAGAGTAAATATAATCAGCAATAAAAATCTACCGTGAAAATAACTTTAAATATTCTTCACGTGTCTTGCCTATTCCAACGACTGCAGACGTGAGACTAAATTTGTCTAATTGATTAGATATTGTTTCTGAGGACATGTATTTTGGTTTCTGTCAATTTCTACAATGATGAAGTATACAGTAATAATATTATTATTATTCTTTCTATTTATTTCAATCTTTCTCATGTTTAATCAATGCTCTTTTTCTCTCTCTCCCTCTCTCTCTCTCTCTTTTGCTGTCCCGGTATTCTATTTTTGTTGCATAAAACAAAGAAGAAAGAACAATGAATAAATAAAAGTAATTTTTTTCTGATTCACTCGTTACAGAAAGAATGGAAGTAATAAATATGATGAGTACTGTTACAACGATTTCAGAAATAAATATCATAGCATCAACGAATGCGTTTAGATGATGAGTCGCCATCAAATATTATTGATATGGGTAGAAAATATTTGATAGATCTTTGAGAGAAAAAAGAAAGAAAGAGATATTCGTATTGTTTTTTAATTATTTGCCGGAATTGCTATTTACTTGGTTTGAAGCCTTTGTAGTTATTTTTCATCATGAAAGTAATTAAATAAATTTTTCAAACTAACAACGAAGGTAATCTTTGCAAAAGAAGATCATTTCAACATTGTTTGTACGAAGCTTTTTTTAATTCAAGAAACTAGTACAGCCGCTTGGCTATAGCAACATTTGACTGAAGTTGTGGACATTGTTTTCAAATGAATACTATGGGTGCACAACGAAATGTGAAGATATCATATTTTTTTAATTACAACATAGTCGCAAATTTAGCTGTCACTCCTTTCTCAGTCAATATCTGAATCCAATTGAATATGATTTTCATTTTTAACAGCAAAATCAATAGCAAATATGTGATGATCACATTAGTAATCGTAAAAGATCGGTTATAATCAATGAGAATTCATGTTAAATTGTTATAACTGTTGAATTTATCCTATCAACATTTTAAAGCAAAGCAGAAACAACGACTGCTGGCTTTTTACACGATTCTTGATAAAATGTGAAAGTTTTCACCGAGATCAGGGTTAAATTTTTGAGATATATTTTACTTATTTGATTCTCTAGATGTTAAGATTGCATTGCTATTCTCTGAGAAAATAAGTTATAGAGAAAAAACATGTTTTTAATGTAACCGTTGTATTCTGGCGTTATTTCTTTGCAAATGATCGAGTACATTTATTCTGCATTCAATTCGCTAATATAAATAACTTTTCTTTTGATGCAAACTTCGATTTAGAAAATCAAATGAATATTTTTTCGAATGTGACAAAGATGCATGATTCGTATTATTTTGGAAAAAAACAAGATTTTAATTTTATGATAAGCAAAACATCAAAACAAACAGAATTGGCACACCTATGAAAGATTTTCAATAAGAATATGTAAGAAATTAATTAGGTTTTTTCTGCAAATAGAAATCGATAAGTATCGACGAAAGTCGCGAATAATTATTTATCTTAATAGATCAATAGATTCACTTAAGGATCATTTTGTGATAATTATTCAATGAAATTTATTTTATTATTTGAACAAAATTTATTTATTCATATAAAGATTCGATCAATTATACACCAACTTCATGTATATCATTTATATCAAGTTACAAGTTTACTAAAGAAAAATTTACCTGTTAAAACTAAGAAAAAAAAAGATAATCAAATCTGCACGCATGTTGTTTTATACTTCAGTACACATTTGTGGACAAGTTAAACTATCAGTTATTAGTGATTTGGAGTGCGGCATCGTTGGTCGAGGTTCTGGCAATGGTGGTGGAATTCGAAATGAGTCTGGTGAATGTTTTCGCCGTGGCAAAGGATCTGTATTTCCACTTGAATCAATTTCATCACGAAAACTTAATGGACGAAGATTTGTCGTTGAGTATGATGCTGCAGCTAAACTGTTAGTTGATTTCGTAAAATTTCCGCCTATTTTTGTGTGTCGTTTCGTTACTGGTCTTTTAAGCAAAGTAGATAATTGGTGCTGTTGCTTTTTCGCATTTAAAAGTGTTAGTTGTTGACGTTTTTTATGTTCAATTATAATGACATAAACACGATAAAGTTGTAAAAGAACAACAAGAAAATTTTTTGTTGTAAAAAATACATTGGATTGTGAAATAATTTTATAATGAATTATTAAGCCAAGACGAAGACAGAGAAATGGACCATCTTGTAAAAGTATTGTTGTTGAAAGTGCCTAGATTAAATTTGATGACTATTTAAAAGAGAAAATTAAAATACAATTTACCCATAGTTCTGTTTCCCAAAATAATTGACAATTAAAACATTTTTTTAATTCTTTCGAATCTTTTGATTTAACATCAGTAGAAAGATTTTTACGTGATTTTGTTGCTGTGACAACAAGTGTAAATTGCATTAAACTGATTGACCATGCTACTAATATAAGATGAACAATTGTTAAATTACGTTGAACGCCAGGTTCTTTAAACGCTTCGAATAATTCAATAATATCCGCTTGTTAAAATAAATAAAAATCAATAGAAGAAATGCATACGAATAAATTAATCCTACCGGCTGTTCCAATATAAACCAGTAATAATTGAGAAAGTTGATCGCGAGTCATCGTTTTCCCAACAGGTAATAGCCAACGTCCTATAATAAGAACAAGCAGAAGAGTTTGTTCAACAATTTGTGTCCACATTTCAGCTGGAATCTTCCATGGAACAAGCTATTCAAAATAAATAGAAAACAAAAGTATTTTCGAGGTAAAAATCTTCAAAAATTTTCAACCGGTAATGTATCATCATTGTCAATGTTAACATTTCCTTGTGCTATAGGAATTAATCCAAGTGCTTGTGTAACATTAAAATGTGATCGCCTTTCGGCTAAGTCAAGTTCAAGAAACCATACACTCGGTATAACTGTACATAAATAAAAGAATACCGATGGGCAAAACCTAAAAATTCATGTATACGATCATTATAGATATATTTATGTATCTCATGTACAATTAGAGTTTTGTTACATTATTTCTGACTGAAATATCTGAGCCTAAGGAATAGAAAAGAATTGAAAGTTTTCTCCAAGAAGCTTTAGTAGTTGATTCTCTATAGAATTAAATCGAATTTGATGTACAATAGAAAGAAAAAAAGAAACCTCTATTAAGATCCATTCTGTGATATAATAAAAGAAATTTGCTTTCTGTCTAATTTTTAATGGTGTTTTTTTTTTATTATTGTCCCAGAGCAATGAATGTAGTTTAAAAAGAGTTAACTGTATACATTTGAGTAATTCGATCAATTTGATCTCATAGTAAAATATATTTTAATGATCATTAGTTCTCTGAAATCTCCTTGTTGTTTTCATTTTTAAATAAATGCGGAAACATCGGATTCGCATCCGATTGTTATGTGTACTGCAAAAACCGAGTCGATTTAGATATGTTGTGAATAATTCTGAGAAAAAATCCCTGTACTACCCCCCACCTTCCCGCCGTCAGGGATGGTCTGGTCAATAATGACAATTTTTTTGATAACTCAAACATTTCTTGATGGATCCTTCTCATCTTCGAACTCGACTGAGATATTGATGAGATCATTCTGTGTACAAAATTTCAAGGCAATTGGATGAGGCGTTCAAGAGTTATCGTGTTAACGGCCGGACACACTTACCGAATCTAGTGTGCTCACTTTTTGAGTACACAAAACGACCTCGTAAAAATGGTGTTTATGGTCTAGTGGCTATTATTTTTAGCGAATTATCTGAGCGATCTTGTAAAAATAATAGGAAACAGGTGAAAATTAAAATTTCTAGATTCAACTGCAAAATATAGCTTATGAAAAATATCTTATGTGCTTATTTTACATTGATATCCATAAAAGTTTTGTAGAGAAATTAGTACTGTATGATCTGATTGGAAGACTCGAATATTTATACAAAGAGACAAAATATCACAAGACTCTTGTCAATCTACGTATATATATATATATATAAAGTCAATATTGCATTACCATTTCCATTCATGACCATTATTCGCATAAAGTGTAACGAAAAATTCAATGGGTATGCCAAAAAGCCTAGAATTAGAAAAACAAATAAGATTTGTACATGAATTAGGTTATTTGCTATTTTTACGTTATAGCTTGAAACCAATACTTGTTTTGTTTATAGACTAGAGCTACTCGCCATATAGCTGCTATGCCATGTATAGCAAATAAAATACGCGCAGCTGCTGCAGCGGTGACAGGAAGAAACTGTGACATAAACCACTAATTAAAGAAATAAAATATTTAAATAGCTAATTAAAAAAGGTGACAATAAACGAATATAAAATGAAAATACTTTTTCTAATATATAACGTTTGAAGTAAAAAGAATCGTTCGTCTTTTTTATATCATTTGAACCGCAAAAATCAATGTATTCAAATTTAATATCAAGGATTAAATGAATGATATCAAATATGCATTAATTTTTAGACTCGTTGATTTTTTAATGATGAATCTGAATGTATCGATTTTATTATCTTTGTTAAATAATAGATTAACAAGAAGTATCCATCATCTAACATTAATAGTTTAGTTTTAAGATCAGAATTCAAACTAGAACTATCTAATCATAATTTTATATTAACAAGTAGAAATAAATATTAGCCTTGATTTTGTACAAAGTTTTCATTTTACAATTTCTCACTTAGGTTTCCAAAATAAAATAATTAATATCGAACATCGAAGCTATATTTAAACATTCAATTGAATATAGTCATCGTAATCGATAAAAGCCTTAGCTCCTTCAATATTATTATCAGTACATAAGCGATAAATGAATTCTTCTTTTACGATTATTAAAAAAAATTACAAATTATTAATCATTTAGTTTTATGTTGATGTATATGACATTGATACTGATAATAAAATGTCCATGATCTTTTAAGTTGTATAGTTGATCTTACTAATGACAGCTGATTTCAACAATAATAATAATAACAAACTCTTAACATTTACGTGGAAATAATCGTATTGAAAAATCTTCTTACGTTACGCATGAATGTATGTTTTCCCTCGTTTCTTTTTGTAATTCGCACTTATGTTACGAAATATTGCGCAAGAAAAGTACTTATAATTCTAGAGTAGATACAAAAATTATACTTTACTTTAACACGTGTTGTTATTGAGTTAGTTCTTGGAGTTTTTCGTGCATTAATTTGAGCCATATCTGATTTTGCTCGATCAGTTCCAGAGGCATGTAAGACATATTTTCGTCGTGCCATTGTATTCCGTTGGATCCAATCATTAATTCACACACTGTATCTATTTCTTCTTTTTATATGCCTATCAATAAATCAACAGTTAGCAGATTTCAGTCGAGCATACTTAGATCGCACAATGTTGTTCTAACAACGCGAGTCCAGAAGCATACTCTTTCTTTTCTCGTGCTCTTTTTGTCGTTTGTATGCTTTCCATACTATCGAATCGGTTATAAATAGAAGAACACGCTTAGTTGAATGACGGCACCCCACAATTATAATCGACTACTCTTATCGGTCTATTCTAATGATACGATTAACATCTTACGATCTCGGAAACAAGCAAAAAATATATTAGGTAACAATTCCTTTTTGATCGTTTTATTTATTTTCATAAAAGAACGTTGAGTACATTGTCACATGTATTCTCTATGAGCAGATGGCGAACGAATAAGTAACTGACGAATGGTATAGTATTCTATTCTGAACTAAGCTTTAATCGATCTATTGAATTGATTGTAAAATAAAAAACTGTCTCTCGATACAATTCTATAAATCAGAAGTTGTTATGTTGATTAATAATAACGTTTATGATGCATTCTTCTCTTTTCTTTTTTTTTGGAAATTTTGATCCTTTGACTTTTCCCGTCATCGATCAATGAAATAGTTCTAGTGAATGATAAAAGAATGAGAACAACAATAAGAAGTAGATTGGATGTGTATTATTGGATGTAACCAAGAAAGAAAATAGTATACATTGCATTGTATTACTATTATTCGCATTTTTATATCAAATATTATGAGAAGCAGAGTAAATGATTTAGTATATGGAAAAACATGATCTTACAAAACAAATAAGTGGTCTAGGTAATTGATTTAATCATTGAGAGAACAATGAACAAGTGTTGAGAAATGCAAAATCATGTTCGTATGTATGATATTAAATTAAATAATTGACATCAATTTTTTTACTACTGTATTATCATTCATTGATTGAATCAGTGAAACTTCAGCAAACTAAAGAATTTCGATGATTTCCATAGGAAATATATTGAGAATATTCATCTAACCAATCATTCATTCTGCGTTGATCTATTTCAATAACTTATTTAATTGAAATTCTGTGAAAAATGTTCAGTACTTAATTTTCTTTATTCGAAATAGAATCATCTAAAAAGTGTGAAATTGCTGAGGAAAAACATTTGCATCTATTATTTTGTCCCTATGGATTGTGACAGAGATTACCGTGAAACGTTACATACATTGACAAATACAATACAACTGACAGACCGACGCAAGCTTTGTTGATACTTGATTGCAGGTCGAGACAGGCACTTTAACAATCCTTCATCAGCATTCTATGTCTCCCACATGTAGTCGACGTTAGGAAATAATGGGCATTGAAATGCATTATTTTACAGAAATGCAATGTATACAATTACATGATAATGCATTGAAAACTTCTTATTCGGCACTTGCTACATAAGATCTATTAAATCCTATTTAATCGATATCCCAATTGCCATAATTGTATCTCTGGTTCTCCACATCTATCCTCTTAACTTTCATCAACCCTCTTACATATACATATACCCAGGTCAAACATTCCGGCCACCGGACCTCGTAGGATACTCCAGGAAATATGCGGGACAGTCGCCATATTCTGCAGGAAAACACGAGAAATCGCTGGAACATGGAAGCAGTATTCCGGTCAAAAATACGGCCGGACTTTTTCGGCGGATTCCTGTCAAGTTCCGGCGCTTTCCGGCAGGAATTAATCGGAAATCACCGGAAAAATTTTCAACCGGAATACTGCTTCCATAAAATCAACGGAACTATCCGGAACCAGCCGTTTCCAGGTCGGACTCTTCGACCTGGATATATCCCACGACGCACATCATCTTGATCATATCGATAAGAATCTAAAACAAAGAAAAAATTAATGAATAAAGAAGTTGATTATTAAATTCCAACTTACCATTTCGATCATAATTGATGTCGATCTAAGACATAGGAAAAAGAAATAGAAATAATTTTAATATTGAATTCAAACGTACCACTTGGATCATGGGTAAACCTGAAAAATATCGAAATGTAAAAATATCGAACACTATTCGAAACCAGAATAAAAGATGCTTTAGTTATCCTTGCTAAAGCCTTTATTTTTGTTGGTAAATGATTAAAATTATAAGTTAAGTAAAATAAACGTCTACCAATAAAACATAATTAAATCAGTATCAAGTTGAGTGTCTCTAAATTTTTTTTGCAACAACAAATGATAAACCGATGAGAAGATCAGAAGAACTAATGAGATTGTTATTGTATCGATTGAAAAGCGTATTTATGCGATGTTGAATAACAGCTGTACGAACATTTTTTTTCTTGTTGCGCCAGCTGCCCATTGAATCGTAATACAATGAACTCTTCGCTCTTCGTTTTGCATAAACTCGATAAAAGTCGAGATGTTTGGGTGATTTTGTATATACGACTGTTCATTCTATTATGATAACCTTCGAAAAGCAAAAGATATATTTGAAGCTGCATCGATCGTCCTATGAATTTTTCTGTCGTCATTTTTATTTTCGAGATTTTTCAGGGTAATCGGATCATGTCGAATTGTAGTTGAAAGCGAAAACAGTCGAAGAACGTATATATGACATAAGGCTGTTGCAATAGTATTAAAATAGTTTCAGATTTAGAAAACAAAATGATTCATGATCTAATCTGTTATACTTGATACTGTGAGCAGTTTTAGTTCACTAGATCATCCAAAAGTGAGCAATGACAAAGAGCGGAAACTTCTTTTGAGAGGATTAAGGACTGTAATCTCTTTCATTCTGCAGAATATTCTAAAAGCATTCAAATCTCTAGTAGTATCTCGTTGCATCAAATAGAAACTAGCGGTCGGATTTCAAGTTGTTAGTGCACATTTTAGCGATTGGGTAAACTCGGAAACTTTTCTACTTGGCTGAAGAAATATTTTTGAAACCCTAAACGATAATCTGATATACCTCATCAGATTTTGAGTCAATTTTTTAATAGTGTAGGCTTCCATTATCGGGGAAATGGGATTCGAAAGATACTCTTAGTGTTGTAACTCACGTTACATTTTTTTATTCGATCTTTAACTTGCGCGACTCTTATTGAAAAGCGCTTGATACACAGAAAGCTGCGGCAAATCAAACATCTACCTGTCAAATCACTTTTTCAATATTTCTTGTACGAAAATAGTGAATTTTCTAATTTAAAAACATTACTCTAAATAATACTTTGAAATGCATTGAATGATAATGCATTATCTTAAAATTGCCCATTATTTGGAATAATGCATTGTAATGCATTGAAAATTTAGGCATTATCATCCATTATCGGCTACATATGCATACACCGTCTATGAAAAACGTCTCGGCGTTACATAAAATCGATTTCGATCTCGTATTTCTCGAAGATTAAAAGAACACTGGCAAAGAAATATGTCCGAAGATAATTATATTGATCTTTCTCTCATTGAATTTTGGTCGTGACATCGTGTTTCATCTAATAAGGATCGCTAGAAAAGCAATGTTTCTTCTGAACTTCAAAGTAAAGATAATGGCATATTTGGATCGATAACTAGTGCATCAATAATCATATCAGATAAAATTTCATTATATTTAACTTTAATAAAGAGGAATACTCTCGACCTACCGTCGAGACAATGAATAAACCATAAGCATTTATTTTACCGTGAATTTTGAAAGAAAAGTGTATCATGGATGCTAACCAGTGTTTCCAATGGAAATCTAAAACAAAATGTACAGTACACTCTACTTTTTGTGAGTAAAGTGTACATTACACTTTGCTTTTTTCAGCAGAGTGTATCAAAGTGTACAAAAGTCCAATTTTCACAATTTGGACAACAAAATATAATTTTCGCCATTTTTTATCTCATGGAACAAACATTTTGATCACATGAAACAAACATTTTAATCACTAGCGAACAAAAAATATCACACTTAATTAATTTAAAACTATAGCGGCTTTTAAGGTTCAGAGATCAAAGAAATTAGAGTGTAAACTATTTTAGTAAAGTGTACATTGTACACTTTGTTTTTCTGCGCAAGTGTATACCAGAGTGTAAATCAAAACTAGCAGATGTTTTGTACATTTTGCTTCTGCTGTGTACACTTGCCATTGGAAACACTGATGCTAACTCTGAGTTATTTACCAGCAATAAATAAAGTCCATTCAAAGAGTTGTAATAATCATGTCACTCTTGTTAGGAAATGGGTTATGCCATTGGTCAAAAGTTGCTGTCAATCAGTTCTTTTCTATGTTTTTGATTGTTCATGCCAGACTGCATTCTATCGTCGATTGCAAAACAAAGCATTCATCTAGTAGAATATGTTACATACGCAACAGCATGTCAATCTCTTATTACAAACATGAATGCTAACCATTCGAGTATCATCATGATTATTATCAATCAATCTTCAAAATAACGAAGAAATAACATAGTCATTCAGTTAATTCATGCATACTGCTGGATCGGAGACCATTGTTTAGATTTCTACTATGTATTGGGCATAGTTACGAATTCTGTATGGGAAATATGTTGATCAATCGAATATGAAGTAACAACAACTAATGTAGAAGAATATACACCAATATGTATGAAACAGAAAAGAACCTGTTTACTAAAACTCAATCAATATTCACTTTAAAACTTACAAAACAAATTTATGATAAACGAAATCACAATGGAAGCCATTTTCATTTTCATTTATTCGAATAATACATATGTTTAACAAGTTTTATTGTTTATTTCAAATTATAATAAGTATCACGAGATCAATGCTACTTGAGCATAGGTCTATTGAATTATTCCAAAGGATTTATCGACTCAGCTACTGTGTAAAATCACACCAAATAGATTTGACCACTAACATTTTCAGTGACAATAATAGCAGAAGTCAAGTTGAATTTCTAATTTACGATAAATGATGATTATAAGAAGATTATCTAGTCCAAAAATGAAATTTGCATCTATACAGATGTTAATCATACGAAATATCTGAGTATTCTACTTTCACCCAAGTAATCGATTAGACATTGACAATTTCACAAGAATAATAAGTATTGATAATGCACTTCTAAACACAAATCGCGTTTTGTTAAAGATATTCAAAAATGTTCACATTGAATAAACAAAAAAAAATGATTCAATAGTGTCAAACGGTAGTTTACTCTTTAATGATATTACCATTATAATATAGTGATGTTTCAACAGTAATGAACAACAATCAGATCATGTATTTCTATGTATGATGAGTAGATGAAAATCTAGAAGAAAATTTCAAATTAATAAATTCAATCGTTTTGCTTTCTTCAAGTTAGCTTCTAGTCAATTTTTTTTCTATTAACAAAATGAATATTAATTTACGTTATTTAGTGATTGTAATTGTTCGGACAGCTAGATCTTCGAAGTATTACCAGTCAATCTAACGATAAAATGTCGTGTATTTTTTTATAGTTGGATATTTATAAAAGCAATTATCGGCAATATTAGTCCATGTTTTCGAACCTTATGTAACGTGTATATATATGTATATATATACGATATATGGATTAATCGAAAATCTCAGTTGAAATTCTACACATTGAATTCTATCGAAATTCTACCTAGATAAAGGCAGCATACGAGGTAAAAACATAATTATAATCTATCTTTATGTTATATTTCATTGAAAAAAATGATTTGATCGATCCCATAGAATACCAATACAAAAACATTTTTTTATCGAAAAGTTTATTTTGCTGACCATAATCATGACATATACGAATAATTGATGCATCTTGATAGAATACAGAAGTAGAAATCCTTTGACAACAGTGTTGATCGTTCTGATTGATAACATTTATCATTTGTTAGCAAATCCATATATAGAGTTAATGGATTTGGATCTGAAAAACAAGCAGCGTCCCAAGATACATCGTCTACTTCTTTGATAGTACGAATAATGATCGATTTCTCTTATCAAATATGTACAATTGACTTTTAATCATGTGACCTCAAGTATTTCAGCTCATAAAAATATTTAATTAATAATTCTAGATGCATAGTTTTCTTCTTTACTGTCGTCGTCGTCGAATGTGTAAGAACATTTACTGTAGAAAATGTTTTGTTTTGGCAACAATAAATGTTTTTCTCTAGCAACCCCCAACCAAAGTAAAAGAAAGAATACAATCATTATGATTCGTGAAGCAAAAATATAATATAAGTAAAAGAATTATATGAATTGATTGTACGCTAATGTATTACATTTTCTTGTTTTAATTTAAATATTCAATCAAGTCATCGTTTTACTCCAATTAATCGGATCATCCGCTATTATAGCTCGCTCGACATGCCATTGATGTACGCGACTCCATTGATCAGATTCCCATTTATTTTCCATTAACTAGAGGAAAAAAGAATAATAACATATTTATGAACGCGTAATATTGATGCATAATTATATTACTTCTTTATTTTTAATAGTAGTTTGAAATAGGAATCGGCTATGTTGTTTTTGTTTTTGTTTGTCACTTTCTAAATCTTGTCGATCACGTTGAATCAGAATTTGACTTTCAAAACCTTTTAGTATTTGATCATTTCTATCTGTTTGAATTTTATGTTCCATTTGTTCCTTCAGTGTTGATCGAATTTTTTTACTTAATCGAAATAGCAAAAGACGAAAAAAGTTAGAAAAACAAAAACGAAACAAAAACATTAAGAAACCATACTTGTACATTTCACGTTCGAATATTTTTGAATAAGGATAAACTGTATATTGTATATGTTCTTTATTCCATTGTCTTTGTTGCATAGCGCGCACTCGCTTAAAATTATGATAATGTCTATCGTGAGTTTCAAACATTGTTGTCATCTTTTGTGGTTCATCTGGTCGACTAGCAAGAATTCGTTGTGGTGCTACATAAGAATCATATTGATGACGTATATCTTCACGTTGTAATGGCTCCCATAGATAATCATAGTCGGGTAGTTCACGGGTTAATGGCTTCCAAATAGTATTATGTGCACGAATACCAGCTGTTTTATCATGCGGTAATTTTTTTAATATGTCATCCGATCGAGGAACTATTTTGATTTTTGGTGTACGTGTGCGTTGCGGTGGTATCGAACTGCGAATTAATGATGAAGGAAATAATTTATTAATATCATCGGATCCATTGAATGATTTTTGTCCTAATGAATTATTTATGTCTCCTACACGAGGTAATGATTGTGTTCTTGTTAATCGAGGAGACTGCACTGAACGTATTGGTGTTGATTTTATGTCAATGAATGGTAAAACCGTCATTATTCTTCTCTAATATTTTACAAACATTTCAATTTACTTCAAATATTTTTCCGATACTGTAGTGCAAATATGGTAATACAACATCAAAAGTCACCAAAAAAACATTATTGGTATTTTTCTTCTTCTTCAATTTTTTTTTCTTTAACTTTTCTTCTAAATTATACTCTAAAGGGTAATAAACAGTCAGAAGAGAAAAGTATTTTGTTTGGTGTACAAACAGATGTTGTTCTCGTCGTCGTCGGCGTCGTCGTCGTCGACCGTTTAGGAAACCAGAAGAATGAGAAAGAAACGAAAGGCTTCCGTTAATGATGATGGAGATGTTTGACCACGGAAAACATTTGAATTGTCAAAGAAAAAAAATCGTAACTGTTGCTCTCGTACAAACAATGGAACTATCATTAGGTGCCAAGATATGTTTTGTTTTATTTTGATAATTATTGAACGATTAAAAAAGAGGTTTACACGCGATGTTTTTTAAAAGAATTGTAAGTAAAAAAGAAGAAAGAAAAAAGTCACTGCCGATGAAGAAAAAAAGTTGACGTTGATGGTGTTTGCATTTATTTAACCTGTCATCAATTTGAAAAATTCTATTTCAAACAGAAAGAAAATGTCTCATATTAATAAAAAGAAATATATCAATGGCTAACCTTCATAATCAACAGTGCCCGAACCATCTTCATCTACTTCCGAAATGATTTGTTCAACTTCATCATCTGGCATGTCGGGGTCGAGTGCCTTGAAGATCATTTTTAAATCTGCTACCTAAAGAAGCAAAACAAAGGAAAAACACAAAACAACATTATTTATCGATAATAATCTTTTTTTTTCTTTAATTATCTTACATCAATTACACCACGGCTGTTTTTATCGAATACACGAAATACTTCACGTAATTCTCGTTCGTCTTCAGCCTCTTTTGTTTTCTTTTGCATCAAAGCAAGAAATTCATCCTAACAAATAAGAAATACAAGAGCAATATCAAACTTTTTTTGTTCTTTCCTATGTATTTATCTATACATACAAAATCAACAGTACCACTACCTATAAACAACAACAATAATAATAATTTACTAAAATAAATCAAAATAAACGTTTAATTAACACACCATCGCCATCAACTGCATCAATGCATTCGGCCAATTGATCAGGTTTTAGATTGTGTCCAAGATTTTTCATGACTGTGCCAAGAATTGATGTGGGAATTTCACCTTTTCGTTCTTTGTCATACATATTAAATGCATCTCGAATTTCAGCGACTTGGTCATCGGTCAATTGAAATTCTTGCTCCTCTTCAGCCTTAAAAAAAGAAAGAAATTTTCTGTAACTTATAGCATTATCCTCAAATAAAGCAATTTTCACTCACCATGATACTATGTATGTTATTTAGTTGCAGAGAAAGAACGTATTACTCGGCAAATATCTACTGTTGCTTCCTGAAGTACAATCTCTACAAACAGAGCGAAAAAGAAGAAGAAAAAGAGATAGATAGGCGGCACTACGTTGTTTGTTTCCTATAAATAATAACCAAAGAAAATTCTCCATACACAATTCTTGCTTGATACCAAATGTGCACAACGAGCAAGAACAGAACTAACTGTACAATTGTCGACAAAAGAGAAGAAGAAAAAAAGAAAGATCTAGTATGTTATCGAAAAAACAAGAGAAATATTTCTGCGCCACATCATGTTAGGGAACATATATACAAAAGCGGATATCAACGAGAAAGAAATAACCCACTAGAAACCATATTGAGGTTATGCTAACCAAAGAACGAACAACTATTTTTTCCCCCTTTCTTATGAATACAAGACACAAAAGAAAGAGAAGATTGCAATAATATGAGACCATCCAATGTACATACATAATACGATGGGTAGTGGAATATTGGAGGGTTAATAACAATGACAAAAATAGCATATCCTCGGTTTTTCTAGTATAAAGAAATATTCTTTCGTACTCCGACTACGAATACTTTTAATTAAAAATAAATTTTATGATTATTTTTTTCTTTGATATTAAATAAATTACGTGAAACTATAATATTATTTTCATTGTACAAGAATACCAAGGTCAACAAGTGTTATATTCTTTGAGTTCTTATTGTTTTCCTGTACTTTGTGCTGCTCATGTTTCGTGCGTTCTTATTTGATAAGAAAATTCAAACTACTTGAAATATACAACTACATGTCATTCTTTAATGATGATGCATGCATACTGAAAATAAATTAGAATCATTATGAAAATAAACAAACACTATATATATATATATATTTTTGTCGTTTTTATTTTATTTTAAATTTAGCAACGTAATATATATAATAACTGTCTACAAGTGCCTATAAAAGCATTTATTATAAATATAGACAGAGAAAGGGGTTGTTGTGTTGTGGCTTTCGCTTGTCAGAATAACGACAGCAGGCTTATGTTCGCTATCATACAAGTTCTGTTAATCGTTGGATGACGCACGAACGCGCATTGATGCAACCAATCCTAGTCTTCGCTTATGATGTTTGTTCGTATGGCAATTGAGAAGCGCACTAGCACATCTTAAGTAATAGATAGATAGAGAGATACAAAAAAAGCATACATATAGAAAATATTAACAACGACGAAATCCACCATATACATAGACAGCTAGCTGACACAAAAACAGTATCGCATCAAGACTTTTGAAGAATCGCAGGCCTAGAAATAGTTTTCCTTTGCTTCTGCTTCATTGTCTCATTAACGATCGCGTGACAAGTCTAATTTCTTGTTTGTGCCTTTTTTCTTCTCATTTATTCATGTTCGATACTGTTATTGTTGATTATTATTATCAATATTACTGATGACAATGCGAGCGAATTCTATTTCAATTGAGCAAGAAAACAGTATGTTTCATTGAAATGTGTACACGTATATGTATAATATGAAGTTTTTATTTTAAAATAGAATTAAAAGACGCTTTTGCTTTATTTGATCGTATTGGCGGTGGTGCTATTCGTACAAAAGATCTTGCCTATGTTATACATTCGATTGGTTATCAAACAACTTCGGCTGAATTAGAAAAAATGATACGAGAAGCTGATCAAGATGGTTCGTTAAAATAGCATATTTTTATAAGCAATAAAATTTAATTTTTTCAATTTAAATATTTAGGTAATGGTCTGATAGATTTTGATGAGTTTAAATCAATGATGAATCGTAAAGGTGACAGTAAATTAGAAATTTTCAATGATGAACTTGTTAACGAAGCTTTCCGGATCTTTGATAAGGATGGAAATGGTTTTATTACTGAGATGGAACTTCGTTCTGTGATGAGTAATCTTGGTAAAAGACATATTTTATTTTATTTTATTTTATTTACATAAATCGAATTATTTTTCAGGTGAAAAATTAACCGATGACGAACTTAATGATATGATTCGAGAAGCTGATTTAGATGGAAATCGTCAAGTAGATTATGCAGAATTTTCTGCATTAGTTCGTCGTCTTCTTCAAATACAAAATCTTTCAACAAATCTAAATTTAGTTGATAACTCAGGAGCATACGAAGGTCGGGGAATTATTCCATATATAGATGATGATGATCTGGATGAAGATTACAATGACCAAATCGATTATAATGATAGAAGATAAAAGGACCTTTATGCAATGTAAATGTCGGATTACAAAAAAAAACGAAACGCAAGATTAAGCTCAGTATTTTTTTTAATTTTTATTCTTTTCGTTTTTGCATAAGATATCAATGACATATCCTATGAATCTGGAAGTTATTTTTGATAATGAAATTTTTTTCTATTTATTAAACATGGAATAATATCTAAGCTGATTCTGCTCAGATAAGAATTTATTCAGTAGTATTTACTATATGTTTATGAATATTGAATTAAATGTTTTTTTTTTCATTTATAAAAAAAATCAAATCTTTTATGTACACGACACTAATAAAGAAATTAGAACGGTAATCTTTTTAAAAGCGCGTCTATATCAATGTCCATCGGTAAATCACCAAATATGGAACCACGATCAGGTCCAAGACGTGATGAACAAAATGCATTACTAACTGTTTGTGGTAAACGACGAACAAGTAAACCAGCTTGAAGACATAATGCTAATTGTGTAGCTAAAGTTCGTGCATGACGTTCGAGCATATGCATCGGAAGATTTTGTTTTAATAATTTTTTTTCAATATTTTCTAATGCTGCATCTAAATATTTATTTGAGCCTTTGGTTTGGTGCATGAATAATAAATATGCTTGAAGTACTTCTGGAGATTTTTTCAATGAACGTAATATATCCAAACAAATCACATTTCCACTGCCTTCCCTAAAGCAAGCGCAGATGGTATGTAAACTATTAGCAATTAGGAATCGAAGTCTAATTTGTTTTTCTCAAGGTTGAATAGAGCCTGTTGCGTGACCTCTAGCAATACTGTTTTTGACACAGTAGGAAGCTGTTTTTTCCAGGGAAACATTGTTTGGCAATGACAGAAAAGTCTACTAAAATTGGACTACACTAAAAGTATCGAGTCATAATAGTTTTCTGAATCTTGTTTTTCTTTCTTTTCCTTGTACTTGTCATGCTGAAAGAAGAGGTTGACGTATGAATATTGCAAAATAGTTTTTAATTGTGGAAATATATTGATGTTCTCGATACGATAGCAACCAATCAGAACTAGGAGTTCTCGTATTAAAAGTTTTAAACTCGTAACAAGCTCATTTCAAAGGAAATTTATTTTTCTTCAAATTTAGTGTAGAAGATAGAAAATCTTTAAATTCCTTGTGAGTCGAGTTTATACGGACCATTCAGATTCAAAATGAGCTTAAAAAAGAACATGCTGAAAACACTTCTTGTCATTCGCATACTGCTATGAAGAAACTGTAATTGTAATTTGTCTTAAATAAATGTGTTGATCTCATGCAAGAAAAGTAGTAACATCAGTTTTTGGCATTCAACGATTTCTACGTGATAATACAATTATGGTAATAGCGTATATTTTACATAACTCAAATAAATCATCAGATTCTATACTCTTACTTCAAGATAAAAGCAAATCAAAAGACTTCTAAATGTCAAAATCAGCGGTCCTTCTTAAAACTCGTCATCGTTAGACATTCTTACAACATTTTACTAGTGTTCTTTCAAGAGATTATGAACTTCATTTAGATTACACTCGCTTGGCAAACGTAAACGAAATGTTTTTCAGGATATGTGCATCGTATTTTATTGGAACTGAATTGATGATAAATGAAATGTCTGAAAATAGAAGCAAAGTTATGATTTCTTACGAATATATTGAAACTAGCAATTTATCTCAACAATCAATTAATATATTCTTTTTCAAAAGTCATACATAAAATTTTTCCTTGTATTTGATAAATGAAATTTAAAAAAAAATGAGCTTTCGTCAAAACATAGTTACTAATGAGCATTATCGCTTGTGGCATATTTCAATTTGATAGTCTTTTTCTGATTCTTTCATAGTAATTCAAACTATAAAAACAATATTGCTAGAGGAAACTTGAAAAACTGAATCTGAGAATAGCAATTAGGCAAACTTTAAATTCAATCCATGCTCTAATTCTTTCTAATTAAGATATTTACCATATACTGTTTACTGGTGCTTCACGATATATACGTGGCATTATTGATTCTTCAACAAATCCTGCGCCGCCAAGACACTCTAATGCTTCATATGTTGTCTCTGGTGTTCGTTTACAAATCCAAAATTTAGCCAGTGCTGATGCTATTCGAGCTAGTGCATTCATTTCCTTGGTATTATTTGAAAGAATATTATTATAGATACTATCGTACAGTGTTGCTAGATGCATAACTAAAGTTGTGGCTGCTTCAGATTCAAGTAATAAATCAACTAAGACTTGTTTCATAAGGGGTTGATCGATTAACAATCGGCCAAAAGCTTTACGGTGACGAGCATGCCACGTAGCCTAATATAAGTTAAAATAGAAAAACAGCTTTTGTTTTTATATAGAATAATATTTACTTGGACAAGAGCTTGTCGCATTAATGCAGCACTTGAAATAGCACAATCTAAACGTGTACCATTTATCATATCTATGATAACTTTAATACCGTCATTCTCTTTTCCCAGTAGCCACTAGAATAAGAAAATTGTTTTTGAACAACTTAATTTGATTAAATAATATTTATATTTACGTACACCTTGAGTATTATTAAATTCAAGTTCACTCGATGCATTTGAACGATTACCAAGTTTATCTTTTAATCGTTGAATATGAAATGGATTACGGTCGCCATTCGGTAACCAACGTGGGACAAAAAAGCACGATGGTACACTATGAGATGAAGGTTGATTAGCATTATCATTGTTTTGAATTTGAGCAAGAACAAGAAAACCATCGCTCATTGGTGCTGAGCAAAACCATCTAATAGACAGTAAGAAATAAAAATGAATTCTTCGTTTATTTAGTTTTCTTTTACTTATGACCAATTAGAATGTAACGTTTTTCTTCGGGACTATCACAATAAGCTTTTGTTGTATTTGTTCGAACATCACTACCACCTTGTTTTTCAGTTAATGCCATTCCTATCAGCAAATTTCAAAATATTTCTTGAAAAAAAATAATTATAAAATTCTTTCTAACCGATTGTTAAGCCCGATTTAGCATTGGCTGGTATACATCGTTTATCATATTGACGAGATAAAATTCGATCTAATGGAAAACTGTCTGTTAATTTTTTGTTTGTATTATGAAGATAACGATGTAGAATTGGATAACCAGCATAAGTCATTGACAATGGACAGCAAACACCTGCTTCCACTTGTGTCAAAATATATAAACCTGCCTTGAGAAAGGAAACTTTTAGATGTTATATGTTATCGTTTTATACGTTGATTTAATTACAGCATGTTGCAAATGTCCATGTGGATTGAAATTGTTTCTAGAACCTGCTAATGGTTCCCAAGCAACAGAATGAACCTAACGATGATATACAAATTATTATTCAATGTTGGTATTTAGACTTCAGATCAATGAAAACAACAAATTTGAAAAATAGATAATATACTTTGTCTGTAATTATAATAATATCTAATGATTGTGTTTCAAAGTAAAAGAAGACAACAGTAATGTCTGATAACTCGTGAAATTGAGTTGCAGCTATAAAAATTTCGGTAAGTATTCATTGTTTTCAAAGAATTTTGATTACAGACAAAAAAATTGATTTTGTTTTCCTATGGCTTATAAAATAAATGAAACTAGTAAGTAGGTCAATTTTTTCAAAACAAAATCTTGCTTATATAGACTTGCCATAGTAAGTTATCGTTTAAAGTTGAAATTACTTGCTTTCGTTTAGTAGTATGAAGTAATATTTTCGTGAGCTTGGTGATATTGCTATTCATAATCTCTTATTAGTAATTATTCCCAAACGTTAAAAATCATACTTATAATGAAACTATCTGAATGGGTACCAAATGTTTGAGTTTATACGAGGCCACCATGTACACATCTTGATGATATTAGAAAAATTCTAAAAAGTTTCATCATCATAAGCTTGTCAAGTCAGATTATTATAAGTTTTTAGTGAATATTCGACTAAGCCTGAAGTATAAATCAGAAAAATAGACAAAATTTTATCATTATCTTAGAAAAACTCTTGAAAATTTTTACTCAGAACAACTTCTTTATTGTTTTATCTATTAATTGTATTCTGACGTGTGTTTCACACAACTACTTTACGTAATCTTAAGTCATCAGTTAAAGGTATATATTTTTGATTGAAACTTGCAGTATATTCAAGCAGCCATTAAATGTATGCGAAACTTGAATTCCAGGTTGAGATTCTCTTTTACTACTCTACACTTGTAGTAGGATTTAAAACCCAATAGAACGGTTCAAATTCACCTCTATATGTCTATGATAAAGAATCCTTTTAGATTTGCACGATGAACAATAATTCGAATGATTCTTTTCTTTTAGACCGGTCTACATCGATGAACTTATTCTTTGCCGACTTGAACCAAGTAAGCTTTCAAATCAGTCAACTAATCTTTTAATTTTGAAAAATTATTTGTGTTGTTATTCTCATTAACTTACTCCATATCTCATTCCAATTTTCATAAGATCATGATAAGCCGGATGAAAATTAACTTCATCAATACGTTGTCCATAGCGATCAAACTGATGTAATGATGGTGTATATCGGTTAGCCAATTGACCCTCTTCAAACCAATGAAAAGTACCTAATTCAGCACCCATATCTTTAATTTGACCTTTATTTTCTTTAGTTAGAAATTCAAGTAATACTGAATCACTTTTGTATAAATCAATATATTCCAGTGGTGGAATTTGATTTGTTACTTGATGTGTAAACTGTTGAGTTAATGGTCGTCGTGGTGGATTAAATGTATTATTCGATGATTGATATTCATTTGTTTTATCACTTTGTTCTTGCTTGTTCTCATTATTAAAAGCTGCTTTCGTTCCAGTTGTAATAGTACGTTGAGATAACGTTTGATAACTAGTCCAAATACGAGATCGCAACATAATTAATTATTTTCTAGAAAAGATGTGATGTTTGGTACTATTAATATTTACTGATGTTATTTAAATTATAATCACATGAATAAAATATTTATGTCACGAACAACTCACTCGTTTATATATTATTCAACGTCTACGATAAAAAAATATTTCTAAACAGACTCTTGGATTCAACTAACATTATATTTGTAATCACGTGGCTGTTTTATTTGTTCACTTGCATATCATCGTATACAATGATTAAAACCTGTTTGGCAACAGAGACAGAGAATTTTTACAGATAATGAAACAACGCAATTATCAGCTAGCTATGGAGATATGACACAACTGACTTGGACATTACTTTCTGTTGCGAAGCAAAATAGTACTGCTACGTTTTTTGGTATTATTCTTCTACTATAGACGAATAAAAACAAAAGCTGAGTACTCATTCCCCTCGTATTTTTGCTAAGATTGCGAGATAACAATGATTAGTATATTTTCTAAATATCCAGCCATAACATATGCTATTTGATATCTTTTAGTCGTTTTGGATAGTAGATGTCGTACATAAACGGATTTGAATAGTATTGCCTGAACTATAGTATATATATATATATATATCGAGTAATATACCAACACGAACGAATTTGCAGTTATTTAGACTAGTATTTTTTACAACAAAATATCCCTGTTATATCCATATGATTTGTTTCATCTTCAGCTAGTGTGTTTTTTACAGTAATTTAAAGGGAAGCAACAATACAAATTGAATTTCGCGTTTTCAGTATCAGAAAAAGCTATACGTAGTCTTTCAAAATCACACTTTTTTCTTGCACGAAATGTGGTTTTTTTAAAACTTACTGAGCAGTAAAAAGTCATTTAAAAATATTGAGAAATTAATTTGTTTTTCTGAAAAAAAAAGAAAACCCAAAAAAAGAGTCGAGCATCTACAATTAACGAACCTATAGCTTTTGTAATGCTGACGCTAGTAAATAGGGATGTAACAATACCATTTGGAGACACAAAAAGATTGCCAATTTTCACAATGAAAATCTACCAATACCAACCAATACTTTGCGTTAGTTATAACCAGCAAAGTTAGCTCTATCTGATAGGAGTATATAAAATACCAATACCAACAGAAAAGATCACCAGTATTGGTGAATATTGGTAAAAAAACGTATTTTCACAAATACTCACCAATACTGGTGATCTTTTCTGTTGGTATTGGTATTTTATATACTCCTATCAGATAGAACTAACTTCGCTGGTTATAACTAACGCAAAGTATTGGTTGGTATTGGTAGATTTTCATTGTGAAAATTGGCAATCTTTATGTGTCTCCAAACGGTATTGTTACATCTCTACTAGTAAAACTATTTTTGTTGACATGGCAATTCTAATCGTTCGCTACAACATTATCAATTGAGATTATTTAGATATATTTTCAGATAGCTCATATAAATGCCTGGTAGTGGTTAAAGTTTTCCCATTTATCTGTAGTTTTTCGATTCAAGTCTAGTGCAACATCTACAATATCATTGGCAAATCTAGCTATCATTGCTTCATAGATAGAAATATTCTCTTCTCTGGAACTCATATCAAAAACTTTCAAAATTGATTATCTATTTGTGATATATTGTGATTTCGTTATTGTTTTTCTCTATTGTTGTGCTTTCGTCTCATCTACTTGCATCCTTTCGTTCTATGGATTATTCTATTGCGGTGCGTCTATACATATATATGTTGGAGGGGAGATTAAAATCTCGGGGAATTTAAAATTCGCCTAAGGGAAATTAAAATCTTCCTCTTTCCTATGTATTTCATATACAAAACCGAGGATTCTAATTTCCCCTAGGGGGAAATTAAAATTCTTTCCTTTCCTGCCGATTTCATAAGAAGATTGAAAGATTCTAGTTTCACCTAGGGCAAATTAAAATTTTAATTTCCCCTAGACAATATTAAATACATCATTTTTTTTGTTTCATATTTCCATGAAAATAACTAGGGATGCAACGGTGACGATCAAAAACCGTTCCACCGTCACCGTTTGACCGCTTGAGACCGATGAAACGTTGGAGCGGTGCACCGTTGGACCGGGCTCCGATGGGACCGGTGAAATGGTGGATCACCCCCCCGTGGGAGTGGTGGACCGAGGCCCGGTCGGAGCGGTGAAGCAGTGGACCGGCCCCCGTGGGAGTGGTGGACCGAGGCCCGGTCGGAGCGGTGAAGCGGTGGACCGGAGCCCGATTCACCGGTGAAAGCCGGAAAGACTACGAAACACCTACGGTGAAGGCCGGTTTTTTCTAAGATTCAGAGATATCTCTATCAGTGTGATCTGGTAGCACCACTGCACCGGCCTTCACCGTAGGTGTTTTGTAGTCTTTTTGGCTTTCACCGGTGAACCGGGCCCCGGTCCACTGCTTCACCGCTCCGACCGGGCCTCGGTCCACCACTCCCACGGGGGGGTGATCCACCATTTCACCGGTCCCATCGGAGCCCGGTCCAACGGTGCACCGCTCCAACGTTTCATCGGTCTCAAGCGGTCAAACGGTGACGGTGGAACGGTTTTTGATCGTCACCGTTGCATCCCTAGTTATTTTCATGGAAATATGAAACAAAAAAATGATGTATTTAATATTGTCTAGGGGAAATTAAAATTTTAATTTGCCCTAGGTGAAACTAGAATCTTTCAATCTTCTTATGAAATCGGCAGGAAAGGAAAGAATTTTAATTTGCCCTAGGTGAAATTAAAATCTTCCATTTTATATATAAAATACATAGGAAAGAGAAAAGTTTTAATTTCCCCCTAGGGGAAATTAGAATCCTCGGTTTTGTATATGAAATACATAGGAAAGAGAAAAATTTTAATTTCCCTTAGGCGAATTTTAAATTCCCCGAGATTTTAATCTCCCCTCCAACATATATATGTATATTTTCATATACAAGTATTCAGTTACTATTTTCCAGTTACTTGTTCCGTTCGTTTCTTTCGTTATCTTGTTATAGTAGTTTCGGCTCTATTGGTAAAAAAAAAACATCGATAGTGACCTTGAACCAGCGTTTCTAGCAGTAGGTATCAGCTTTTGTGACAAAATATTCATGCTACTTGCTCTATGGATTTGACTCTCTGTTTTACACTTTGCTCATAAAAACAAAGTATGGAGCAGATACCTGCTGAAGAAAATTTACACTTTGCTTTTCATTCTATAGAAACTTCGAACTCCTCAATTTTTTTATTAATAGAGATATATTTCATGCTCCGACATCTTCAGACATATCGTATCATGCGTTAAAACATTTATCTATGCATATCAATTGTTACTATTACTGTCATTGTTGTTATTACGATTCGTAATAACAACAATGACAGCCTAAACGGAGCAATCTATATCTTGGATACGTTGTTTCAGATTTCTATTAGAAACGCTGCCTTGAACTCACAAGCATTTATTACGCATTTCGTAACACGTGACACTATTGATAACTGCATATTTAAAAGAACTGATTTTTTGCTCGATTATGATACTAGTGATTTATTTATCTTTCTTCGATCAATTTCAATTTCTAGATGTAGTAGTTGTGTTTATTGTTTTTATAGCATATGTTAATGGTAGTTTTTCTTTGAATTCCTTAAATTGACATTCTTCATCATCAGTTATTTGACATAAATTATGAAAACAATTGAATGGTATCGTATCGAATTCTTTAAAAACCTCAATTTTTAAATGATTTTCAATTAAAACCATCATAATATTAGTTAAAATATGGTTCCAACTTATTGATTTTTGTTGTGTTGGAACATTTAGATCAGTATAAGTACCTTTTGGATATTCAACAACTTAAAAATGAAACACGAACAATTAGATATTCATAACAAAAATAAAAACAAAAACAAAATCTCTTTCGGCTTGGTTCACGATTGAAATATGAATAATTTACGAGATGCTCATATTTATTATCAAATATTCGAATGATTGGATGGAAATCCACAATAATAAATGAGCCGTTAGGTTTTAACTAATTTTCAATAATTTGTCCCCATTTATTTAAATCTGAAAATCATTTTGTTGTACCATACAATGTATATATGATATCGAATAAATCATTTTCATTATTAACTTTCAAATGATTTCCTGTTTCATAAATATTACAACAAATAGATTCAACAATATGATTTAAATGAATTCGTTCAGCTAACTGAGCAGCTTTTTCTATCGCTATATTTAATAAATCAATTCCAATAACTTTTTTTGCTCCTAAACGTGCCAATGGTAATGTATCAAGACCAAAACGACATTGTACATGTAGAATACGTTTATTTTCTAGATTATCAAGTCATTTTAATTCAGTCTGTTTTAACATAAGATAATTTTTATTCGAAATAAATTCCTCAACATTACAATGTGATGAATCGAGATGATGCTTTGTTTTAGTATTCCATAAATCACGATTAACTGATATATGATCATCTTGCATTTTATTTTATCTAGACTTACTTTTTAATAACTGGATTGTTCAGGTCAAAACAATTTGCTCTTTTTTGTTATTCGGTGACAATTATTACACGCTCTATGTGAAAAAAATTTGTGCATTTTATTTTCTCTCTAGAATAGCAACTTAACGAATAAAGAGAAAAAAACGAATGGTTATAAACTGCAACTCTCTCCCTCTCATACAATAGATAAGTGCCTTCGAATTGTAATCAATCATCTCATGTATGACAACTAAATCTTTATAAACTTTTATCATAATCGATGATATGATTTGCACGTAAAATATGTAATTGAGCAACTCACTTTTGGATTATTGTCAATTGTATCAAGTCAAAATCGTCATGCTATGCATCTCTAAGCTTAATTTTAGTTCGTTTGCTATAATTCCAACAAAACTATAAAAAAAACATTGTCAAAATACTACAATACACTTTTGTACTTGTATGACTTATGCGATGAATTTCAAGTGATTTGTAACCTTTAAGTTTGTCTGCTCGTTTTCTCTCACACGATCAGAGTCATGAATACTTTCTCAATCTTAGTATCAGAAAAAATTTCTTGGTGACAAAACACAGTTTGTATAATTTCAGTATTGATGATTAATATTCGATAGTCTGAATAAATATATCGTAGATTTTTACTTACAATAATTTTTCAGTAATCACAATATTACTTCAAAACATTATTTAAATACTCAAGTTAAAAATAAATACACTACAGGACACTGAAAAGAAAGCAAATTTCTTTAGTCTTGCATTTGTATAATAGTTTATAATATCGATAAAATTTTAACTGATTAACTTTACCCATTTTTTTCTACAAGCCTTAAGACATTCAGTTATATGCAGTTAATCCTATTGCCAAACTACCAGCTAGTGCATTATAAGCACATGCTTACTAAATATCAACGTTTATCAAAATCTCTATTTCAAAATTTTAGATAAATAAACCAATAAATCATTGACAATAAAACGATAGATTATTGAGTACATAATATATCTTTACTATATAGAGATAGAACTTGTTCAAATAAAATTCTATTGAGAATACAGGATGCCTATTAATATGAGAGTTTTTCTAATGCAGTTTTGTTCGAATGATCAAACTTGTGCTTACAGTCATAACACATAAACATACATTTAAAAGGATAATATTTTCCCAAAACTAAGTCGCTTCTTTGATATTGATATATTTTATTTTTACAGCAAACAAGAATGGCCACTATCAATTGATATAAATCTAATGTTAAAACAGACCAAATAGCATAAAATATTTAAACTCAAATTGTATTCATTCAATATATTCATATCAAGAAACATTTAATGGCACATAACATATTTCACTTACGCTAGATTAATTACTAACATCTAAACACTTCGAAAAAGCTAGGATCAATTAATATAAATCAGATGATAAAATATAGCGATTGCAGATCTACATAGTAATATGTTTTACTTACAGTTTACCCTAACTGAGACACATTTCCTATGAAGTTTTTATTTGACTCACTTTTAATATTTCCTAGATAAAAGACTATAAAAGTGATTAGGAAAATATTAGCCCGTTTAAAATGTGAGACGTATTTTTTTTCGTAATCTCTACCATAACCAAGACAAACTTTCTAAGCCCCATCGTACTGTGCAGCAAACAAGAATCCTTATATCCATGATAGTATTTACAAAAAAAAAGGATTTCATGATATCACTTCTGTATGTTATCAATGAGTAAGACAAATGTCTTTGGATATAGTCTATGAAGAAGCATTACTGAAATCCCTTCTAATACAGGCCTTATTTTACCATGATGAATAAAAATAACGCTAGATCAGCAATCGACCAATCATTTGTAATGCTACCAGCTCTCATGCATTCGTAATGTCATCGAGACAACAGTGAGAATAATAGCAGAATCCGAAGATAATTTATCCTGAAAATATGTTTGTTATCAATGATAACTTCGGATCATTAGCCATATCTAAAGAGGAATGAGACATTTTCGCTTCACTTCACTTCTTCTATTCCTTATGACGCAAACCGATATATATCAATCAAAATAGATTGGGTTTTAATACATGTGCTATTTTTTTAATTTTTAATTATCAATTATAGAAAAAGAAATGAGAGAAGAACAAGCAAGGAAAAAACGAGAAAAAAAGAAATGTGTAATGTTAATGAACGTTACAACAGATAACACAGATACAGTTAACATAAAATGAGAGAGAGAGAGAGACACATATTTGAAATGACACTTTTATGTTGTCGTTTTCGACTACTGTTCATTTACCTCGCTTTAGATATAAATACATACGGAACAACAAAATAATAAAGAGCAACCCGATGTAAGAATAAGATATAAGAACAAAGCAAAGAGTCATTCAAGGATTTCGTCGTTTACACGAAAAAAAAATCAAATACAAACATAGAAAGCAGAACAAAAGAAAAGGAATAAAACATATAACTGTTCTTTCTCTTCCTAAATACATACACATGCACGGGTAATAGGAACAAAGAAATCTTCTGTTTCCGAAAATAAGTAATCAACACAAAAGCTTATATATATATGTATATAAAGAAAAGAAGACGAGAGATCATAGAGAGAAGAGACTGTTCATCAGATTCATCAACACGTGTACTCTATAGAAAGCAAAACAGCAGAAAAAACCTGTTCCGTGCTTGTTCGGTCGAAAAAGAAAAAGAATCAACCAACCAACCGGGGACACACAAGAGACAGTAAATGAAAAATAGAAATAACCCGAATATAGGAACAGAACAATAAACGAAAGGTAATGGATAATCAACGATGAAAATAATTTAAAGAAATACATACAACAAATAGAGAGACAACGGGTATCTGAATGAATCAAAGAAACGATTAAAAAACAAAAACTCAACTTTGCTCGTTTGAAGCATGTTCACTTTCTTCGTTAAGATCTATTTCATCATCATCTTCTTCGACGCCAAGATCATGTTGTTCGTCAATTATTTCAGCAAATGATGAATAATCATTAGCAATTATTTCATCACTATCATCTATAGAATATTCACTTTTAATATCATTTGTTGATCTTCTATTGGAACCTGTTCTGTTTGCAAGTAAATGTTGTTGTTGTTGTTGTTTAAATACAGAAAGAATTTGTGGATTACGTTCACAACGACGCATATGCTTTTCTAATGTACTTGCCACAGAAAATGGCATTGAACAATATCGACAGTGAAATGCTTCATTACCATCACGACCATGAGTTTTCATGTGACGTGTTAATTTTGATGATTGGGCGCATGCATAGGCGCATAGTTCACATTTGTACGGTTTTTCACCTATTTAATTAAATAAACTTAATAGTTTTAATATAAAAAAAATCTATCTTTTGAGTCTAACCTGTATGACTTCGTCGATGAACAGTTAAATTTGAACAATTCTTAAAAACTTTTCCACAAAATTCACATGTATCATTCCGTCGATCACGTTTTATGACCCGTTGGGAATTTGGGCTGGATACATGACCACCATTTAAATTTGTTTGATTTGTTACTCTTGTTTGATGAGAAGTTTTTCCATAAAGTGATGATTGAGAATGATCAATCATATTTTGGTCACCGGTATTATTATTATTATTGGTACCGCTTGTTGTTGATAAATTAAGTATTGACGTGGAACTTGGCGGTGTACTCGATAGTGATGAAGATGAACGTGCTGGTACTAAACCAGTACCGCTCTTAATTATTGAACCTGAAGGGAAAAAAATACAAATTGTGCTTGTTTTTTTTTATTTTATAAAGACTAGGCATTGCTTTTACTTGATGGTGGTGGAGAAGAATCAAGTTGTATTGGTGAATCAGCATCATTCGAAGATACCATGGATCGAAAAGCTTGATGAAACCATTGATAATTTTCATTGGAAGAATTTCCACTATTCGTAACGAGTAATCCAGTTTTCTTCTTAATCAACAATCGATTGTCGTCTGCTGTTGATGGTTCATTTTTAATTGAAATATTTAATGGTTGTTGTTGTTGTTGTTGTTGTTGTGTCATACCGTTTGATAGTCGAGTTGGCTTACGTTGATGACGCTTTCGTTGTGACTGAGATGATGGTTGTTGTATAGATGTTTGAATGGTATTTGTTTTATTTTTATTTAGCTCTGGCTGATAAGATATTAATGTTCCTGGTTCGTCTTCAGACGATGAAAAGCAAACTGAACGTGTTGATGATGCTGACGGACGCCGCGAAGGAACAACGGCTGATGGAATTGATCTTTTTTGTTCATATTCATCACTTTGACCTGAATCTGTTGGTCGACGCCGTTTTTGACGTCGTGTATTATGAGTTGTACCTTTAAAAAATATGATAAAAATTTTGTCTAAAAATTCTATTTGCAAAAATATTATGTTTACTTCCGTAACTATGTACATTATTGTTCGAGTCGTTTTCGACCTATAAATAAATAAAAATAAAAATAAATCAATTATTTTTTCGATTTTATCAAGCACAAAAACAAAATCTCACTCGAGTTGTTGTAACATCAATTGCTTTGGGTGTAAGAAATTGTGTGTCTGTTATCGATATTGCATCATTAGTAGTTTTATCTTTTTCAGATGTTTTCGACGATTGTTGTTTAGCTGCTTCAGTAAGCAATTTGACAATCGAAGTCGATCGATGCGCAACTTCTTGTAATAAACTGGGATATGTAGGATTTAATGATGGTGAATTAAACGTTGATAAGGGCACACTGATCTTCGAATGGGCACCTGCCGAGAGATATCCACTATCGGTTGTCGCTCGTGACGAATGCGACTGTTGCTGTTGTTGTTGGTGGTGGTGTTGCTGCTTCTGTGCTGATCGAGTAGCATTAGCCGCTGCAATCAACTGATTTGATGCAAATGTTGTCGATGATGTGAGTGATCGATTGGATGAGGTAACATTTTTAAGTGCAGCTTCAAGTAGACTTAGATCAATGTTCAACATTGATGTGTCACTTGACAATGAACTAGTATTCATCGATGCTATTGGATTATTATTATTATTATTATTATTATTAACTGAAGGATTTTCATTAAGACATGTACTGTACATTTTTATACCATGCATTCGTTGATAATGTTGAATGAGATACCAAGCTAGAAATGAATAAATAAATAAATTGTTATTTTTTTACTAGTTTTTTTTTTATACCTGTACTGTATACATCACCACATTGACTACATTCAAAATTATAAGGCTCATCTATAAGAGAAAAAAAATGTATGCATGTATTATAAAAGAAATAGTTTTAATATTACTTGTACTGTTCAAAGTATTGGCACCAGCATCAACAAGTACTTTTGATAATGTGGACTGCTTTTTTAAAGTCACCTGATGATGATGATGAGAATGATGAGTGTCATGTTCATTTTCATTCCCACTTGAATTAGTACTTAGTTGACTTTTGTCTTCATCATCAATCTCATTATCCTCATCATCGTCATCGTCGTAATCATCATCTTCGTCATCATTGTCACCTTTTCTTTGTCGTCGTTGAGATAAAAAATACGGAATTTTTCGTTTATTTTCTTTATTACCACATATTGCTTTATGTTCAATAAATTTAATGATATCCGACAATTGAAAATCTTGTTGACATGAACCACATACCAGCATATCGACAAATTTTATACGATTGTCATTATTTATTGAAGAATTATTATTATTATTATTACTGTTCATTGAAGATAAAATTCCTATTGATGATGATGGTGATGATGTTTTCATTGTTGATCGTTTGGATGATATATCATTGTTATTAGTGCTGCTACTGCCATTGGTCTTCATCGTTGATTTTAGCCGATTTGTACTGCTGCTCAAGTTCAGCAGTGGCTCAACAGTACCGTTGAGCATTCACTCTAGAAATAATAGTCTGTTGAATTCTATAAAACTATAATATATGGTAACAGGTAAAATCAACACATAAAGAGAGATGGTATGATTATTGTTGAAAGATGCATATATATATATATATATCTCACTCGAAGATGAAATATAGAAAAACGATGATGACGATAACAACAGCCCAAGAATATCATAAAAGAAACGGATATATATATATAGGTCTGTGTTTTTGTCGTATACAAAAATAAATTCGATTTTTTTCGATCGAATTGTCCTGCATTACACATAATATCGTTCTATGCTGGCAAGTGATAAAATGAATACAAGGAGACCGGAGGAAAAAAAAAGGATGAGGAGGACGTTGTTTCAACGTGTTGGATAATAGCAAGTAACTGAGTGTTCTGTCTCACGCACACATAATATATATATATATATATATATACGCACAAACGCGTGCACACATACATGCGCGCACAAAGAGGAGAAATAGCCTTGTCCTTCGCATTGGATTAGAGGATGATTGTGCGAAGAAAGAATGGAGAAGGAGGACGAGAGCGAACGTTACATAGTCGTAGTCGCCATGACGCAAATTAGACATGCAATCATCTTTTGCTCGCATTCTCTCTTTCTCCGACCGTCGACGACATCGTCGTCTCTCGTCTCGGACTTGTATGTCCGCCATATGGAAATAAAAGAGAAGGAGAATGAGGACGACAAAGAAAAGGAACAAGACGAGGATGACGAGTAGAACAGAAAAAAAGAGTGTGAGAAAGAAAGAAAATCGCTCGGGCGTTGGTATTCAACACGACACTAGCATCATCATCATCGCCATCACTCTCTGCAATAGCTTATTGTTGATGAAATAGGAGTCCGCAGGCGAGCTCCGTATCCGGCCTAAATCATCTTGCATGCATTCTTTTTCTTCTCTTTCATACTTATTTCTTCTTGTACTGAAAGCTACATTAATGATAGTTTTGGACGGGTCATACAATATCTCACTTAGAAAAATTAACAATCTACGAGCCCATCAAATGTCAACTCAATTAGATCAAATATATCTCATCAGTCGAAGGGAGATCAAACAGGCGGCTTGTAGTGTCGTATTTGAGACAGAATATGTGTTATTGGGTCAGATGTTGATGTGAATTATTGAGACATCGATATGTATTACATACTTCGAGCACATGTATTCGAACAATGTAATGGTAGTCGTTGCCATCAACGTAAAATATATATGCATGTTGGTGGGTGAAGTGACCGTTAATGATAATGTTCTTTCTTCTCGTCTTCTGTGTCCTCTACTCTCTTATTTTGCTATGTCCTTGCACACTGATTGTGTATGTGCGTGTGTGTGTGTGCGTGCGTATGCATGTGTGCGGAAAGAGAGAGAGAGAGAGACAGAGAGCAGCGAACGGGCGAAGACGAAGTGAGGGGCAAGCAAGCGAGCGCAAGAAAGAGAGTAAAAGGGACAGGACACCATAAGGATAGAAAGAACGAGAGAAAAAAATGCATTACAATCAAACGGACGATTATTTGACGCTTTACCGTTGGTCGTCGTTCGGATGTTGGTTGGTGATGGTGACGACGTTCTCTTCTCTTCTCTTCTACTCTTTCTTCCTTTCATTACATTTCTCTCTCGCACTCTTTTGCATTGCATGCAGCATCTGGTTTGTCCAGCCACACAACGTTGCCTATTCTTCTTCGTCTTGCTATTACTACCCGATTTTTTTTGCTGTTCTCTTTCTTCTGTGTAAAAAGACCAGCGATGGCGACAAACAGTGTAACAACAACCTATTTTCCTTCATCATCATCATCATCATCATCATCATCATCAGAATTCTGCCAACATACAGCACGTCCATCTAAAACATGTTGAATGTGCATGTGTAGATGTGTGTTAGATGCCATGCGCATATATATATAGATATATATAGGCACATTTGTTTTTCAGGCTCTTTTTTTTTAAGAAATTTACAGTAAAATTTACATAACGGTTACAATGACCCATAAACATAAGAAAATGAATTATCTTCACAATTCTCGTTGAAAAAAACCTATTAATTGCTATGAAAAGAAAAAGAAGAAAAGCGCTTCATCGGACATAATGACGTTGATGAAAGAGAAATTGCGTTCTCCTTCGACTTATATTTTGATTGTCCTTGTTGCCCGATCTTGTTGGCCTTTTTTTGTGTGCAACTCGTGCTCTTTTTCTTCTTATTCTCTCTCTCTCTCTCTCTCTCTCTCTCTTTCCTTTTTTTCATCGACGCTGATGGTCGATAGCAGTAGTGAAGTAATCCACATAGATTAAATCAACATGAGTCGAACGAGAGAGAATAAAGGACGACTCGACCAACACAAGCAAAGAAAGATAGAGAGAGAAATATCAAGAGCGCACATTGCAACTAAGCATGTGTGCACGGCGGGGGACACCTTCTATAGCCTTGCTTTGCGCGTCTGTCTCGGTTTTCTCCCCATTTTTTTCTTTGCTTCATCCAATGCCTTTCGGTCTTCGATGGCGGCGACAACACACACACATAAACACATGCATAACACACCAGTCGCCAGTTTCTTGAACGCACTAATAAAAACTAGGCAGTAGCGGACGCGTGAAACTTTTTTCTCTTCTGAATTTTTCTTTTTTCATGCTGATCTACTCGTCCGACGTTAACACACAGATGCGAAGGACAACTCAACAAACACACACACACACATATATATATATATATATATGCGCAAAGGATATAGTGAAAGGAGAGAGACAGAAACAAAGTAATCACGTAATCTACGTAAATGTGAATGCATTCATGTAGGCGTTACATTGAACGCCAATGGCCTTTCATAAGCAAAATAAAGAATGAGAGAAAGAAAGCAGGAGCCTGTCGGTGTTGATTACAGATGAATACAAGAAATAAGAAAAAGTAATAGTGAACAAATGTCGACTTGATGTGGTTATACGCCGATGAAGTCAAGGACATCTTCTCTCTTTTTTTTTTGCAATAAACTTGTTCTCGTTCGTTTCAATATTGACCATCACTTGAGATGATTCAATGTTAAATAGGAAATCAAATATTATATGTCAGTATATTTAACAAAGATATAGTCTAATACGGACAATGTCCATTACAATAATTGATGATAAAAAGAAATTAACTAGAAATGACATCATTACTAGCACGATTATATGATTTTAATGAATTAATACGTAGTAGTCAACCAAAAAAATGAGATCAATGACTTCAACAGTTGATTAAATAAAACATTTTAATAGGTTTCATGATCTTTCATATCAATATATCTACTAATGAGAAAATTTAAAAAAAATGATATAAGATCATTTATATATCAATTAGATTCGTAGATTTAAAAATTATTCAAGAATATTATTGCAATACATCTAATAGTTTTTAAAATACTTTCAATGAGAAATAGATTATTTGAAAAAGAATAATTCATGACATGAGGCTTATATCTGAAGAATGCTCGGCGTGAAATCAATCTACATGTTAATTCCATCACATAGAAGGAGTAAAAAAAAGTGAATCAAAATTTTGAGGAAAGAACAAGCAAATAGAAAATTAGATATTTGACACTATTTATCCATCACCTATTTTGACCCATTAAAATCTGTAGCGGTTCACTTAATTATTTGTCACAAGCGAGGTGGCCAGATCGAAAATTGAAATATCTGATATCTTTTTTGTAAAAATCAGGAAACGATCAGAAAGTTTTGTAGGAAAATCAGAAGTTTATCAGAACGATCATTTTTTGTGAAATAGCAACTTCTGTATAAGATGCTGGCATTAACTATTCCACTACTTTTATGTCATTGACTGGTACTTCGTTTCCGAAGATTTACCACTATAAAGATGAATATTCATCAATCGATAACAGATTTTTTTCGAAAAACTCTTTTTGTCCTTTATATGCCGAAATGATATTGCTGTGGCTAATTAATTTACTTCGATTTGTTTCTCTTCACAATCAAATTCAACCATATCAATATCATCCAATAGATAATTTTGTTTTCATTTGAGGAATGTTCAATTAGATAAGATTCTCGAAATCAAGAAAAGAAATTTATCAAATTTTAGTGCATTTCTGTAGCAGAAATTGCCTATATAAGTCAGAAATTACGAACGGATACTTGAAAAAAACAAGGTGCCGCAATATACATCTATAATAGTACTGTGTTATAATTGTGTACTGAACTGCACTAACAAAACTGGGATCTGAAATAGTTTCGAATTCGGAAAAAAATCGGAAGAAAATATTAAAATCAGGAAAAATCAGAATATGGTACGAAAATGAGAAGAAATTCAGAAAGGACTTCAAATTTCAGACATTTTCCCTATTTGTCAGAAGATCTGGCCACCCTGGTCACAATGGTTTCTATTTGAAATGTTTTCATTCATATCAGCCCTATGGATAATGAGTGCAGTGAATTTTATGTAATAGATCTCAACAACGTACAGATTTCTTTTGCGTCACAATTGATTGAATTCAATTGTCTGCCTATAGATGCGAAAGTTTGTCAGATGGCATAATTCGACAATATATAAATTACACTTTTCAAGAGTACCTTCGAAAAAAGTACTTATTGGAAAAGTCTTTAAATCAACTCTATTATAATTTTTGTTTATAATAAAGCTCTTCGTTTCAGTTTCATAGTCTCAGTGAAAGATGAGTCTGACTGTGAAATAAAAGCTACGAACAATTTCTGATGATCATCGAATACACTAAAAATCATAGAAATAAGTTAGTTTTAAAATTTGACAACGATAAAAATGACATGTAGATTTCTGCTTTAATACTAATTAATTATGTTCCCTTATTTTTGATATTTATTAATTATATATTTCAAAAAGTACAATATCATTAAGAGGCTCATCATTGAATTACTTCAACAAGACCTGCTCATATTTCATCTGATGGCATATTGTTGT